CTCACGCGGAGAGGAAAGAGACTTGCGCGGCGTTGACGTCACTTCCTGCCCCGCACGGCCTGCTCCCATTCGTCCCTAGGTCGATAAGCATGCATAGTTAGCGCTTTAGAACGCTACTGGGCTGATGTCTGAACTCGAGGCCAGCCTGGTCTCCAGAGAGAGTTGCAGACGCCCAGGACCACGCAGAGGAAACCTGTCTCGGAAAAAGAAAAAATCCTACTTCGCTAGGTGCGGTCTCATTGTGAGTTAGCGCCCTAGAGCTCTGCAAAGAGCAACTAAGTACTCACTTCATTTCACACGAAGAGTCCTCCCTCTGTTCTGGTGTTAGAACAAGGTGTCTTGCAGTTAGCTGCTTTCACCTGGCAAATGCTGAGACAAGGGATCCCGCGCCCTCTACTGGCCTTCACGATCACAGACACACGCATGCACATAAATAAAAATAAATGAGCCAGGCCATGATGGCGCCTTTAATTCTAAGCAGGCCACCCTGCTCTACAGAGCAAGTTCCAAGACAGCCAGGGCTACAGAGAGAAGCCGTCTCGAAACAATCTATCGATCAATCATTAAGAACAAAACAGGGTTACAGAGTGCGTGCATGGTTATGTATTCAGTTTTTGTTTTTTGAGACAAGAATCTCATATAGCCCACACTCGTCTTGAACTTCTTCCTGCCTCTGCCTCCCAAATATTGGGATAAGAAATTATGAGGGTTGTGTAAAGCTGTTTAAGTGACTTGAACAGACACATCTCTCTCTCTCTCTCACACACACACACACACACACACAAAGACACTCTGAAAACAGTGCAAAATTCGGAATGGTAGTGGACACCTTTAACTCCAGTACTTGGGAGGTGTAGGGAGGAAGATGGAGAGTTCAAGGCCAGTCTGTGCTGTATGAAACCTAGTCTCAAAACAGACATATTTGGAGTCTGGCTGTCCATTGTCCTCTTTGTGCTGAAATTTCACTACCACGATGCTGGTGAGATGGCTCAGCAGCTAAGGGCACTGACTGCTCTTCCAGAGGACCCGGTTTCAAATCCCAGCACCGACATGGCAGCTCACAACTCTCTATATCTGACAGAATCTGACACCCTCACAAAGACATACATACAAGCAAACCACCAATGCACAATTAATAATTAATTAAAAGAAATTTCACTACCAAGCACAGCTGCTTTGGTACAAAGAACATGGTTCAGTGTGTCTACTGGGACACAATTCTTAGAGCAGACATGGTGTCTGGGTACAGTTAAGGAGTTCAAGTTTCAACTCGCCTTGAGACTGCAAGACATTTAATAGGTTTTGTTTTTCAAGACAGGTTTTCTCTGTGTAGCCCTAGCTGTCCTGTAGAGCAGGCTGGCATTGAACTAAGAGATCCACATGCCTCTGCCTCCTGAGTGCTATGGTGGACATCATCACCACCACCCAGCCTTTTCCTTCCTTACTTCCTTTCCTTCTTTCCTATGACAGTGTCTCAATTTGTAACCTTGACTGGCCTGGAACTCTCAATGTAGAACAGGATGGCCTTGAACTTTCTCCTGCTTCTGGCTCCCAACTGCTGGGATTACAGGCATGTGCCTCCTTTAAAAACCATTTTCTTCCTACCACCTGCATCTACTGTGAGGTTGGTTTCTGGTGGTTTAGTCTGAAGCCCGAATCCAACCAAAAGAATAAAACCGCTCAGCTATTGTTGTAAACAGCTCTGGGCTGTATCATACTTACTTCTAGAACATTCATTCCCAGCCCACAGCTAGATTGTACACTCCAAAAGGAGTACACCCACAGACTCCTCTTTCCACACCTGAGGCCAAAGAGAAGGCACTTTCTAATAATTCCTACCAAATAGCTTCTCCTGAGCCAAGCTCTGCCTCAGCTGAACTCTTTGCTGATCCTCCCAAACCTCATTTTCCCCCCTGTGGAAGCCATTTCGGGTGTTTCTTTTGACCTCCCCTTCTATGGCTTAGGGAAGCAATAGAATGTTAACCCTGGTGATGAGTGATTTTAGCCAGAAGGTCTAGAATTGGTAATAAGTTAAAAAAAATTAAACCCTTATTCTAAACTGAGTATGATAGAATCGCCTTTAAGCTCAGGACTCAGGAGGTAGAGATAGGTGGGTCTCTGAGTCTGAGGCTAGCCTGATCAATAGAGTGAATTCAGGACACCACAGCTATTTCTCTAAATCCTGTCTGTAAAACAAAACCATAAAAAACTCATTCTCCACATTTTATTTGAATCATTTCATTTCCAGCATCCCTTATGTCATCTCCATCCCAACCAAGGAAACTCAAGTTTGAGAAGTTAATCCTAACATCAATAAGTCTAGCCAACTGGCAGATCTCTTGATTTCAGGGCAACTCAGTCCTAGAGCACAAACCCAAAACCTGAGAGAGGAAGTGGTTAGCTTTCTTCACATTAACCAAGTAAAAACACGTGCATCTTGGAAGCTGGCTGCCATCTGACTGGCCAAAGCCAAATGGGCCAACCAGTTACTGGAAAACAATGCTTCTTTCTTCTCAACTTATCTGCTCGTGCACCTAGAACTGCCACTGAATCACCTACCGGTGGATAGAGTTGTCAGCTTTTCCTCATCTGTGAGAAATTTTGTTTTCATCCCTGAGACCAGACTCTTGACTGGACCCCTGCAGTTTGCCCATGCTGAGGCACAATAAATGGTGCTTGCATTAGGGAGGGAGCAAATCAGTAAGTGAATTTTCTGCTCCTTTATCCAGATACCTCTACATATAGTAAGCAACAGGAAAGGGAGGGACGACAAAATGCTATGAGGACTCAGAAAATAAAGGAGAAATAACTATTTTGCTCATAAAAGTGAAAAGACCTTGTTTTTTGAGAAAGAGTTTCTCTGTGTAGCCTTGGCTGTACTGGACTCTCTTTGTAGTCTGGTCTGGCCTCGAACTCACACAGATCTGCCTACCTCTGCCTCCCTGAGTGCTGGGATTATAGGCATGGGCCACAGCACCCAGTTAAAGGAAGCCAGGCAAAGTGGCACACACCTTTAATCCCACACATAAAGAGGCAGAGGCATGCAGATCTCTATGAATTTGAGGCCAGCCTGGTCTATATAGTTAGTTCTAGGCCAGTCAACGCTACATACACAGAGACCTTGTCTCAAAACAGCAAAAGATACACACACACACACACACACACACAGAGAGAGAGAGAGAGAGAGAGAGAGAGAGAGAGAGAGAGACATATATGTAAAGGGCCAGAAATGTAGCTGAATCATTGTAGAACACTTGCCCAGCATAAGGAATACTTGGATTTGATTCCCAGAACTAAGGGATACTTGGAATTGATTACATGAGAAAATGATTGTGAAGCATTTTCTCAAGGATAAACATTTAAAGACACATCAACACGGCATAGTTCTTTGCAGCTGTTGCTGTTCTGCTGTTGCTGAAAACTCAATAGTAAAGACATACTTCCCTACTCTTACCGGACTACAGTGCAAGGGGAGACATACAGCAAAGAAGCAGTTCCAGAAGAGCATACGGGAAGCATGACCAGTGTGGGGGCCCAGGCAGTGGTGCGCTCACCCTTAGTCACGGTGCTCAGGAGGCAGAGGCAGGCGGATCTCCGAGTTCAAGGCCAGCATAGACTACAAAGCAAGTCCAGGACATCCAAGGCCACCCCAGAAACTCTGTCTTGAAAACAAGAAGTGTAGGGCCAGCTGGGTGCGGTGGCATCCTCCTGTAATCTCAGCCCTCAGGGAGGCAGAGGTAGGCGGAGCTCTGTGAGTTTGAGACCAGCCTGGTCTACAGAGTCCAGGACAGCAAAGGCTACACAGAGAAACCCTGTCTCAAAAAAACAAAAACAAACAAAAGAGAGTGGGACCTGGAACCAGAAAGTCTAGGCTTAATCTGGACTGCTTCTCCCTAGCAGGGTGTTGTAGGACAATTCACAAAGCCTCTCCATGCTGGTTTCCCTGTCTGTAAAGTAGGAATGATAACACATTGGTTGTGAAGAGTGGATGAGTTCATCTAGTAGGCCACCTAAGTCTGCCTACTGACAACTAGGATTAAAGCCATGCATTGCCACATCTGACAAACCATTGCTTTGAAGAGACCTGTGATACAGCAATTGACAGCTGATCCAAAGGATTTGGTATTTTATTGGCTCAGGTGCAGGAAGCAAGACCCATGTTGAATTACAGGTTTCTAACTTGACAATAAGCAACTGTGATGCCATTAGTGAGGTCAACTTGGAGGAACTCCAAGCAGGGCTCAGAGCTTGGGTTGGTGATGTTTGCTGGGCTCCATCTTGTTCATAATTAGGTATCTAGAAAACATTCCAGATACAAGCACAGTTGTTTTTCCTACCCAAGAATCTAACAATCAAGCCTTGGGATAGATTGGAAGATGGGGGCAAAGTTCCAGCAGACCGAGCCATGGGATTGAACAAAGTCGCCTGTAGCAGAGAAGAGGAAATGGCTAAGTACTGAGGCATGAAGAGGTGAGTCAAAGAGCCTGACACGGGGTCGGAAAAGACCAAAAAGTGTGTTCCAATGGTAAACATTAGAGTGACTCTAATCCCTACAGGAACTAGAGTACTGCTGAGAAATTAAATAGGAGTAGAGAGTGTGTTCTGGACTAGGCTTGCACGGGCTGTCAGTGTCCTTGGTAAAGGACTTTTTCAGGAGTGGAGAGCAAAACTGCAGAGGGATGAGCACTGGAAATCAATGCATTAAGTAAACTCTTGTAAACCTTTGGCCATAAAGCACAGATGTGGAACTGGTGTACTGCTGCATACTTTTCCACACTTGAGGTGGAAGAATGCTGTGAGTTCAGGCCAGCTTGATCTTGTCTCAAAAACTAGGATCTGAAGAGATGGCTCTGTCATTAAGAGCACATACTGCTCTTGCAAAGGTCCTAGGTTCGGTTCCCAACTCTGTATGGTGGCTCACAATTACTTACATCATTCTAGGAATCAAATGTCCTCTACTGGCCTCCACAGTCACTGAACAAACATACATGCAGACAAAACACGTTTAAAAATAGATTTATTTAAAAATATTAGCAAATCTTAAAAAATAAAATTTGTGGGAGTACGCACCATTGCCCTACTACTGAGGTCTAAGGACATCACCCTGGTTTTCTCCTACATTTAGAAGCTAGTTCTGGGATGAAGTGCCTTAACCCACAAAGTCATCTCACTAGCCATACCTTAATTTTTATGCATATTTAGCAACGACTGCTGTCAACCCGCAAAATGAACAGAATACACACACATACACACACCAGGCTCACTTGGCTACATAGTTGTCCTTTCAAGTGTAAAGGGGGAGATTTGCCCTCAGGGATAATTATAACTTAAACTCGGGAGGCTATCCTTAAGTTAAATTGGAATGCTGAAAACACTGATAAGGATGTAAGAGATGTAAGAGAACAGTAACGTCTTAAAACGAAAATAGTCTTCTAGGGAAAGCAATCTCTTACCTTGGCAAAAGCTAGCCACAGTCCCAGGCTAAAAGGAAGCAAAAAGGCATGCATGCTCTCACCCATGTCTCTCTTCTGTCCATTAGCTAGAGCTAAGGCAGCGGGGATACATGTTTAATCTGGACAGCAGACATGTCAGGCTTCACTGTCAAGCTTCACCTCATCTTTTAATTTTGATGACACATTATCTCACTTACACCGTCCAGACTGCTGTAGTCCCAACAGTACTCAAAACTTTCAACCATCAAACCCTGCAGTGTTAAGATTACAGATGTGTGCCACTATACCCAGCTTGTCACCTGACAACCTTCCTCCACCCTCTACTCCAATTTCCCGGTTCATAACTGAACACCCACCACCCAGACCCTCTGGAATCTAAAGCCAGGACTGTCTGGAGGACAAGGAAAGCATGCGCAGCTCGTGTCCGAATCTTCACACAGGGTTTTGAAGCTGTTCTGGGGAAGCCCTAGCTCAAGTAAGGATAAAAAGAGCAGTGTATGAGTGCCTCAGCATTAGTTTCTTAGGTTAATGTCATGCCCCAGGGTCCTTTGTAAAAGACACTGCAATAGCCGGGCAACAGAATACAGAATATTTATTCCCAGGCAGAGAAGCAAAGTTGTGTAAAATTGCAAGTTCCCAAGAATTGGTGTCTCAAATGAGGACCAAGAGAAAACTGAAGAGGATCCATGAAATCCTCATCTCAGGTGTGTGGGTGAAGGAGGCAGCCAGTCCAGTTTCCTCCAACACAAAGCCAATTTTGTTACCCTGTCAGTTCAGAATTTCTGATCCTGCTGCTAGTGCTTTCATGTTAACATCTCAGCCCCCAGACCAGCAACGCTGCATCTGTCCTCAGATTTTACCCTGGCTATTCTGTCACAGCAGGACAGTGAGCTACCACACAGTCAAAATTTAGTCACCGGGTCTTGATAGCTTCTGCTTAGATTCCAGCACTCAGGAGGCTGAGGCAGAATTGCTTTGTTTCCAGGCCAGCCTGTGTTAAATAGTGAGACCTTATCTCAAACACAACAAAAAACTCTTCCCATGAACCTTAACTTCCCTCTCCTACACATGGCCATCTCGGCTGTCCTCCCAGTATGTCTCTTTTAGTCTTGTCAACTTGACTTTTGAGACACAGTCAAAATGTATAAATATAGCTAAGGCTGGCTTTGAACTCAGCTCTTCTCCTGCTTTAGCCTCCTGAGTGCTGGGATTATACACATGCACCACCGTACCTAGCACTATAACTAGCCTTTTGCTCTTCTGAGGCAGGGCTTCATCCTCTCTTTAGCTGGTGATGGCCCTGCACTCCTGATCTTCCTGTCACTTCTTAAGCATGCCCCATAGTACTAAGCTTTCGTCTGACGAGTCCTTTTCCCAGCCCGGGACTCCTCTTGTCACAAGGCTGCTTTCTCGTATACAAACCCCCCTCCTTTGTGGAACTTTCTCTAGCCTCTGGAAATCTTTATAAGTGCTGGACACTGATTCAATAATAAAGGGAAAGATCTGTCTCCAGGCAGAATACCCCAACCCCAGGCTCTTGTAGCCCAGGCTGGCTTTGAACTCCTGAACTTCCTGCTTTCATATCACAAGAGCCAGTATTACAGACACGAACTACCTTGCTCAGCCTGTTTTCGTTGTCTTTTCAATTGTGACAGAACCTCCATAGCCCTGGCTGATTTCAGACTTGAATCCCTCTTTGCTAATGCTGGTATTTACAGGTATGGACCATCATGTTTGCTAATGCTAAGGCTGACAGGTGTAGACAATCCTCTTGGCCTCGAAGCCCTATTTGTAAACTTTTTCTTTTCGTAAGACTAGGCAGATCCACAGACTGAGCTTACCGGCACTGACTTTTCTCTGGGTAGTTAGCCTAAATCCTGTTTTGCCATAGTGGGGTAGGGGGTGTGTGTGTCCTTCTGGCAAGTGAGCAGTCATGGGTCTATGGAGATTCCCTAGTTGTTCAGTTTAGAACAGTACCAGCGGACACAGAATTGTAATAGGTCCTAACTAGCCTATGGCATAACACGGCTTCATTTAACAGCAACCACCACAAAAGGCTGCTTCCTTCTTATAATCATTAATGTCTTAGTAACACGAACACTTCATAATTAATATCAGCAAAGACTATGTCTTGCCAGTGTGGTGGCACATGCTTTTAATCCCAGCACTTGGGAAGCAGAGGCAGGTGGATCTTGGAATTAAAAGCCAGCCTGGTCTACAGAGTTCCAGGACAACCAGAGCTCCAGAGAGAAACTCTGTCTCAAAACAAAACGAAACAAAAGCCCCAAACCCTCCAAAACAATAACATCTCAACAACTGATTAGATCTTCCGCATAAAACCAATAAAAGGATACTCAGAACAAAATACTTTGTCTGGCATGATGGTGCACACCTGTAATTCTAGCACTCAGGAAACTGAGGCAGGAATTTAAGTTTAAAGTCAACGAACAAAACCCAATAAAATCGACTGCTGTAGATAATGAACATCACTAACTTTTCATTAGACAAAAACATTTCTTTCCCTGAGGTTCTTTGTCCTTTTCCTGAGTTCTTTTAGTGAGTGCATTTCTAATTAACTCATAGTTTCTTTATTCTAGGGTTCAGTTTATCATTTCATAGATGGATACTTTATTGAAATAAGCCAAAGAATCCTGGAGACCAAGGCTCAGCAAGCTCAATACATTCTTAAGACTCCTGACAGTGCTAATTTGACCCTGGGGCCCAGGGGTGGCAGGACTTCAGACTGTGAAAGAATATGATCCTCGGTGACACCAGTGACGTGTCAGAACCATCCACAAGTATGGGTCTCACCTTCTTAAAAGGTGTGTGATCCTCTGGGAGTCCTCCCAATAAATTATTTAAACTAATGCATATACTTCACACACACCATCAAATCCATCCGGTGAATACTAGCCGCTCCCACCAGAAGCCACTGAGAGTCTGTTGCACACCTTCCCCATTCTCCTTTTCAGACTTAGAGAAGAATCTACACAATTATAGTCCTTGTTTTTAGCTATTTCAGGTTTGGTCCACAGTATTTTGAGAGAACAAAAAAAATTTATTCTCTCCTTCTAAGACTCCTAAGATAGATCAAAGTAGGCCAGGAGTGAACAGAGAACTCCATTCAGCTAAACACCATGGGAGGAAGTGGTGAACTGGCAGTCTGGTGGTTTCTCTGCGGCATTAAGCAGAACACCTGGTAGTTAGTAGTAGCACTCTCCTTTCCCAGGTGATGGAGCTGGTCTTAAGATACAGGAACACAGTTAAGAAGATCTGGGATCAATATCTTTCATCAGAAAATTCCTCTTCCATGGCTGGGAATACTACTTTAGTGTAAAGTGCTTACCCAGCATAATGTAAGGCTCTAGGTATGAGCCCCAGCACAGCACACACATACATGGGAAAAAAACAAAAAACAAACAAACAAAAAAACAGAAGGAGGAATCACTCTATGTCCAAGTCAAAGAACTGAGGACGCGCTCTGGCTCAGTTCATCCTTGCTGTCAGTCTGCAGGCACCCTATGGCCTAGACGTGTGTGGGAACTCTCCATTTCTATTGTTTGCTTTTACTACTCCACTCACAGGGGAGAAAGCAGCAGCAAATGCTTGGTAATTACACTTGTCTTGAAATGACTGTGGTCCATCCTGTCCTTTATCACACTCATCTGTATTCTTCCCAGGCACTGTCAACACGTATGTTTGGAGTCCCTTTAGAACCCAGATGCCCAATGTCGGAACCATTTCCTAGCTCTGATGGGTCTAGTCTTTTGGAAACTGCAAGCAAAGCAAGAATTTTTGATGACTGATGGCCATGTTCTGTTTGGATTGAGACTGCCCATCAGAAACTTGAAGCTACAGTATTTACTAAGTATCCAAATCTCAGGTACCCTTTTATTTGCCTGGGACTACTGAGGGTCAAAGTGATGTTACAGATGTAAAAACAATGGGTCAAGTACCCATGACACAGGTTTTATGGCAAGCTAGAGCTAACACTACTTCTCCATGATGGCTTCTCCACAGGTCTTGCTGAAGCATGAGCCAAGAACCCACCAATAACCAGATTTGCACTGCATATAGATTTCATCCTGCTGAAAAGAACAGGTCATGTTCCTGAGGCACAAACCTGAATTCAGAGAGGCCCCAAAGGCATTTTGGTCCAACACAGCAAATTTCTTCCTGACAAGACTGTTAGTAGGGGTTTGGTAATATCCAGGTTAGCCCAGCTAAGCCCGGCTTAGGCCTGATTGCACATCAAGTCCTAAGCAGCAGCTCACAGAGCAACCCCACTACCTCCTGCCATCCTCCAAACACTAGGACTGACTCACACACCTATCCCGCTTGGGGATTCTGCCTCTGCGTGCCCTCTTTCCTCCTGTGCTGCCACTTCCACAAGGCCGCACACCTCCCAGTCAAAGATCAGCTAAGGTTTGTCACAAGGAATCCTGGGCATATTATCTGATTAGTAAAACAATGGGGAAATATTGGCCAAAAATATATATATATACACACATATATGACGGGACTTCCAAAAGGTAAATTTCTGTGTATTCATGCCTAATCTTCCAAAGTTGTGTAAACAAATTTTCTACCATCCCCCATCATTTGCACAAATTTCTGTCAAGTCCAAACGTAATTCTGAATGAGGTAGGTAGTCTCTACTCAGGCCTTGGTCTCTGAGGTGTCTGTCAAGGCCTATGCCATGAAAGCACTAGGCTCCCAGGCAGGAACAGTGCTGAGGGTGGCGTCAGCTGCTGGAGAAGCTTCTCAGTTGGCTATTTTCTCGATCTCATCCAGATCATCTGTGTCCAATCTTTCTATCTTCTTATCTGAGGGAGAAAAAGATTGGAAGACCACCATGGAAATCAACCAAGTCACTCAGAGCCGCAGGCAGTCTGGGGAGGCAACTCCTGTGCAACAGTGATGCTTCCTCTAGCACAAGGCAGGCTGCCTCAGCCTGGACAGCTGGCTCCAGGGCCCGGGCCACTCCTGCCAACCTCCCAGGAAGCCAGGTTCTCCTAGCCTGGTCCCAGGGCACTGATATTCCACTCCTGAGCCCTGACTGCGCTCCCTGACAACATGCCGATGGCGACAGCATGTGTGGGGGCAGAGCCCGCTCGGGGACAAAGGAAACCGCCCCTCTCCCACATGCCCCTCTGAAAAGGTTCCACGCATAGCCAACTCAGGGACTCACTAAAATGCTCCTGGATTCTGTTGAGGATAGTCATGCTGTGCTTGCTGTCAACCATGTTTACCGCCAGACCCCTCTTGCCAAAGCGGCCCGTGCGCCCAATGCGGTGCAGGTAGGTCTCATTGTCTGGGTTCCCGTCCTTGTCCACAGGAAGGTCGAAATTGATGACGACAGACACTTGTTCAACATCAATACCTGTACAAAGGGGTTGAAGGGAGGTGACACAGTGGGCCACCATCAGACACACACACTCTCTCTTCTGCTGGACACATGGCCTGGACAGGTCACACCAGGATGGGGGCCCTAGAGAGGACCCCACTAAATAGGACTCTAGCCTAGGCAGAAGAACAGAACTCTACAAGACGTGGAGCAAGCGTCTGGAAGCCTGAGTTTCTTCCCACCAAGGCAGGACTGCTGGCTTCTCCCACGAGGTTCTTACTGCCCACGGGAATCAGCTTCTCTAGGAAGGATTGCCCTTAAACCCTCCCACCTCCATGAGACCATGGACACAAGTACTTTTCTTGCTCACAGGGAGGGCCTGGGACCCCACGCCTGGTGAACCGGGCCAGTCTCTGCTCACCTCGGGCACACACGTTGGTGGTCACCAGAACCTTCTCTTTGCCTTCTCGGAAGCGCTCAATCACTGCAGCTCTCTGCTCCACCATCATCTCTCCACTCAGCAGAGCCACCTGGTGGCCCTCCTTGGAGAGCTCTGCTGCCAGCCAGCTAGCTGTTTTCCGGGTCTGGAGTGAAAAGAATTGTTTTTAATGAAGAGACCTGTAAAACAAAAACAAAAACAGAAACAAAGATATCCACAAAAAGGTGGTTTGTTGCCATTATGGTATATGAAGGCTGTCATGAATGCAGTAGGCTGTCCAGGCTGAAAAACTTCTCACATGGAGGAAAGGAAAGATGACAAGATCAAGAGGTTGGGTAGAACTGGCGTAAAATAGTATCTCCTGGACATGACAGGACCATTGCACTCATAAACTCATACCAGCTGTAGCTGCCTGAACAAGAGCTACACAAGATCAAGACAGTCAACAGTCCAGACTGTGTGAAGCAGGGTACATAAGCCACCAACCCTAGCTGGGGAGCTATTGACAATTGATGGCTGCTGGAGAGGTGTCTCATTAGAGGTGTGATGCCTGTATGTTGACCATTCTCCACTAGAGGCCCGACACCTGAGTATTCAGCGAGCACTAATTGGACTCAGTGCGTTATAAAAGAAAAAAAAAGTGAGAGAGAGAGAGAGAGAGAGAGAGCGAGCGAGCCAGGAAATGAAGGTGTCGGGGAGACCTGTGGGAGGGAGTCAGGAGGCGTTGCGAGGGAGTAGTGGGACATGAATGCGATCAGAATACATGGTAGATATGTACGAAAGTCTCAGATAATAAGAGCATTTCTAAATGTCCGCCCAGGGCTGGGGAGACAGTTCACTGATTCTGAGCACTTGTGCTCTCGCAGAGCACCTGAGTTCAGTTCCCAACACTACCTCACGTGGCTACAACTACCTATAACCGCAAGTCCTATAACTGCACGTCCAGGGAGCTGATGCCTCTAGCCCCCAAGAGCACCCGCACATATGAGCACATATACATACCACACTTACCATGTAACAGATAACACACAACACATATCAAAAAAGCAAAAGACACTGCTTTAAATGTTTTCTCACATGAGATTTTGGTCATGCTTTTCATTTGGATGAACTGATTAACTGTTGTTACTTTTTCTTTTTCTTTTTTTTTTTTTTTTTAATTTTATTTTTCTTTTTAGTTACATTTTGTTAACTCTGTGTCCCAGCTGTGTCCCGCTCCCTCATTCCCTCCCCAACCCCACACTCCCTCCCTGGTCTCCTCCCTGCCCCTTTCCAAGTCCACTGATAGGGGAGGACCTCCTCCCCTTTCATTTGACCCTGTTTTATCAGGTATCTTCAGGGCTGGCTGCAAAGTCCTCCTCTGTGGCCTAACAGACTGCTCCTCCCCTGGGGGCGGGGGGTGTCAAACAGCCTGCCCTTGAGATCCTGTTAGAAATAGTCTGTGTTCCCCTTACTTTGGAAAACTACTTGGTTACTGAGCTACCACGGGCCACATCCGAGCCGAAGTTCTAGGTTATATCGATAGATAGTCCTTGGTTGAGTGTCAGTCTCAGAAAAGACCCTGTGCCCGGATATATTTGGTCCTTGTAGAGCTCCTATCCTTTCCATATCATACTAACTTCCCTTCTTTCATATGATTCCCTGCACTCTGCCGAGGGTTTGGTTATGAGTCTTAGTGTCTGCTTTGAAACACTGCTAGGTAGAGTCTTTCAGATGCCTTTTGTGGTAGACTCCTGTCATACGTTCAACTGTTGTTACTTTTTCATATGAGACCAACTAGCTCCATTTCTAAGTCACACACAACTTCATGTTTAAAAAACTGTAAGTGGAGGGTGGGTGGGACTGGGAGGAGATAAGGGAGGAGTCTGCAGTGGAGATACAAGGTGAATAAATTGTAAAAATAAATATGTAAATAAAATTAATTAAAAAAACAACTGTAGTGAACAGCTGGGCAGTGGTGACGCACACCTTTAATCCTAGCACTCGGGAGGCAGAGGCAGGCGGACCTCTGTGAATTCAAGGCCAGTCTACAGAGCTAGTTCCAGACAGCCAAAGCTACACAGAGAAAGTCTGTTTTGAAAAAAGGCATATGTATATCTGGGAAATGACCTGGGGTGTAAAGAACCTATTAGTACGATCTTGACAACTTGAGCTCGAGTCCCTGAAGCCCTGGAAAGTCTGATGCACAATCACAGGCTAGTGAGCCCGGAGTACCCGTGCAGCAGCAAACAACAGGAGGGACTCTGCCTCAGTGACAAGGCAGAAGATAAAGACCTATACTATGAGGCTTTTCTCTGACCAACTCACAGTGCAGTTCATACGCATGCACATACATATTCCTTATTCATTTACCTATTAGATAGACAATGTCTCACATGGCTGGCCTTGAACTCAGACATCTGGCTGTCTCTGCCTCCTGCTGGGATTAAAGGGGGCACCATACCTGGCCATGTTTTTATTTTTTAAAATTAATTTAGAGAGCGTTTCATTAGGAGGGTAGAAATGAGCACATGAGGAGGTCAAACTGTAACACTCAGGGTCAGCTCTCAGGTCCTACCATGTGGACCCTGGGAACCAAATTCAGAGAGTGGTGCTTGGAGAGCCAGCACCGTTACCCACTGAGTCACTTCCTCAGCCTGAGAAATAGCTTACTTACTTTTAATTTTGTACTTATTTAGCATGTGTATATGTGTGTGCACATGTTTATACCATGGTGTACACAGACAGCATGTGGGTTCTGGGAATCAACTTGGCCATCAATCGTCCACTGAATTCCACATCCACACTCACACACATATCAACACATACAATAGTAATAATAACAATTTTTAAAAATTGTATTAGAAGGAAGAATTGTATCCAGGGCTGAAGGGATGATTCAGTGGCTGGTGCACTTGCTGCTCTTGCAGAGAACCAGTGCTCGTTTCCCAGCACCCATGTCAGACGGCTCACAACTGCCTCTAACTCCAGCTCCAGGGGGATCTAATGTCTCTCCTGCTTTCCACATATGTGTATACAGATACAAAAAAATAAAATAAAAAACTAGGCATGGTGGTGCATACTTTCCATCTCACCACTTATGAGGCAGAGGGAGTTGGGCATGGTGCCACATGCCTGTAATCCCAGCAATTGGGAGTCGGGTGGTTTGCTGTGAGCTCAAGGCCAGCCTGGTCCACAAAGCAAGTCCAGGACAGCCAAGGCTACATAGAGAAAACTGTCTCAAAAATGCAAAAAATAAAAATAAAAAGAGGCAGAGGTAGAAGGATCTCAGCCAGGGCAATAGTGAGACCCTGTCTCCAAACAAACAAAAAACAAGAAAGTCACCAGTGGACTTCTGGTTTTTGTTTATGTGTTGCTGAGTAATGAAGCCAGAGGACTACGCATGCTAGTCAAATGTGCTACAAATGAACTACACTGACAGCTCATTATTTAAATGTGGGGGATTTCTTTTTAAAGGAATCTCTGAGTATGATTAACCAAACTGACTTTAAACTCAAAAAAACCCAAGGAGACTTTTACCTAGACAGGTGGCTGTGTATTACCATTTCCCTTCATTGCAATTTACGTAGTGAGATCTAGTCTTCCTCAGCTGGGTGGTAAAGATGACTGCCTCCCCCAGGTGCCAATGACAAGCTACTCATTGATCTACAAATAGCAGGGAGGGACAGTGCCTCCCAACATCAGCTACTCACATGGCAGAAGATCATGGCTTGAGCGATGGTGATGGCCCCATACAGGTTGCACAGGGCCTGGAACTTCTCCTCTCTGTTATTGCAAAGGACATAGTACTGTTTGATGGTGTCCAAAGTCTCCTCCTCGCGCTTCAGTTTGATGATGTTGGGGTCTGGGACCACCTTCTGGGCAAACTTCCACACCGAGTCTTCAAAGGTGGCAGAGAAAAGCAGCATCTGGCAGTTTCTGGGCAGCATCCTGCAAGTGGAGGCCCAGGCACTTTGCACGACTCCATGGCTTTTGCCAGAAGGAACACAAGCTCGGCCTCCCTGGCCAGGATGGGCTGTAGCCCCAGAGGGCTGACTTGGATACAGAGCATCCTGGGGAGGCAGGAGCAGACCCATCAAGGCACTGCAGGTCTCTTCTCAACCCATGCTGGGGGCATGGTGAGAGCTGCTGTGGAAATGGCCCATCAGACAGATGCTGCTGCACAGAGCAGAACAAAGAACCCAAAGGGGAAAGAGGAGGCCTTGGCAAGTTCCTCCTGCCTCTGGTTCCTACCTCTGGATGCGGATGCTCTGGTCTTGGTGGCCCTGAGTTGCTATCATCACGTCAGCCTCGTCCAGAACAAACACCTTGATCTTCTTGGGGTCAATGAACTTCAGCTTGGAGCACCAGTCCAGGACGGTCCCCGGGGTACCAATGACAATCTGCTCACTGACCTTCTGACCTCTTTCCACTGTGGAAAAGACATGTTCTCTTCAGGTATCCCAAAGATCTCTATTCTGAGATATTTTGAAGCTACTTTGTATTGAACACTAATGATTTTGTTAACTTTTAACAGAGTGTAATAGGACGCCACCATAGTACTATGTGTACTAATGAGTACATAGCAAATTTAATTTTATTAATGAAATTATGTGTTAAGAGTGTAACAAAACAATGATAATAATAATAATAAAAAAAAAAGAGCCAGAAATGGTAGTGGATGTCTATAAATGCTATCCACAGGAGGACCCAGGCTTGGGAGGGCAAAACCAACCCACACCTGAGCAAAATAAACAAAAATTTGAGTACAAATGGGCAAAGGTGAAGTGGATGTTAGTTTTCTAGGGAACTGTTCATTATGATCACATAATGTTCATATGAGGTGTATACTAAAAGATTCAGGAAGAATGAGTTAGAAATAAGATAATTCACTTTCAAACATTTAACAAATAATACAAACATACCAATAAAGAAAATGTGGCAAATGTTAAGTTTCTGACTAGGAGTTTCTGGGTAGGAGGATACATGTGTTCACTGAACTGTTTTAACTCCTGGGTATGTGTTGAAATTTTTCAAAACTAAAAAAGTGATTAGCTTTACTTATAATCTAGGCCCACATACTTATACTCACGTTTATTGCCTCGAACAGCATAAGCCAGCTTCAGTTCAGGGTAAAACCTGCCCATTTGTTCAATCACTTTTCCTGTTTGAAGAGCAAGCTCATAGGTTGGAGAAAGGCAGAGACACTGGAAAGAAAAAGGGTACAGAATGAGAGCTCTTGACAAAAATCTATTTGGCCAAAAGGAATCCCCAGTAGAACCTACTAATCTATCTGAAGCCAAAGGAAAGAATATATGTAACCTACATGAGTGTTGAACCATCTCTCGAACCACACATTTTACTTTTAACCTGCTGGGTCATACACTACAATTATTAGGGGTCAGACTATGGCTAGGTAAAGACACTTGAAAACAGTGTCTGCCAGCTAGGTACCTTTAATCCTGGCACTCAGGAGGCAAAGGCAGTTGGATCACCTGAGTTCAATGCCAGAGTTTCTACATAGGAAGATCCAGGACAGCCAAGGTTACATAATGAGAATCAGTCTCAAAAAAGGACGAAGGAAGGAAGAAAGGAAGGAAGAAGGGAGGGAGGAAGGAAGGAAGAAAGAAGGAAGAAAGGAGGGAGGGAGGGAGGGAGGGAGGAAGGAAGGAAGGAAGGAAGGAAGGAAGGAAGGAAGGAAGGAAGGAAGGAAGGAAGGTAGGAAGGACTGACTGCTGGCCACTGGAGCACAAAAACCTACCCAGGAGCAACTGCACTAGTTACATGTTTTGCTTCTGTGACAACACTTGCAACTTCAGGAAGGAAAGGCTTGTGTTTTTTGAGTGAACAGGGTCCATCAGGCTGAGGAAGTCATAACTGTCAAAGTGTGACGCATCTGTCCACACTGCATTTGCAGTCAGGAAACAGAGAGAGACAAATGCTAGTGCTTCTCCTGCCCCAACCCCGTTCTACTTCAGTTAGGGATGACACCATGCACACTCAGGCTGGTTTCCTTTACTCAGTTAAACTTACTTGGAAAGAAACACCCATACAGACTCACTAGATGTACATATCCCAAGGGATTTTAAATCTCATCAAGTTGATGATCAAGGTTCTGAAATCCCAGTTGAAGATTGCTTCCTTTTGGGGGACGGGCTGTTTGTTTGTTTTTCAAGACAGACCCTCTTTATGCAGCCCTGGCTGTCCTGGAACTCACTCTGTAGACCAGGCTGGCCTCACAACTCAGAGGTCTGCCTGCCTTTGCTTCTCGAGTGCTGGGATGAAAGGTGTCACTGACCGGTTGAAGATTAGCTTCTTTTTCACTTAGAAAATTCTCAGAACTTTCTCTTCCTCTCTTCTTTTTTGGGGCAAGGTCTTGCTATATACATAGACCACACTAAGCTGGCCTCAAGATGCCTGACTATATAGCCTAGGTTAGCCTTAAATTCAAGCTCAACTTGTCTCAGCGTCTCAAATTCTGGAAATTAAAGGCATGTACTGCCATGCCTGGTGGCTGTCAGAACTTTATAACCTATGAGAATTGTAAATAAAGTTTCCTACAAGTAAAAGCACCAGGCTACTAGCAGTGCTCTAGGACTTGCACACCGTGGGAATGGAAGTACAATAAGCTTTCTTTGTTATGTTTTTTTTTGTTGTTGTTGTTTTGTTTTTGTTTTTCAAGACAGGGTTTTTCTGTGTAGGCTTGGCTATCCTAAATTCGATTTGTAGATCTGGCTGGCCTCAAATTCAGAGAGATCCGCCTGCCTCTGCCTCCCCAAGGGCTGGGATTAAACGCGTGCGCCATATACAATAAGCTTTTTGTGACCACTGAAAGATTAGCCATTCTATTGGTGTCCAACTTGAGTTCTGATTTATATAAAAAGGATTCATGCCAGATGTGGTGTCTCATGCTTATAATCCCAGCACCTAAGAGGCTCTGCAGAATTGCCAACCTGAATTAAAGAATTAAAGAGGAAGTTTCAGCATAGCTTGAACTACAGAGTGATAACTTAGAAGAGAAGAAGGAGGAGTAGACTTTCTAAAAAAAAAAAAAAAAGATAAAAATTTTTTTGGTTTAAGATGAATATACAGTGAAAATTTAATAGCTATATGAAATGGGGTATTCAAAATTTACAGGACAATGAATGAATTTAGAATGTACTAGGGAAGGTCACATAATCTCAAAGGAAAGGATACGTTCTCTTTCAAGTGGGGAGCCTAGCCTACATGTGGATACAGTATAACATACAGAAAGGAGAACAAGAAAGGTAAATATTGGATAATGGAAGCATAGACTCTCAGTAAGGAACACCTAAGTCATGAGAGAGGATACAAAGCTAATTGTCTAGTTTTAACTCACTCATGGGATTTTGTTCTTTTTTTTGGTGTGTGTGTATAAGTATATAAAAATGTAATTGATATGCCAGGTGTGGTGCACCTGTGGCACACGCCTTTAATCCCAGCAAGCAGGAGGCAGAGGCAGGTGGACCTCTGTGAGTTGGTCTACGTAAGAAGTTTCAGGACAGCCAGGGCTACCAAATAAGAGAAATCCTGTCTCAAAAAAGAAAAGAAAACGGGCTGGAGAGATGGCTCAGAGGTTAAGAACACTGACTGTTCTTACAAAGGTCCTGAGTTCAATTCCCAGCAACCACATGCTGGCTGGCTCACAACCATCTGTAGTGAGATCTGGTGCCCTCTTCTGGTGTGCAGGTACACATGCGGGCAGAATGCTGTGTACATAATAAATACATAAATCTTAAAAAATGAAAAAAGAAAAGAAAAAAGCCAAAGTATTAAGGACCTGGGTTTTATCCCTACCAGCCACATGGTGGCTCATAACCACCTCTAACTCCAGTTCCAAGGTGGTATGTGATGCTCTTTTTCTGACCGCTGCCACTAAGCACACACCAGATGCACAAATACACATATATACAGGCAACATAAAATTAAAACAGAAAAGAAATCTAATGGAGAGCTCCACGCTTCAAAATGGTTTTTCTAACTGTCTAGAAATTCACTGAAATGTAGAATTTGGGTTTGGCTATTCTTGCTGCATAATATTTTTTATCTGAAAGTTCTTTCACTAAAGATTTTTTAATTATATTTTTTATTATTTGAGATTATAATTACATCATTTTCCCACTTATGTTTTCTCCTTCCAAACTTTCCCTTGTACCCCACCCATTTTCTTTCAAATCCACTGCCTCTCTTAACTGTTGTTAAAATATGTGTTTCATATGTGTTATGTGTCTGTGTGTTCCTAAATAGTTAAATACACCCTGCTCAGTTCAGTTGTTTCTATGTATACATTTCAGGGCTTACCATTTGAAAAAGAAGGAAAAAAATAGCAGTGTCTCACTCTGTAGCCCAAGCCAGCCTGTAACTTACTACATAACACACGCCACCCTCAAACTCTTGGCAACCCTCGTGTCTGCCTACCACTTACTGGTTATTTACAGCGTAAATAACCTTGACTACTCACCGCCTGACTTTGAGTCCAGGAATAGGAGAAGCCTCTTTAGGTTAATGTTAACAGAAAACCCAAATTCCCAAGTCCTTACCTGGGGATACTTGTTTGCAGGTTCTACTTGGCTGAGCATGGCCAACACAAAGGCAGCTGTTTTACCAGTTCCAGACTGAGACTGGGCAATTAGGTTCTGTGGGCTGCACAAGAACAGAAAATGTTTAGGAGCTTCACCATTGCTGGTGGTTTGAATGAAAATGGCTCCCACAGGCCGTAAGGAGTATCAATATTAGGAGTGGCCTTGTTGGAGGAAGCATGCCATTGGGGATGGGCTTTGAGGTTTCAGAAACTGCCTGCCAATGCAGATGTAGAGCTCTCAGCTACCTCTCCAGCACCGTGTCTGCCCGTGTGCTGCCATGCTTTCTTCCATGATGATAACAGACTGAACCTGTGAGCTGTAGGACACCCCCAGTTAAATTATTTCCTTCAGAAGGGTTGTGGTGGTCATGGTGTCTCTTCACAGCAACAAAAACCCTAACCATGACAATCATCAAATAAATTTTTCAAAGGACTGAAGAGATAGGTCGGTGGTTAAGAGTGCTTCTTTTTCTTGCTGAGGTCCTAAATTTGATTCTCATCACCCACATTAGTTCACAACCATCTGTAACTACAATTCCAAGGGATCCAATACCTTCTCCTGACATCCTTGGCTTCAGGTTACATGTGCATTCATGCAGAAAAATTCTCACATGTGAAATAAATTTTAAAAAGTTTTTCAAAAATAAAAGTGAATAAAGCTGAAAAACCAGTTTTTAAATTTAATTGACAAAAGGAGACCTTGGATCTTGTAGCGGAGTGACATTTGATAGCTTCACAAGTGCACAGTGAGAGTCAGGGTGCGATTTTTAAGCACTCTATCTATGCCTATACCTGAAGCTGCCAGGAATAGGCTCAATGAAATATGACTCAGCTTGAGTCATTTCTATGCTCAAAACATAATCCACCCTGATTTTATTCAGACTCTTCTGTGTCATATGTGCACATATATGTATGTGTGGAGTGCAGAAGCTGACATCAGGTATTTTCCTACTTTTTCTTTTGCTATGATAAAGATCATAATTAAAAGCAATTTGGGTAGTAAAGGGTTTATTTGGCTTATGCTTCCCAGGTCACAGACCATCAGAAGTCAAGAGAGGAACCTGGAGGCAGGAACACAGGCAAGTACACAGACTATGAAGGAATGCTCCTTATTGGCTTGCTCCCCATGGCTCACTCAGCTTACTTTTTGCTGTTTTGGTTTGGTTTGGTTTTTAAGACAGGGTTTCTCTGTCTTAAAGAGAAGATGTCCAGGACATCTAGCCCTGAATGTCCTGGAACTCACTTTGTAAGCCAGACTGATCTCAAACCTGCCTCAGGCTCCCCCGAGTGATGAGATTAAAGGCATGTGCCACCAACACCTGGCTCAGCTTTCTTTTTCTTTTTTTTTTTAGACATTTATTTATACAGTGTTCTGCCTGCTTGCATGCCTGCATGCCAGAAGAGGGCACCAGATCTCATTGTAGATGGTTGTGAGCCACTGTGTGGTTGCTGGGGATTGAATTTAGGACCTTTGGAAGAACAGCCAGTGCTCCTAACCTCTGAGCCATCTCTCTAGCCCCTCAGCTTACAGCTTACTTCTTTATACATTCCAGGATCATCTGCCCTCACATGGTACCACCCATAGTGGGCTGGGCTCTCCCACATCAATAATTAAAAAAAGAAGAAGAAGAGGAGGAGGAGGAGGAGTAGCCACCTACAGGCCAATCTGATGGAGTATTTTCTCAGCTGAGGTTTCCTCTTCTCAGATAACCCAAGCTTATGTCAAGTTCACAAAAAAACTAACTAGCATAGGCATCTTCCTCAATAGCTTTCTGTTTTGATTTTCATTAAACCTGGAGCTCTCTGATTTGGCTACATTGTCTGGCCAGCAACTCCCATGTATTTTCCTGTCCCTGCTTCAGCAAGCATGGAGACAGACTACTTACTGGCATGGGTAACCGCTATGCCTAGCTTCTTATGCTAGAGAAAAATTCAAATTCAGATCCTCACACTTGCATAGCAAGAACTTTAGCAAACAAGCCATTTCTCCAGCTCCTCATCCGGATCTTTCAATGGCCTATCTGATCCGGCTCCCCAGTATCTCTCGGCACACATCTTTTTCTCATTCCCTATCTCCCTCATCTCAAACCACCACAATGGTCCCAATGTTGCTCTGACATCTTAGGGTTTCTTTCTTTTTTAAAGATTGTCTTAAAGAACAAGACAAAGGGTTCAAGTGGTAAGCACCAAGTTTAATGCCTTTAGGGTAACAAGATAAAGGCCCTAAAATAGACCAAAGGCTTTCAGACATAAACAAAAGGGATGTGTGTGTGTATAAGTATGTCAAACAACATCATTTGAAAATAGTGTAACAAAATTTTCTTATGTAGTCAAAGATGATTTTTTTTAATGTATGTGAGTGTATGCTGCATGTATGCAGGTAACCTTAGAGGTCAGAAGAGAGAGGGAGCTATATTCCTTAAGTTAGACTTACAGGTAGTTGTTGGCCTACTGACATAACAAAACCCATTATTTTGGCAATTACTATAAGCTAGGACAAACACAAATTTAAAAAAGGGGCAGACAAAACTTGAGAAAATAAAAGTCAAGACTAGGGAAGTGTCTGCTCATTAGAAGCAGAAATAAGACACTTAGGGAGCTGGGGGGGGGGTGTCTCATGTATCTCAGTTGGCAGACTGTTCACCTAGCATGCAGGAAGCCTCGGGTTTGACACCATCATTGCACAAACCTGGCATGGTGGTGTATGCCTGTAATCCTAACACTTGGGATGTAAAGGCAGGAGGATCAGCAGTTCATAATCATGATGTCTGGAGAGATGGCTACGCCTTTACAAGTGCTTGCTGCTCTTCCAGAGGATGCTAATTTGGTTCCCAGCATCATGTTGGTAGGCTAACAACCACCTGTTAAGTCCAACTGTAAGGAATGCAACTCCCTCTCTCGTGGGACCTCTAATGGTACCTGCAACACATGTAGCATGCACTCACACAGATACATTAAAAAAGAAAAACGTCATCTCTGTCTGACGACATAAGAGCGTTTAAGGCCAGCATGGGCTGGCCTGAGATTGTCTCAGAACACTATTACTATCTCCAAATCAACCTCACAGAAACATCAGAAACATCTACTAGCATACAGATTGTGAAAAAAAAAAAAAAAAAAAAAAAAAAACCAATAAAATACTAGCAGTAGAATCCAGGTAGTAGGTAGATGGGCATTTCCCCACAAAATCCTTGCAAATCCACTGAAAGTCTTATGCTTTCCATAACAATCGTTCAAGGTAAAAATAACAACTGGGGGCTGGCATGGGCAAAGGTACTTGCTGCCAAGCCTGATCTGGGTTTGATTTCCTAGGAACCATATGGTGGAAGTCGAGAACTGACTCCCTCAGTTTGTCCTCTGATCTCCATATATATATCTTGTTACACACACACACACACACACACACTATAAAATTCCCCACCCCCCCTTTTTTTTTTTTTTTTTTGGAGGCAGGGTTCTCTGTGCAGCCTTGGCTGTTTTGGATTCACTTTGTAGACCAGGCTGGCCTCGAACTCACAGGGATCCAGCTGAGTCTGCCTCCCAGAGTGCTGGGATTACACTGTGCCTGGCTAGAGAATCCTTTTTTAAAAATCAAACAAGCCAGGCAGTGGTGGCATGTCCCTAATCTCAGCACTTGGGTGGCAGAGGCAGGTGGACTGAGGCCAGCCTGGTCTGCAGAGTGAGCTCCAGGACAGCCACAGTTATACAAAGAAACCTTGTCTCGAAAACAAAACAGACAAAGCCAGACAAATACTTGGTACACATTTTTAAAAAAACTGCTGAGGCTTGACTCGAATTCACTTTATAGCTTGAACAGACCTTCAATTTTTCATCCTCCTGTTTCAGTTTCCTGAGATTTTTAAGTTTTTAAATAGCAAATTATAGATGCAGTTACATCAAGTTACGTACGGTTCAGCAAGCATCAAAGGCAATGCATTCTCTTGTATTTTGGATGGGCGGTTGAAGCCCATAGAATAGACTCCCTGGAGAAGCTGCGGCTTCCTATAAAAATTGAAGATGACAATCACTTAGACTGAAGAACAGAGCATTTTCACTGTATACATAGTGTGTGGCTGAGAACACATGAACACAATGTAAGAATGTAGCCAAAGCTTTTACAAATTTCCTGAACATTTCATATAATAGCCCGAAGCAGCTAAATGCATATTATTAACTTCATGCAGGCAAACACATGTTGTATGAAAATATGTGTAGCCAGGCCCTGATCTTTATCTGAACGCTGAAGGTAAACAAACACTCACAGGCGAAGCTCTTCGAAAGACTTCACTGAGTAGAGCGGGGAGGTTGGGTCCCTCTGCAGGACTTCCACTTGGTTGGTGTTATCCACAAGATTGCTTCTGATCAGCTTGTTGAGTAAAGACTGCGCAGCTCTGTCCTCTGTGAAGAAGGAGCACAAGGGTTTTTTTTAAATCCATGCATTTGCTGGTGGTGGTGCCTGCATGCCTTTAATCCCAGAACTTGGGAGGCAGAGGCAGGCAGCGCTCTGTGAATTTGAGGCCAGCTTAGTCTATAGAGTGAGTTCCTAGACAGCCTATACAGAGAAATCCTGTCTCAACCTCCCTCCCCACAAAAAAAATTCCCAAGAATTTATTAACAGTCATAGTCATAGGTATTTTAAGTAATAATGTGTGTGTGTGTGTGTGTGTGTGTGTGTGTGTGTGTGTGTGTGTACTGGCCTTCCTAATGCAAGTACATCAGTTTTTATATTTGAAATACAGTAAAAAGTAGAAAATTTCTCTAAAATATAAACCATCAATTCTTTTACATACTGACTAAATTGAACTTTTACCCTAGCACTGTGATGCCTACTCGATGTCAACCCAAGGTAGCTCAAACAGTGAAGCCTCATGCTAGTGAGAAGAAAAGAGGAGCCCTAGAACCTGCTGGCCAGCAGCCTGGCTGAATTAGCAAGCCTCATTTATAGCTTAAAGGCTGTTATTACCTTTCTCCTCTTCCTCTGTTTTCTCTGCATTAGCATTGGTCTTAACAGCACCTTGATCGGATATAAAGCAGATGTCATTCAAAATCTTATCTAGCAACCAAGATGTTTCTAATTCTAGGAGGAGAATTTTTCAAATTTTTAAAACAAAACAAAGGAGGAAACCAAGTCATTACTAAACCATTTTATTCTCTCTAAATAAAGTTTAGAAACATTGTTTATATATGACTATTTCCAGGTCTCCTTACCTATTTTAAAAACTGTTACATAGTTTTCTACCACAGCTAGGCCATTTCTGTAATAGTATGGAATGATGACTACAACAGCACTGATTAGAAAGCATCTTTGTACTCAACAAAACATCTACAAATCATATTGTTAATAAAAATTCCATGTGTGTAAATTATTGACTATCAGAAATATACACAAAAATCCAAGTGTATTCAGTGTGAGGTAAATGTCAACATTGCTCTGAACCTATATATATATATATATATATATATATATATTTTTTTTTTTTTTTTTTGAGGGGGTTCTGAGTGACCTAGGGCCTTGTTTGTGTACTGTAGGCAAGCGCTTTATCATTAAGCTAAGCCCTACTCATCCACCTTACATTTTTTAACAGATGTAAATTCAGGATGGTATTTAGAACATGTGAACTGACTAATTGCTCAGACTTTGTGCATCTCACCCCAAACTGAGGATGAAGAACAGATCATCACTGTCAACATAGTCCTACGGTAAGTAATAAACTGAATAATTTATATACTAACTAGGTATTCTCATTCTTATAGTAAATATTATTCAATTATACAACCCAGTTTATTAATACCCAAGTTAAAAATTATCAGTATCTTCTAGTCCTTTGTCTAGTATAAATGCAATAATTTTCCAGGTAATTGCTACATCAAATTAGAAATAACCAAAGAAAAATCACATTTGTTTATAAACTAGCTTCATTTACTCACCATTGGCATCTGGTTTGATTTTCTCCTCCTTAAGATGCAAATTGCTCAACTAAATGGAGAATGTGGGGGAACAGAAAGTGTCAGGAAAATCACTTAAAAGACTTTGAATCAACACAGCCTCCCTAACAAAAGTAGAGGAGCTACTCTCAAGACCTTCTCACTAGGTGTATTCACTAGAAATGGTTCATTAGGTTGTTCTACTAGCTTCCTTTTGTTTCTAAATAGCTGAACGAGGCTAACAAAATTCCCCATAAATACAGCAGTAGGAAAGAAAAAAAAAAAAAAAGATTTACACAGTAGCCCCAAACTCCAATTCCCTAATTATAATTTCTAGGCAGAATTATAAGTTTACATAATGCTTTGGTTTACAGACTTTCTCAGTAAGATTTTTGTCAGCCCTGTCATTTTCTCATGAAAAGAAATGCAAAGCCTGGAAAATGTAGTGTCTTACTTTGGACAATCAACATCAGGCAGGAAAGATTCTGGGGTAGTGTGAGCGTCAGTGATGGACTTGGTTATGTTGCTAGCTCAGCCTGAGTCAGGCTGTGACAGCCGACATATGGCCTCACATATGTGCTTGGGTCTGACACTTTAACTGGGCACATCTTGGAACACTGTGATACCAGGCATAACCAGAATTACCCACACCAGGCTGAGGAGAGACTAGAAAAGAAGAAACAGATCAGAGAAATGTTTTAAGGCAAGAAGTATTAGGAGTATGAATTTAGAAGTAATGTGGTTTGACTTATGTCTGCCCATGAGAATGTACATATCCTAATGGCGGGAATATTTCCATTTGCACCTAGCACAAAGCAGTTAGACTAATCATGAAATATTAAGTGGAGATTCAGTAATCATCTAGTAAAGGATAAAAAGAATGAGAAATCATTGTAAAAAAAAAATGGTCATTTCTTAAACCACTGACAGGTTTTTCTATGTCTTTTCTCTAAGTCCAAAAACAAAGAAAAGGAGAAGGAGATTAGGAGGGCAGGAAAGAAAAAAATTGTTTGAAGAGATGATTAGCTGTAGATGAAGGAACCCCATTTGTCTACACATGGAAACTAAAATAAAACTTATAGTCTGTCTGCTTCCGTGTTACAGAGCAACAGGGAGGAAGATATGAGAGTGTAGACAGAGGTTAGCAGAGGGGAAAAGGGAATCATAAAAACATAAAAATCCTTCATTCATTCTGAGGATCAAGAACATGTTAACAGACAGTAAGTTAAGCCACCAGGACATTGATGGGTACACAGTAGGTGCTCCATACATTGAGGCCATTGCTAAAGCACTCCCCAGTATCCTGCCAGGAACATGGTCTAATTCTAGTATTCAAGAACCTTAAGAGCTACTGAGCCGGGTGTGGTAGCATACACCTAGAAAAGCCTGAGCTACATAGGGAAACTCTGTCTCAAAAAGCCAAAATAGACAGACAGGCAGGCAGGCAGAGAGATACTGGACATGATGGTGATCTCAAAATTCAACAGGTGAAGGCAGGAAGATTAAGAGTAGGAGTTTAAGACTATCCTAGGCTACACAGTAAGCTGGAGGCCAGCTTGGGCCACATGAGAACTTGTGTCTAGAGAAGGAAAAGAGAAAGAAGTATATTTAACAAAAGAGAAAGAAGAACCCCTCTGAATAAGACTGAAAGCAAATCTGCTGTTTCCCCTTCATCTCACAATGAGCTGTGCTCTAAACAAGGTGTGGCCAGTCTAGCTTGAATCAGACTAAAGGCTATGACAGAGACAGTTGTTAAAATGCTTCATATAGTTGGACATCTTGATATAAAGACTACCAGCATAGAGCTAGTGAGTGAATTAATAATACAAAACCCACAAAGCAATAAAAAACTCAAAAACAAAACAAAACAAAACAAAAAAAGACCAGTTCTGTAGAGTAAGTAAGGGAATGGCCAAGAAGACTCAGGAGATAGACATTTGCCACCACACCTGAAGACGATAGTTCAATCCCCAGGACCTACATGGTACAAGCAAACCAGCTTCTCCAGTTGTCTTCTGACCCCCCCATGGGTGCCGTGGCAAGATAAGATTCACACACACACACACACACACACACACACACACACACACAGCTGGATAAATGTAATTTTAAAAATTTCAAGAGCTGGGCATGGTGACATACACCTTTAATCAGAGCACTTGGGAGTTTGAGGCTAGCCTGGCCTACAGAGTGTTCCAGGAGAGTTCTAGGACAGCCAAGCCTACACAGAAAAACCATGCCTGGGCATGGTGGCACACATTTAATTCCAGTGCTGAGGCAGGCTGATCTCTTTGAGTTTGAGGCCAGCCTAGTCTACAAAGTGAGTTTCAGCACAGCCAGGGCTGTTACATAAAGAAACCCTGTCTCAGTTGGGCATGCTGGCATATGCCTTTAATCCCAGCACTTTGAAGGCAGAGGTAGTCGGATCTCGGTGAGTTCAAGGCCAGCCTGGTCTACAAACTCTGAGTTCCAGGACAGCCAGAGCTACACACAGAGAAACCCTGTCTGGGGAAAAAAAAAGCCAAACCAAACTAAAGCAAAACAACCCTGTCTCAAAAAACCAACTTAATTAACTAATAAATAAATAAATAAATAAATAGATAGATAGATAGATAGATAGATAGATAGATAGATAGATAAATAAATAGGGCTGGAGAAATGGCTCAATGGTTAAGAGCACTGGCCAAAAGACCCAGATTCAAATCCCAGCACCCACATGGCTGTTGATAACTGTCTGTAATTCCAGTTCCAGGGGACCTGACACCCATACATCAGAACACCAATGAAAATAAAGAAAGAAATATAACCCTCAATGCACAGAACCCAAAACACTATTTCTCTTTAAATAATGTGGATTAATAAATATATATTATAATAAAAGATTCGGGCCAAAATAAATCTTTACTTTTTGTTGTTTTATAATTTTTGCAGCAAGATCACTATGTAGCCCAGGGTAGCCTTGAACTTGAGGCAGTCTTGCTACCTAAGCCTCCAAAGTTAGAATGAGAGATGCCACAACACCATGCCAGGCTCAAACCTTTACTTTTTAGAAGTTAAAAAAAGAGAGAGAGAGAAAATGGAGAAGGTCCAAGCTTATTTTTGGAAAACTTACGGACATGTATTGTTAGGTTCAAAGCTCTACTAGAACTCAGAATGTTTAGAAATTATTTCTACATAGCAGTATTTAAATCATATCTTGCAATTATGTATCAGGATCAGAAAACAAGCCAACCAAAAGAGGGTTTACTGACAGACCAGTAGTCAGTCATTCACCACCAATAACTAAGGTGGAGGAGTCACACAAATAGGAGTAAGACATGGTCCCTGGACCCAGGAAACTCAGACCTGAAGATATAGAAAAATTACCATCCGAGGTTGTGAGTGCAATGGATTATCAACCTTGGTTCCAGGAAGACAGGCAGGTGGCTGAGCACTGTGGGGAACCGAACATGCAACTTGAGAATACAGAAGGTGGAAGGAGTTGGGAAATCAAAGCGAGGTCTGGGTCCAGGCCCCATCCCGCCAGGGCCCTCCGCCCTGCACCGAGCAACCTAAGAAGTGTCCTTCCAAGGGACCGACACCCTGACCGGCTCTGGCCCCCTGCTCCTCCGGCGGCTGATGACAACTCACCGACTCAGCGGCCGCTTCCTGCTCGTCCACCGCTAGGGCCCAAGAATCCGTGGCCATGGTCCCCGGTGCCAAAGCAGCGCTGGCAGGCTCGCCAGCTTGGTCAGTGCGACCGCGGGCTTAGGTGGGTCACAGAGAGGCCCAGCTCCAGCCCGGGGGAAATCATTCACTGCCGCGCAGACGACCGGAAGCGGCGCGCCACGGTGTCGTCAGAGTCCGCGTCAGCTCCGCGCCCCTGAGGTCCGCGGATCCAGCTCCACGGCCGTCCTCTGCGGGTCCCACCCCTCACCCTTCGCTGCAGATCGCCCAAAGGCACCACCAGCACGGTGATGCGCATGGGCGGCGCTCGTGGAACTATTACAGTCAGAATACATAAGAAGAGGGCTGTTTAATTCTTCGGGTTATTTAAAACGCTCCAGTGTACAAGTCTATCGGACTTTTAGCAAAGATCAAAATAGTATCTGTCCTTTTCAAATTATTAAGATGTCTAAGTATTGGCAATAGTTCCGTGAACCTAAGTGCTCAAAGATCGGGCCCAAACTGAGCTTTGAAAGGTCAGAGGTGCCAAGGAAAATTCTTGGTAGAGTATCAGAGACTAGAAAGAATAAGTAGTTTGTCCAAGCAAACCAATTCAGTTCCTGGAGGAAATGGCAAAAAAAGGCTTAATAAGGAAATACGTAACTTTGGAGAATTATCTATGCCTTCTTCAGCTGGCTTTGCTCTCCTAGGTGAACGCTGTGTACTTGGCATTTTATTTCTTTACTTTTGGATAATTTTTAAATTTTAATTTTATATGTGAGTGTTTTGCTGGCAAGTCAACGTGTACCTAGTACCTCGGGAAGTCAGGAGGTGGTGTCAGATACCCTAGAAGTGGAGTCACAGATGGTTGTGAACTACCACGTGGGTGCTGGGAATTGAATCCAGATCCTCTGCGAAAGCAACATGTGTTCTTAACCTCTGAGCCATCTCTCCAGCTTTAGTTTTGGATACTTTTTTTTTTTTTTTTTGAAAAGGAAATACCTCTAGTTTTCAGGATAGTAAAATAAGGACTGAAATACTTGCTTTCCCCTAACTGGGATCAAGTAGGCATTTGTGCCTTGTTACTTCCCTAGAAAAAAAAAAAAAAAACTGAGCATTTTTCTGAAAATATTTTACTAATATCCCATGGCAATAAACCTCAGGCAGTGGTGAGTAGGTAAGGACGGTACAGGGAAAGGGGGACAACCAAGCACACCTTGGGAGCCATGATCCTATTTCAGTCAGAAGAAACCCTGCAGGAAATCAGCAAGAAAAAGTTTTATTTTGTAAGGCTGGGCTTGGTGGTCTATGCCTTTAATCCCAGCACTCAGGAGGCTGAGGCAGGCTGGTGTCTTTGAGTTCGAGGCCAGCCTGGTCTACAAAGCAATTCCAGGACAGCCAGCTATTACACAGAGAAACCCTGTCTGGAACAAAAATTAGGTTATTTTGTATTTTCCAAGGCCACAGAAGGTTTTAAAACAAAGTACAGAAGGTTTCCAAACAAAGTGTAATGAAGTTAAACATCAAATTGTTCAAGATGTAATACAACAGAATAGGTTTCACTTGTTCAACAGAAACAAAACAAATTCACAGAGGTGCATATACAGTATTAAAGGTCATCAGAAATACAACCAACAGGGGCTACTTCTGGGGTTTCTCTAACAACGATCTGCTTGCCACAGCCGCCAAAGTGCTGGCTGGGATTGCGTGAGTCATCACCACCATCCGAAATTTCATTTTATCCTCAAAGTATTTTCCATCTGCTCTTTTTCTTTCTTTCTTTTTTTTTTATTTTAGGAAAACCAAATCAAATAAAAATTTGCGCTTCAAGCTAAGCATGGTGGTACAACTTGTAATCCCAGTACATGAGAGGCTGAGGCAGGAGACTAAAGAGTTGGAGATCAACAAGACCATTTTTTATTTAAAAAAAAACTAAACTAAACTAAAGGAAACGAAACGAAAACAAATACATCTTAGTGTGGGGATGCAAGCATTTAAGCCCAGCACTGAGGAAGCACAGATAGGTGGATCTCTGTGAGTTTGGGGCCAGCCTGATCTACATAGTTCCATGCTATCCAGGACTATAAATAGTGAGAGCCTGTCTCAAAAAACAAAACCTAAATTTTACTTCAGACAAGCAATGAAGGAAATGATATTTAACCAACACCTCAGTTTCTGGGGAAGGGAAGGAGGATTAAAGAACAGGAAGATTAATGTGGCCAAATGTGCTATGACCCTTTATGAAATTGCCAAAAAAGTAATTTTCTAGCTAGGAGCAGTGACACACTCCTGTAATCCCAGCACTCAGGGAGGTAGAGGTAAGGCAGATGTCTTGAGTTCAAGGCCAGCCTGGTCTACAGAACGAGTTCCAGGACTGCCAAGGCTATACAGAGAAACCCTATCTCAGGAAAAGCAAAACAAAACAAAACAACAAAACAAACAACTCTGCTTTCTTAAAGTCACACACTATTTAGGCTTCTGCCACAGAGCTCAAGAAATAAAATGTGGAACTGAAAGTACAATTCGTGGCTAGGAGCACATTCTAAACCCCAAATGTCTAACACCTCAAACACAAACACGAAATTTCAACTGAAGCACCACCCTTCAAGCCCAGCCAGGGGTTTCCTCCTGTTTTAACTCATTCGGAACGTGGAAGCAGAAAGATACAGTTCAAGGTCAATGTTGGATATATTTTGGGTTTGAGGCTAGCCTAGGGCTGGTAACGTAGTTTCAGAATACCGATAAAGGAAAGTACAAAAACTGCCTCTGTACCAATCACAAAAGGAGCAGCTATCCTGAATGAAATTTCGTGTGTTACCTTTTCTATTAAAACTCCAGACACCCCTAACATAAGCTAAGCAACTTGAGCCTCCTGAGGGAAAAAAGTTCATGCTGTCCAAAGTGGTGTGTGAAGAAAAAGCAAATGGACGTTTTAACTCAGCTTCCTGTGTTTGATCTTGTGTAGCCACTGCCAGCCTAACTCAAGGCAACTCGGCCACCCGGGTTCTTCGAGCTCCCATAGGCCTTGGGCCGGGTGCCTTCCTGATGGTCAAGCCTCCTTGCTGTTGCTCTTTTCCCCATCCCTCTTGCTGGTAGTGAGGAAAGCACTCAAAGGTGCGGAAGGAAAGCTACCCGAACACATACTCACACCACTCAGGGGCAGGGAAAGTGGAGTCCGCGCCTGGGCTCGGGCTCGGCCTCGGCCAGACCAGCGGCTCCGGCCATCGCCGCTGAACATGGCGATTAGGCTTCCCTAACGGCCACTCACGGTCCAAGCCAAGCCTAAGCTCCATTGGCTGAGGCTTTGAAGTTGGCGACTCCCAGCCAATCAAAAGAGGGGTAGGGACCTGCTCCATCTTGCGCATGCGCACATGGGAATGCTCCTCCAAAGACCCAAAGCCTTCTCCGGAAGGTCGCTTGAAGTTTCAAGTTTGTCATTTGTCTCTGAGCTGACCAATGACTAGAAATTCCTTCACAGCAATACAGTGACTTTTTTAAGAAATGCGGATCCCAGCTGGGCGTCGTGGCCCCTGCCTTTAATCCCACTACTCAGGGACAGAGAGGCAAGGGAATCGCTGTGAGTTCGAGGTCAGCTTGGTCTACAAAGCAAGTCCAGGATAAACAAGGCTACACAGAGAAACCCTATCTGTAAAAACTAAAAAAGAAAGAAAGAGAGAGACAGAGAAAGAAAGAAAGGAAGGAAGAAAGAAAGAAAGGAAGGAAGGAAGGAAGGAAGGAAGGAAGGAAGAAAAGGGAAAGAATGAAGAAGGAAGGAAGGAAGGAAGGAAGGAAGGAAGGAAGGAAGGAAGGAAGGAAGGAAGGAAGGAAGGAAGAAGACTGATACCAGCCAGGCCTAGTAGTTGTGTGCCTTTAACCTCACACTTGGGAGGCAAAGGCAGGCAGATCAAGGCCATCCTGGTTTTCAGTTCCAGGGTAGCCAGGAGCTACGTAGTGGAGACCTATCTCAAAAACAGAAAAAAGACATGGTCTTGCTTGTACCTGTGAACAAAAACCTCTAGAAAGAGGTTGTATCTACAGATACTGCTTGACTGATTAGATCTACTGTCAGTACTGTGGAGGGACTGGAATGTTTCAGGTCCACACACCAACTACTTTATCCTGGGATAATTCTAGACCTCTAGAAACAGCCATTATATTTGCCCATCTCTGCGTTGGAACTAAAATCTTGTACTAATAATTAGAAACCATTTAGAATCTATTAACCTAGCAGATCATTAGCATCCACAAACCTAAAAGTTAAGGATGGCATCACATAACATCTTGGGCCTATGGGAAAGCTTTCCCTCATCTTGTATTCACCTCTCTGATATACCCACCAATATATCTTTAATTGCCTTGATTAATGACTTTCGTTGTTCTATAAAACTATACAACTTCATGAAACAGTTTCCATGTGATTTGGGTTTCCTCATCTGTGAAAAGGGGATACTAGCAGACCTAATAATACAGTTTAGAAATTAAACCGTGTGTGGAATTTTTAATGTAATACTTTGCCTGTAAATTTTTTGTTTTTTTTAAAAGATTTTTATTTATTATGTGTAGTGTTCTGCCTGCATGTACACCTGCATGCCAGAAGAGGGCACCAGATCTTATAGGATATTTTTAAGGCACTATATGGTTGCTGGGAATTGAACTCAGGGTCTTTGGAAGAGCAGCCAGTGCTCTTAATCCTCTTAATCTCTGAACCATCTTTCCAGGACTCCCCTCCTTTTTTTTTTTTTTTTTTTTTTTTTTGACAGGGTCTTTCTGTGTAGCCTTGGCTGTCCTGGACTCACTTGTAGACCAGGCTGGCCTTGAACTCACAGAGATGAAGGCCTGTCTCTGCCCCCCTAAACCGTGCTGGGATTAAAGGCATGTCCCACCATGCCTTGCCTGACTATAAATTTTTGTTTGCGTGTTTGTTATTTTGAGACATGGTTGCCTTACACTCTAATCCTCCTGCCTCTCAAGTGCTGAGATTATAGGTGTGGGTCACCATTTCAGGTTGACAATTTTTCCTAAAGAAAATGGACAATAATGTCCTTTAACTTGTTAGCTCATTTCTTCCTCTTCAAATTCAAGAAATTGGGACCAAAAAGACAAATATAAATCTATGCCTGGTGGCACAGGACTGTAACCCCACCTACTCTAGAGGCTGGGACAAGACTGAAAAAATTCAAGGTCACCCTGGACAATTCATCCAAACTCTGCACAAAGAGAGAACTGGAGGTATTGGTCAGTGCTGAAGCTCTTGAGCATGGTTAAAGCACTTACTGTAATCCAAAGTGTTAGTATTTCTTTAAAAATGATGCCACACACACATCAGATATTATGAAAGAGATTTATTGGATGGAGGTGGAGAGAGAGAGGAAAAGGAAAGAGAGAGACATGGTGCCCTCCCCAGGAAAGAAAGCAAGGCGGAGAGAGCAAGAAAGGAGAGGAGAGGAAGACAAGAGGGGAGAGGAAGAGACAAGCACGCAGGTCCTTTTATAGCTTGTGCATGGGCAGCTGAACTAGGCCTGCCACTCACCTGGTGGGGGACACAAGATGACATCATAGGTTACTAGGCAACCCAGAAGCAGGCTGCCTAAACGCTAACACAAAGTACCGTTATCAAGGAATACAAGTCTGTCGATGGTAATAAGAACATTTGATTGGCGCACACATGTAATCCTAGCACTAGTCAGGCGTAGAGGAAGGAAAATCCCCTGATTTTGAGACCACCCTGCTCCATCCGTATTTCAAAAGGCCAAACAGAGAACCTTTGAAGTATGTGTATCACTTTGCGGTTAAAACAAGAGTGCTGTACCAAAATCTGAGATCGCCACCCAGTTCACGTTTTCATCCCCATGGTTAACTGTCAACTATTAACAAGGCTTTGCCAGTGGAACCCAAAATGTCGGCCTCCTACAGCCAAAGAGCCAACCCTGTCACGTGACACGCCGTGTCTCAGCTTTCTTGGTCATTGCATCAGCCGAACCCAGAAGCCTTCTCAGAAACCGGCTTGTTGGCTCATTTGCGCATGATTAGCAAGTGAGTGGACCAATAATATCTGTGGATCACAAGGCGCTCCGGGGCACCTTCCATCAGAGCGCTCTGATTGGGCGGTGGGGTACGGCTCCGGCGCCGGTTGTGGCGGGTGGGCACAGCTCTGCGTCTGAGGGAGCAGGTAACTGGGGGCGCCTAGCTAGGAGCAGGTAACTGTGGGCTCCGGGCTAGGACTTGGGGCCCCGGACCCGGGGGAAAAGCAAAGAAGCCGTGAGAGCTGTAGGAGGAGAGCCGGCGCTTGGGGGCCCCCGGGCAGTCCCGCCCCTGCCCTGGGATCGGAACCCAGGCTCCGCTGGAGCACGAGCTCGGGAGTAGCTTTTGCTCCTGCGACCTCGGGTGGACTTGAGGACGACCAAGACACAGGAAGATCGCGGCTGCTGTCCACTTACCACCTAGAGTTAAGGGTTTGTCTCCTCTAATTTTAATCCCTTAGGGCACTGGGGGAGCAGGCCTGAAGATAGAGAGACCCAGATGGATGGAGTCCCTCTGAGAGACAGTTTCGCTCATTATTTTAGTTTCTAACTCCTATCCCACACTGGCCTGCACTCAACTCTGTAGCCGGGCTACCCTTGAACTCGAGGCAGTTCTGCGCCAGCATTTCTAATGCTGGAATTTCAGGCGTGAATCACCACTCCTGACTCGATTCTTGTTTTGTGACAGGGTCTCACTATGTAGTTCTGGCTGTCCTGGAACTCACTATGTAGACCAGGCAGGCCTCGACTCAAAGAGACCCTCTTGAGTCCTGGGACCAAAGTTGTGGACCACCACTCCCGGTCCGACTCGATTCTTAAAAACAAATAATAACGGAATAATTGATACCCTCAGGTTCACCCCAGTAAGCATAGTTGGCAATTTTTTCAAACGGTCTGCCTTTCCTGGTGTGCTTTGAGGTATGCTAATGCAGAGCATGCTATTTAAAGATGAGTATAGTTAATCATGAGCATGTGTTTAACGACCGTTGTTCTAGATACGGACGTACTGTAGTGCTGAGCTGAAACCAGTCATGATTCCTGAGTTAACTTATACTGTGCTTGGGAGTTGAGCATGAAATAGTCATGTGGAAATGATGATTTGAGTCTAGAAGACAACAAGAGATGGGGAACCTGGTGAAGGAAGGAAAGGTTTGCTTAGGTAGGTTTCTTTGCAGTTGGTCAGAACCCAGTCTTTGGGAAAAGGGGAGTGGTCAGGCAGAATGCCTACCTTGTCAATGGAAGCATGTGACACGATCCTGTGCCTGAAATCAGCTTGTAATGTAAGGTCACCAAGACTTCAGGTCCTTGGGTTTGGCCCCAGGCTTGCAAATAAAAACAAAAATAAAGTTACAGAAGGCCTTCAGAGCGCCTGCTGAGACATACCGTTTGAGGTCCTGCCTCTGTGCTGCAGGTCTCTTATGTGTGTGGAGGGAAGAGCAAGTTGTAATGTTGGAAACATTGTTTACTTATTTAGGTCAGGGTCTGGGATCTGGAACTCTCAGTTTTCATTCCTCAGCCTCCTGAACAGTCTTCAGTCTCTACAGGGCTAATAGCCAACATAATGGATCCTAGTACACAATGCTGGTTTTTTCCCTGTATGGAATGGTCTTCCTATGGAGGGCACTGACCGTCTTGGTTCTCAGCACACAATACAAGTCCATTATGTTAAATGAGTAAACAGAGATGGGAAATTCAAGTGTCCTTTGGAATGTAACTTCACCTCAGGTTTCCTGTTTAGAGAAGCATTTTCTTTAGCAACCACGACTTGTTATAAAGGTAAATTCATTTTTGCGGCCATTGTTTTAGCTAATGAGGCATGCAGACAGAGGAGGGGTGAGAAAAGAATGTGGCGTGACAAGATTTCCGAAAACCTTACCTTGACCCCTTTTCGTGAACAGCAAGAGCCTTTGGAAATGCTAGTCTGTTTCTTCTTCCCCTTTCAGCCCATTTTACCATCTGTTTGCCTCTCTGGGGCTCTTGTCTGAGTGATCTGTTAATTGAGTTGTAAGTAAATCCGCTGGGGTTGGGGTTGGCCCTGAATCAGGATGTCTTGTGTTTTGTGGGTATCTTTAAAACCTCTCTGCTACTTGATGTGAGGTAGTATCCACTTCGTGCCTTTTTGGACCCTCGCGTAAGATCCTGTTCCGTACAGGGACGAAACTCAGGCTGCAGCGATGCAGTCACCGTTAGAGCTGGGTCTAGAGTTCTAGAGACTGTGAGAGACCATCGTGAATGAAATAATTCTCGTTTTTCTGTGCAGCATGGCCCTGCAACACCAGAGAGCGATGGGTACACTCACCACAGCCTGTCAGCCCCACACAGTCTGCCTTTCAGGGACATTATACATATAAAAAAGATGTGAAGCTATAAAGGTGCCTTTTTTTTTTTTTTTTTTTTTTTTCTTTTTTTCGGTTTTCCTTTTTTGAGTCCCTGGGCTCATTTGGTCAGCTTTTCTTCCTGTAGCATACCCCCCTTTGAAATAATACATGCCCTACGACTGAGCGACACCCCAGCTCTTCTTCGTAACCTCGTGGTGAGAACACAGCCCTTTCCCAGCTAGGGTTCTGCAGATTTTAGGCTGAGTAGAGGTTGGTACATTCTTGATGCCTTAGGGTGGCCTGTGGCACAGATAGGTGTACCCCTGCGCTCGCCGCCACTGCAAGTGTCAGCCCAAACCTAGCAGCTCTGGCTTTGGGCATATGGAACTGGGTATAACTCTCAACATGTTCGTTAACAAAGAACTTGAAAGATCTCTGGAGGCCCTAGATACAGACCCCTCTTTTTGTTGAGGTGATCCCCTCAAGGACTCAGATTAGAACCAGGTCTCCTGAGCCTCTCCCCCTTCTTTAATGGAATTGTAAAGACCATGTGGTCATTTCTTCTCTTCTGATTCCTGGCAGTCAGTGCTCAGCGCGTATTTGTTTAATGAATGAAAACATGAAGAAGAGACCTGCGCTTGAGGCTGGCAGGGGCAGGAGTGACTGGGATCACTCTGCTGGTGCAGCAGAACCGTAACCGGGGGGTGGGGGGTGGGGGACGGGGACATTGCAACACACAGGTTTTAGGATCAAAAAAGCTAACCTGTGTCATTCTTTGACTTGGCTTAAGAAGCCTGGTCTTGTGTAATGCCCACTTTTAGTTTTATTTCCCCTAATTTCCCATCATTCCTTCCTTTGGTTAGCACCCTGAGGTGACTTTCAAGATGGACTCCACTCTAACTGCAAGAGAAATCCGAGAGCGCTTTATAAATTTCTTCAAACGGAATGAGCACACCTACGTCCACTCTTCCGCCACCATCCCATTGGATGACCCTACTCTGCTCTTTGCCAACGCAGGCATGAACCAGGTAAAGACCTTCAGTCTTTCTACTCGACTGACTGACTCTGGCAGCAGAGCAGCAATTAAAGAACAGCTCTTGGGTTAAGGGGCGAATGGGTTCTGTCACTTACCGGGCAGACTTCTGTGACTTTCTGTAGAGAACATTAGTTTCTGGAATGAAGAATAAGAGTGCTGCTGTGGGTTATGGATAAGAGTGAGAGACGGGTTGGGAAGATGACTCCCACCAAGAAGGTCATTTTTAAATGAGTTTTGGGAAAAAAAAAAAAAAAAAAAAAAACAACTCATATCGCTGGGCATGGTGGCACACTCCTTTAATCTCAGCACTCGGGAGGCAGAGATAGGTGTATCTCTGAGTTTTAGGCCTGCCTAATCTACAGAGTGAATTCCAGGACAGACAACTATTACACAGAGAAACCTTCTCACGAACCGCCCCCAACGCACACACACACAAAAAAAGAAAAGAAAAAAGAAAATTTTTTACAGCATTTGAGATCAAGGATTCGATAGTCCGGGTAATAGTCCAGATGTGGTTGTGCAAGTTTAATCCTAAGCAATTGAGAAGCGGAGTAGCAGGTGGTTCTCTCAAGGACATAGTGAGTTCCAGGACAGCCAGGACTACAAAGGAAGGAAGGAAAGAAAAATTTAAAAGAATTTGAGGCTAAACTAAGCTATATTGTAGAACCCAGTCTCAAAAATATATATATTTTAGCTCAAGGACAATTGTTTTGTGTGTGTGTGGTTTCATTTGTTTGTTTTAGCCTTTTAAAGAGAACCCAGGAGAGGCAAGCTGTAAATCTTGCTGCAGTTGCCTACTTACTGCAGTTGCCTAGAGGCAAATGGGCAAGAGAAGGGGACATAAAAAGCCATGTTGTCTGTGTTAAGCTGTCCTGGCAGTCAGTCAGCCTTGTGGCAGTCAGGTAACTATATGGCAAGGAGAGGAGCTGTAGAGAAAGAAGATCAGGAAGTCCAAAGAATCCCAGCGAGCATGCCAGAGCAGAGACAGAAAGAGAAGAGGAAATCCATACTTTTCTGAGGAATCGAAGGTGGGCAGACTTATAAAGGTGCATGCTGCAGCCCTGTAAGTTATTACCCCTTCCCCCAAAAGATTCTTTTAAGATTTTATTCTTCTTTTCATTGTCTCTTTCTTCTGAAGAAAAAGCTATCTTTATTGGAATGTTTTAAGGGCTGGCAAGGTGGTTCAACGCTCAGGAGCACTGTCTGCTTGTCCACAGGACCTAGGTTCAATTCCCAGCATCAACACAGTGTCTCACAACTATCAGTAACTTCATTTCTAGGGATCCTGTGCCCTCTGTGGCTCTTTGGGCACATAATGTTTTCTTTTTTTCCTTTCTTACTGGGGACTTAAGGCAGGACCAACAGGAGCTCTGTACCCTCAGCCATCTTAAGTGTATCTGTGAGCGCCTGCCCCTGGAACTGAGCCCTGCCCACTGTGGTCTCCCAAGTGCTGGAATTAAAGGTGTATGCCACTACACCTGTTTTTTTTGTTTGTTTGTTTTATTTAGCTTAGTTGTGTTTATTTTTTGAGACAAAGTCTCTCTACATAGTCCTGGCTGTCCTGAAATTCACTCTGTAGACCAGGCTGGCCTAGAACTCAGAGATCCACCTGCCTCTGCCTCCTGAGTGCTAGAATTAAAAGCGTGCACCACCAAACCTGGTCCTGGCAAACATTTTTTTAAACCTTTTTTTTTTTTTTTAATGTTTATTTTATTCCATATGTATGAGTGTTTTGTCTGCATGCCACATGTGTGCCTGTCAGAAGAAGGTATCAGAGTTTCAGGTGGTTGTGAGCCATCGTGTGGGTGCTGAGAATTGAATCTCAGTCCTCTGTAGGAACAGTAAGTGCTTTTAACCCTGAACCATCTCATCCAGCCCCTCAAGAAAAGTCTTTTTTTTTTTTAAGGATTGATTTACTTTTATTTTATGTGTATGCATGTTGCTTGCACATATTCATTCCCACGCAGCGCCCACAGAGGCCAAAAGAGTGTGTTGCCTTCCCTACAATTGGAGTTACAGACAATTGTGAGCTACCAAGTGGGTGCTGAGAAGTGACGCTGGGGCCTCGATCTCTTAAGTGCTGAGCCGTCTCTCTGGCCCTCCTATTTAATGTCAGTTAATTTGTCATAGTCACAAGGAGCTGTTGGTTTCTAAAGTGTGAGTGGGTAAACCCCAGAGCAGGCACACACCACACCTATGTGTCCAGCAGCTAGTGGTGACTGCACCTCCCTAATCCGTCTCAATGTTCTCCTTCTTTGTCACCTTTACTCCCAAGGGAACATATCCGTCCCTTACAAGGCTTCTTCCAGGATGACCTGAGATAAGTGGTTCACCTATGGGTCATGACCCATATCAGATGTTTACGTCACTATTCTTGACAGTAGCAACATGACAGTTGTGAACTAGCAACAACATAATTTTGTGGTTGGGGGTCACCACAGCGTGAGGAAGTCTCGCAGAGGGTCTCAGCATTGGAAGGTTGAGGACCACTGATCTAAGATATGGACCCACCTCCCTCCAGGTTGTGGACACTTGACCTAACCTGCGGCCCTCTACAAGTCACACTGTTCCTTTCTCTCTTCTTGTAGTTCAAACCCATCTTCCTAAACACAATTGACCCGTCTCACCCCATGGCAAAGCTGAGCCGAGCTGCCAACACCCAGAAATGCATCCGCGCTGGGGGCAAGCACAATGACCTGGATGACGTGGGCAAGGACGTCTACCACCACACCTTCTTTGAGATGCTGGGCTCCTGGTCCTTTGGAGACTATTTCAAGGTAAGCTCAGCATCGATTTTTTTTTTTTAATCTTTAACACAAAAGGGACGTGAGTCCTTAATTTTGTTTTAAAACATGAAATATCATTTAGAAGATTCGGGAACGAAGGACATTTGATAGTTCTGAGACTCCCACGTATCATTTGATGTTCTGGTTCCTGTTTCCTATATAAGTTGAATCTCTATGGTTTATAATGAAGATATTGCAGTTTTGCATCCATGTTCTGTATCTTTCTTTTTGTAGGAATTGGCATGTAAGATGGCCCTGGAACTCCTCACCCAAGAGTTTGGTATTCCAGTTGAAAGACTCTACGTTACTTACTTTGGTGGCGATGAGGCAGCTGGCCTAGAGCCAGATCTGGAGTGTAGACAGATCTGGCAGAATTTAGGGTAAGAGGGGCCTGGAGTGGTGGTTCAGTAATTGAAAGCTCATACTGCTCTTATAGAATTTTTAAATTTTTCTTTAAAGAAATTCTTGAATCTTTAAAAAAAATAATAAAAGAGGTGGGGATAAGAATGTAACCCACACCTGAGATAGATTCTTAAACTCAGGACAGCCCCCACCCCAATCCTTCCCTCTTTACAGTGGGTTCAAATATACACTTGGCCACTCAATTGTATCCCCAGCTTCTTGGCAGTTAGTTAGTAAATTTCAGTATGCAATCCTGATGGGATGACCTACCTGTAATCCCCATGCCTTACATATAAGACTTATATGTAATCCCCATGCCTTATAAGTCTTGGAAGGATTCCTGTTGATGGCTTCAAGTGGATTTCTCTGCCTTTCTCTGTGCAGACTGGATGATGCCAAAATCCTCCCTGGCAATATGAAGGACAACTTCTGGGAGATGGGTGACACGGGCCCGTGTGGTCCCTGCAGCGAGATCCACTATGACAGGATTGGCGGTAGGGATGCCGCTCACCTAGTCAACCAGGATGACCCCAATGTGCTAGAGATATGGAACCTTGTGTTTATCCAGTATAACAGGTAGTGTGGGCCCTGCTCCTTCTTTAACCAGAGAAACTGAAGCCGGCTGTACAGCTGTCTTCATGGCTGAAGGCTGTGTGGGGATCTTTATTTTTGGAGTCAGTGAGCAGCCCTAAGCTTCCGAAGCTCCTGGCACCTTGAAGCACTTCTTTAAATTGTATTGTCAGGTTTCCATTCTGATCCCTGGGACAGGAATGTGCCTATTTAAAAAACTTAACCTTGGGCTGGAGAGATGGCTCAGAGGTTAAGAGCACTGGCTGTTCTCCCAAAGGTCCTGAGTTCAATTCCTAGCAACCACATGGTGGCTCACAATCATCTATAGGGAGATCTGGTGCCCTCTTGGGTGCACAGGCGCACATGCAGGCAGAATGCTGTGTACATAATAAATAAATCAATCTTAAAAAAAAAAAAAGCAAACCCTAATCTTATCTCATATACTGCCTCCCTGAGCCATTTGCCTCGTATTTAAGAATAAGGTTCTGGGTACAGTGGTGCATGCCTTTAATCCCAGCATTAAGAAAGCAAAAGCAGGCTGATCTTTGTGAATTTGAGGCTAGCCTGGTCTACAAAGTGAATTCTAGGACAGCCATGGCTCTGTAGAGAAACCCTGTCTCCACACCGTCCCCACCCCCAAAAAATAACAAATAAGGCAAAGGGGCTGGATATGTACCCACCCGTCTCTTCACAAACAAGGTGAATAGTAACAACTTTTAAAGACTGCTAAGTGCTTTTTAACTGGCAGGACCCTAAGAGCCTGGGTCCCTGCTTCAACAACTTCTTTTTCTCATACAGGGAAGCTGATGGCGTTCTGAAACCTCTTCCCAAGAAAAGCATTGATACAGGGATGGGCCTAGAGAGGCTAGTGTCTGTGCTGCAGAACAAGATGTCCAACTATGACACTGACCTTTTCCTTCCTTACTTCGAAGCCATTCAGAAGGTACTGACCCCGCTGCGAGCCTGGATGATGCTGTGGGGGTTTGCCAGATGGACTTTTAGCGTGAATGGCCATATGCTTTGACAGCCCAAAAGTACCTGTTGCCGTCTGCCTACGTCACTACTGTTATGCCACGCTATGCCGTTTGCAGGGGTAGGCCCCGGCTTGAGGCTCTTTGGCTCTCTTCGCGCTCACTTTCTTGGAGTTGCGGGATGTGGCGTCCTCTCCCAGACCTCCTTATCCTCTGGAGCCTGCTTGGGTGAGGCGGCATGGGCTGGACTGGACTGTCTTATCGGCTTCTTCTGCTGTTCACCTGTAGGGTACAGGTGCCCGGCCATACGCCGGGAAGGTTGGTGCTGAGGATGTGGATGGGATTGACATGGCCTACAGGGTTCTGGCTGACCACGCTCGTACCATCACTGTGGCACTGGCCGATGGCGGCCGGCCTGACAACACAGGACGGGGGTGAGTCGGGCACACTCTGGGCAGGGTTTTCTGACTGTGGAACTTAAAAGTCAGACTTTATTATTGTTTTGTTGTTGTCTTTTGTGTTGGTGGAAGGATCCCTTCCCTCCCCTCTTTTTAAGAGCTAAAGGGAGTTTTCATTTGTTTTAAGACTACTGTGTTTAATAGTTTCTACTAAGTACTGAGGTAAGGCTGGCAGTGAAGCCGTCAGGCAGGATCTTGGCGGGGTAGGGGTGGACGTTGACTCAGCCCTGGAAACTGCATTCCTGACAAGCTGGGCCTGGGATCTCCCGCGTCAGTGGTTTTGTTGTGGGTAGCCAAACGAAATCTCTGCAAACACGGAGTGGAGCAAGAGGTTCGTGCTGCGCACTTTGAGTAGACCTCTAAAGGAGCTACCACGGGCCCCTCCGCTGGTGTGTTTCCCAGCAGATGCTGAGGTCTGCCTCCCACAGGTACGTGCTGAGACGGATTCTTCGCAGAGCTGTTCGCTATTCCCACGAGAAACTGAATGCCAGCAGGGGTTTCTTTGCCACACTGGTTGATGTCGTTGTGCAGTCTCTGGTACGTAGAAAGTCCCTGCTGACGTCTTCTGTGCTAAAGCCGTAGCCTGAGAGGGAGAGGGTGAATGGTAACATACAGCCAATGGACACTTAAAGAAAGGTGATGGAGGCAGTATACACTTTTAATTCCAGCACTGAGAGGCAGAGGCAGGTGAGTTTGAGGCCAGCCTGTTCTACATTTTGCACGTTGTAGGCCGCCCAGGACTACAATGCATAAGGAATTCCAATTCCCCATCTCATAAAAGCAAGGAGTGTGTCGAGAAATGGGCTCTGGCCTCACTGAACCTCTTTTGTCAGGGAGATGCATTTCCTGAGCTAAAGAAGGATCCAGACATGGTGAAGGACATCATTAATGAAGAAGAGGTACAGTTTCTCAAGACTCTCAGCAGAGGGCGGCGTATCCTGGACCGAAAAATCCAGAGCTTAGGAGACTGCAAGACCATTCCTGGTGAGGCCCACTTTTCACCTTCCTTCATCCACATCCACCAGGTCGGGGAATCCTGGGAAAGAGTAGTTTCTCACCTGTGCCAAGGTTGAAAGTACCTTAATCAAACCGCTTTTTGGTATAAAGTAAGACTAAGAGCAAAATGAAGTGTAACAGAATTTACTGTGGGAAAAGTATTCAAACAGTGCAGCTGTTTGAATAGTGAAAAGCCTTTTCCAAGTACATATCTGAAAAGTGAAAGCCTTTTCCAAGTATATTTCTCAGCAGTAAAACAAAACAGGAGTTGGCAAGATGGCAACTGTGTAGTGACATTTTTGAGAATTCTGGGTTTTTGGTTTCTTTAAAAAACAACAACACAGTAATATAAGGATGTGTTTATGTTTTAATCCCTGCTGTAGGGATGTGACTTTGGACTGTCCACAGCAGCTGACTATGATTTGCCCTGTGCTCTAGCAGAAGCATGGTTTTGCCAACTGCTGGATAGATTATGTAACGTTTGGAATTCTGGGAACTTTTCAGAGGATACATAAATTGAGGGCCCCAAGAGGTGGAATCAGTGGTTGTTAGTCCTTTAGTGAGGTTGTTTGTAGTTTGCTAGTAGCCGTGGTTAAAGAAGAAACAAAAGGAACAAAATTAGATTGAGGGCTTAATTCCTCTCTCCTGTCTATCCTTTCTTTTTTCCTATCTAGTGTTAGGGGAGAAGCCAGGGGTATAAAGGGTGGGAAAAAGAAGAGCCCACAATGTAGTAAAGACCAGCTACAGAACTGTAGTTTCAGCAGGAGGATCACAAGGTCAAGGCCAATCTTAAGGCTACATAGCAAAATCTTATCTCAACAAGAAAAACAAAAGATTTTGGTGTGTAACCAACTCTTCAGGATTTTTCTCTGTTTGCATGAAATTGCAAATAGGCAATTATATCTACATATTTTGCACATAAACATAATATCATCTTGCAATTTGCTTTTATCTTTTCACCAGCTGAGAAAAATTTAAAGGCTTTTTTTCCCACAGTTTTTTGTTTAGTTTTAATTATATGTATGTATGTATGTATGTATGTATGTATGTATGTATGTATGTGTAAGAGAGAAGAGGGTGCTGGGCCCTCGAGAAGACTAGAATTAATAGTTGGTTCTGAGTAGCCTGACATAGGTTCTAGAAACCAAACCCAGGCCCTCTGCAACAGCCACAAGTGCTCCTAACCTCTAAGCCAGCTCTCCAGTTCTGGCTATTTTTCTTCCTATTGAAATGCAATGTTTAAAGAGCAATATTCATGAACTCATTATAGTGAGACCAAGAATCAGAAATTTAGGCCGGGCATGGTGGTACATGCATTTAACCCCAAAACTTCGGGAGACAGAGGCAGGCAGATCTCTGAGTTTTGAGGCCAGCCTGGTCTACAAAGGGAGTTCCAGGACAGAAATTTGTCAGGAGATCCTTCATCTTTTTTTTTTTTTTTTTTTTTAGACAGGTTTTTCTATGTAGCCTTGGCTGTCCTGGGTCTCGAACTCAGAGATCACCTGCCCGAGTGGGACTATAGACTCCCTTAATCTTTCTTATAGCTCAGTCCTAAAGGATTTCAATTGCCTTAACTCTGTTCGCTTTTGTCACTTCCTGAAGCTTCCTGGCAGGGTTTGTCCATGTTGTTTTGACACAGTTCCTTTATCCTCTGTAGGAGATACTGCATGGCTCCTCTATGACACTTACGGGTTCCCAGTGGATCTCACTGGACTGATTGCTGAAGAGAAGGGCCTGGTGGTAGATATGGATGGCTTTGAAGAAGAGAGGAAACTGGCCCAGGTAAAGAACGTGAAGAATGACTTCAGAGCACCTGTCTTCCCATCTCACTAGCTCACTTCCACCCTCAGGACTGTTTTTTCTTTCTTAAGGAATAACCTCCATTTCTATTACCACCAACACCAGGAGAAAAAAAAAAAAAAGACAACAGTTCGCAATAATGTATAAAGGGACATTTGCTGTTCACAACTAGAGACCCATGTTCCTGTCATCTTGTTGGTAGAGCCTAGAGCTGCTACCTAGTGTCCTGTTATGTAAGAGGTCAGCCCCAAAACAAAGGCTGGGCTAGCCCCAACTGCCAGTAGTGCTAAGATTAAAGAACACTGTTCTTTTAGTTGTTCCTCAGCCGTGGTTTAGCAAGTCTCCATTCTCTTTTTCTCCCATGCTGAGGCAACTAAGGCTTTTGTCTTTTGTTTTGACAGCTGAAGTCACAGGGCAAGGGAGCAGGTGGGGAAGACCTCATCATGCTGGACATTTACGCCATTGAAGAGCTCCGGGCAAAGGGTCTGGAAGCCACAGATGATTCTCCAAAGTATAAGTACCATTCAGACTCCAGTGGGAGCTACGGTATGCTGCTGCCCTCTACTTAGATTCCATGCTGTCTGCCCTTTTTTTGGGGAGTTTTAAAGAGATAAGTCTCAAAGATGGGTCATGCTGAGTACCTTTATTCTCATAGGCACCCTTAATTGGTGGTTTCCTTAACTGTTTTGAAATACAGTTACAGAAAGTTGTTGTTTTTTAATCATAAGGAGTTCCAGTTACTCTTGAACCAATTTTCCTTAATTGTAACACCATGCAGAAAAAAAGCAGTTGGCCTTGAAATAGTCCCAGTCACAGTAGCTGTTGAACTCTGCACAAGCATAATAGAATTCTAAGTAAACAAATGAATATGCAAAACATAGGCCTGGCAGAGATCTTTTTAAACCAAAATCTATATAGTGAGGCTGTTTATTTGTTTGTTTTGAGACATGGGTCTTTACAGGGTAGCTCTGGCTAGTCTAGAATATCCTGTTTAGACCAGGCTGGCCTTAAACTCAAAGGAATCCACCGTCTCAGCCTTCCAAGTGCTTAAATTAAAGGCATGTGCCACCATGCTCAGCCCAAGTCCAATAGCTTTAAGAGTGTGCATAATAAGCTCTAGTTTGAGCTAGAGACTATTTAAACTATAGAAGACAGAATCAGATGTACCAAGTTCATTGTCTAAGGTACAGGGCGGCCAACTGTCCACTTTGTTTAAACATGTTTAAACATGTTAACAATGAAAGCCTGTCCCCTGGGAATCCCTGAGTTTTAGAAACGGCAGCTCTTGGTCACTCTAGTGAGAATTGATTCCCTGGGGAAAGATCAGTGTGCTGGTTCTTTTATAAAGTCTAGTGGGCTGCTTTTCAAAATACAAAAGAGTATGTGAATTGTGGGGTGGTAGCTCAGTGGGGCAGTGCTGTGTGAGGGTGTCTGTTCAGTGTCAGCACTGGGGCAATGTATATGTCACCAGAGTGACTGACGTGTCTTCCCCTGTCTCTGCTCCTGTTGAGCAGTGTTTGACTGCACAGTGGCTACCGTGCTTGCTCTACGTAGGGAAAAGATGTTTGTGGAAGAGGTGGTCACCGGCCAGGAGTGCGGAGTGGTGCTGGACAAGACCTGTTTCTATGCTGAACAAGGAGGACAGATCTACGATGAAGGCTACTTGGTGAAGGTTGATGACAGCAGTGAGGATGTAAGGCCAAACTTCTTTCTTGTTAGCTATGGGAGGCCAGGCATGGGTGACTTCCTTCTTGTTAGCTATGGGAGGCCAGGCATGGGTGACTTCCTTCTTGTTAGCTATGGGAGGCCAGGCATGGGTGACTTCTTTTGCTCCGTTACACTCCGGCCCTTGAGGAGCTGACTAGAGAGATGTTTGGGTTTTATTTTTTTTGTTGTTGTTAGTATATCTTCTGCAGCCAGGAGGGCTGCTTTTTATACCTGTTACCATCTCAGTTCTTAGGTACCCTTAGAGGGGAATCCTTGCAATCAGGATGCAAGTGCTAACACTTGCTTCCTTATGAATAAGGATAAGCAACTCTATTTTCACTTGTTGGTTGGTTTTGTTTGTTGGCTTTTTGAGGCAGGGTCTCACACTTATAGCCCAGGTCAGTCTTGAACTCCCAGTAATCCTGCCTCAGCTTTGTCTGTGTTGGGAGTAGAGGTACGCATCACCATGCCTGGCAAAGACCACTCTTGCAGGACAAACAGTCTTGTAGAAAGCTCAGCCTATAGCTTAGCCACTGTTGACTGTTTGGTCATGATGAGTTGGTCACTTGGTCTCCTTCGGCAGCTGATTCCTACCAATGGTATAAGATCCATTTCATAGGATTTTAAGTTGTCCCTTGCTGAGAAAGTAGCTCAGTTGGTAGAGTGCTTGCTTAGCATGCACAAGGCTTGGGTTCAATCCCAGCACTGAATAAAACTGGGAGTGGGGCTATGGATATGAGAGTGAGATGTCAGGAAGAGTAAGACCAGGTTAACCCCAGGCTCCCCGGGACATTAAAGTATGTGTATCGTCTGATGGTAGGGGTATGTATGTACAGAAAGGGAGGGCTGATCTATTTGGAAACTTTATTTACTTGTTGGTGTCCTTGACTCTGCAGAAAACTGAGTTTACAGTGAAGAATGCTCAGGTCCGAGGCGGGTATGTGCTGCACATAGGAACAATATACGGTAACCTGAAAGTGGGGGACCAAGTCCGGCTGTTCATTGACGAGGTAAGTTGAATAGGCTGGTCCACGTTTGATGTTTATTTATCTTCTTGGGTGTTTTAAGACAGTCTTTTGAACACTTTGTAGTTAAAGCTGGCCTTCGTTACCTGCTGCCTTAGCCTTCCCAGTGCTAGAATCATAGTCCTGCCCTACTCTGTCCAGCTTCCCATTTTTAACTATTTTTAATATTTTTATTTATTTTTGGCTTGCTTCCTTCCTTTCTTTCGCAGGGTCTATCTACAGAACCCTTTTCTGTCCTGGAACTCACTATATAAATCAGGCTGGCCTTGAACTCACAGAGATCTGCAACTCTTAAATACTGGGATTAAAGTCGAGCACCACCACACCCGCCTATTTTTAATATATATATATATATATATATATATATATATATATATATATATATATATATATTTTAGCTCTGTGCACCTGCCACAGCACACATGTGGAGGTCAAGGAGTCAGATCTCTTTTTTTAAGATTTATTTATTTATTATTTATACATATTCTGCCTGCATCAGATCTCATTACAGATGATTGTGCACCACCATGTGGTTGCTAGAATTGAACTCAGGGCCTTTGGAAGAACAGCCAGTGCTCTTAACCTCTAAGCCATTTCTCTAGCCCTTGAGTCAGTTCTTACCAAGTAGGTCCTAAGTATTGAACTCAGATTGTCAAGCTTTGTGGCAAGTGCCTTTGCCCACTGAGATATTTTGTTGGCCCCTCCTAAATGAAATTGTTAACAAAGAACAGTAGTAAATGTTGGTGCATTTTCTAGATTGTAAAGAATGAAGCTCAAGCCTATTTGGTCCCAAGTTAATCTTTCCATAAGTGTTATTTATCCTTTGAAAATTTCCTGCGTGTATACAATTTATCTTGATCCTAGCCTTTGAAATACATGGATTGCTTTTCAAGGAGTCCGCATTAAGGCTAGGAATCCGGGCAATGTGTGGGTACACATTGTACTTGGGCTTACACAGGAAGATCAAGCGTTTGAGGTCAGTGTGACCCTGTCTCAAAAACAGAAAAGAACTAGGTTCTGCATGTGACAGAACTCCAAAGTAATAGCTCAAAAGCAGGCGGTAATGTGTGTTTCACGTTATATAAACATAATAGGGCCAGCTTCTCTTTGCCTGTTGGTCATCCCTAGGGTTTGCTCAGGATTTGGTTTCATAGACCAAAAAGGCAGTTGTCCAGGCCAGGCTTCTTTTTGGAAAGGGCCGGGTAGTAAATGTTTTTGTTTTTTCAGGCACACAGTATCAATCACAATGTGTGGTACTGCATGTTTACTATTTGACTGTAAACATCTACATGTTTACAGATGACTATAGTTGTTTTCCATTAAAACTGTTTATAAAACCCTATCAAAGCCAACAAAAGGCCTTTAATCCCAGGAGGCAGAGGCAGGTGGATCTTTGAGGTCCAGGCCAGCCCAGGCTACATAGTGAGACCCTGTCTCAAAAACCAAAACCAGACAAGTCAGATGTGGCCCATAAGTCCTAGTTTGTTATTCTGTTGTAAACAGAGGAAGGAGGGAGGGAATACCCTTTAAAGGGTACTAACTTACTTCTCACGTCCTCTTGACCAGAACCTAGTTATAGGCTCACTCTTACCTATAAGAAAACTGCTTTCAACCTGAGCAGCTTTGTATTCAACAAAACTTCCTAGTCCATGGGGACAGCTCTCTAGCGGCTATCTCTGCCTTCTGCAGCCCCGGCGGAGACCCGTCATGAGCAACCATACAGCTACTCATATCCTGAACTTCGCCTTGCGCTCGGTGCTTGGGGAAGCTGACCAGAAAGGCTCCCTGGTTGCTCCAGACCGCCTTCGGTTTGACTTCACAGCCAAGGGAGCCATGTCCACCCAGCAAATCAAGAAGGCTGAAGAGATTGCCAATGCCATGATTGAGGCAGCTAAGGTAGGTTCTACCATATCTGAGCTCTTGGGACGTGAAGCTCACTCTTTCCGCACCATCGCTTTCTGTCATGGATGCTCAGCAGTCCAGTTGTTCCCACTTGGTTGTACCACATCCTGTCTTGTTCATAGAGACGCTCAAAGTGGTGGTTCTCAGACTGCTTTTTAGTGGTGGTGTCTAAGGGCAGGAGGGAGGCCTTTGATCTCCCACCTCCTTAAGTAGCGTTTTCACTTCATGTTTGGCTCGCTTAAAGAAAGCTTAGAAATTCGTGTGTGGCTTTCTTTGCTTTAACATGGGGCATTATTTTAGAAGGCTCGGGGTGTGTGCCAGACAGTGTGATTATAACCTTAGAGCCCGAAGACAGGCCCATATTGTCTCACGCTGCCTTCTCACCTCCAGAGAGTCTCCCAGCTTTTTCCCCTCTTCTCTTTTTATGACAGCCTGTCTACACCCAGGATTGTCCCCTGGCAGCAGCAAAAGCCATCCAGGGCCTTCGTGCTGTGTTTGATGAGACCTACCCTGACCCTGTGCGAGTTGTCTCCATTGGGGTCCCGGTGTCAGAACTGCTGGATGACCCCTCTGGGCCCGCTGGCTCCCTCACCTCTGTTGAGTTCTGTGGAGGAACGTGAGTACCTTGGTAGGGACAGCAATAGATGGGCTTATGTGCTTTTGGCATCCCCCTTTGAGGATGAGAAGCTAGATTAGACCAAATGTCATCCCTTTGTTTCTTTGTTCATTATTTGCCATGCTTTGGATGGAACTCAGGGATGCTAAGGAACTTGCAGATGCTAAGCCAGTGCTCTTCCACTGAGCCTCAGACTCTCATTTTTCTAAGGTTGAAATGGAGTCCTCAGAAAGGGACTTGCCAAATAAGATTCCTAAGAATCTAAACAGCCCAGTGGTCCAATCAGACCACTTAGTGTCTGACATTAGCATTTCTTAGGTTTCCAGTGAAATGTTCTTCCCAGTTCGAAGAGATGAAGAACACTGTCTGCACATTTAAAGTTGTTGGCTCTTGTTCCCTGGGTCCATCTCAAAAAGAAGCTGGTGGGAATTCAGAAATCAGCAAGGTGTCAGCATGCTCATGGAGTTCCTGCCGTAGCATGTTCACGGAGTTTCTGCTCTGGCCCCAGCTCGTTCTAGTCCTGTGCTACATGATTCCCTTTGCCAGCCTGAGCGGCATCCGGGAAGAGAAACTTGCCAGAATCCACTGTCTGAGAGAGCTCCTGAGCAGGCCATGTGGTAGACCTGGCTCAGCTGGCGTGGGACCTCTTGCTTCTTAGAACTCAGCTTCCAAAAGAAGCCTAGTAGATGGCATATTCTTAAGGGCCTGAGTAAGCCAGCCAGAGCCTCCTGCAAGCCTCGGGCTAGCAGGGAACACGTAAGGTGTATAGAGGGCAAGGGGACCTGAGGGATCCAGTCCCAGGCCTCTTTCTGACCGAATCAGGCCTTCAGGTGAGTCTCACTTATACCCAAACACATGTTCACTGACACCTTAGGGAACGGCTCTCAAAGACTTAGTACCATCCTCTCAGAATGCGGCTGAGAGTTAATGCACTTTCAGTTCTCTGAGCAACTTTTGTTTAAGGGACTGTATTAAGATTTTAAAAAGTAATCCTCCAGCAGTCTTACCTAAGGAACACCTTTACATATATTAAAATATAGCTCATGTTCCATCAAAATGTCACATGCAGCCTAATATCAGTGTTACTAAGTTGGCTATTAGGGACGTTATCACCTTTGAAGATAGTCTCCTTTGGTTTTCATAACAGCCTGGTCTCTTTCCCATACTTGAGAGAACCAAAGCTCAGAGAAATGGTGTCCTGGCGCCTGAGCATTCTGAAGCCATGGCTTCTGGGCCTAGTCCAGCTTTCTTCCTCATCTCCTTCCATAACATCCCTTAAGGGTGAAAGGCCACTGGGTTGTGGTGCCAGATGCCTTTATTCCCAGCATGTGGGAGGCAGAGGCTGGTGGATCTCTTGAGTTTGAGGCCAGCCTGATCTACAGAGTGAATTCCTAGCCAGCCAGTGCTGCACAGAGAAACCCTGTGTGTGTGTGTGTGTGGGGGGGGGGGGGGTTTAACCTACTGTGAAGGACTGCTTCATAGGGCCAAGGCATCTAATTCACCTTCTTGATAGCCTTTTATGTTCTGCCCTTCAGACATCTACAGAATTCTAGTCACGCAGGAGCTTTCGTGATAGTGACCGAAGAAGCTATTGCCAAGGGTATCCGGAGGATTGTTGCTGTCACCGGTGCTGAAGCCCAGAAGGTGAGCAGGTCATGCTGGCATGTGGGCCCTGCCTGACAAAGGAAAGCTGTCACTGCACAATGCTTTTAGCTGTCATATTTATCATTTGGGGCCAGTTAGTTGGCTCAGTACATAAGGCACTTTCCACAAAGACTGACAGCCTGAGGTCGTAAGCCAGTGACCCACATAAAGTTTTAAGGAGAGCTGACTCCATATAAAGCTGTTCTCTGACTTCCACATGTGTGCCATGCACTTACACATCAAATAATAGTAGAAATTTCTAAAAACTAATAGCATCAAGAGACACAGAATCTTGAGCCTTCCTCCAGCTATGTGGGAGGACAGAGTTCCCTTCTTCATATGCTCTTCCTTCCCGATAGCCCAGAGGCAGACCTTCTGTGAGGAGCATGGCACCGAGGACAGTCATTCTGCAGTGGGAATTCCTGAGGAATGTTTTACCAGGCAGAAGGCTCCTAGTTCATGAGGGCCTGGTTACCCCAGACCCTGTGGTTACCCCTGAACCTGTGTCAGGCTGTAGCCTCAGCTGGCTAGGTGGATGTGGCAGCACCCTGCTTACTAAGGGGAAGAATACCCTAGTGTTTACTACTCTGGTTGTCCTCCTCCTAGGCCCTTAGGAAGGCAGAAACCTTGAAGAAATCTCTTTCTACCATGGAGGCCAAAGTGAAGGCCCAGACTGCACCCAACAAGGATGTACAGAAGGAAATTGCCGACCTTGGTGAGGTAGGGATGGCCTCTCTCTGCTTCAGTCTATCTGTTCTTTCTCAAGCCTGAGGATACAACCCTCCCTGTGCTTGGATTTTTTTGTTCTTTTATTTGTTGTGCTTTTTGTTTGTTTTGCTTTGCCTTTTTAGAGTCAGGGTTTTCCTGTAGCCTTGGCTGTGGACCAGGCTGGCCTTGAACTCAGAGAGCTCCACCTGCACCTGGCTCCCTGTGCTAGGATTAAAGACGTGCACCATCACTGCCAGCTCTGTTGTGTTTTTTGGAGACAGAGTCTTATTCTATAGCCCAGACTAACCTGGGAACACACAACATAGCTCAGGCTGCCCTCAGAATTGCAACTGTCATCTGTCCTCAGCATCCTTCCACATGCTGGGGGGTGAGTTTTTGTTTGTTTGAGAAGGTATATCACTATGCAACTCATGCTGTCCTTGAACTGGGTGTAGCCAAAAGGCTGGTATTTCCAGCAAGTCTTTGCAGGCCGTGTCCACAGGCTGGCTAAGGACCAGGCTAAGCCATCTTTATAATATCACTTTCTCTCCAGCCTTGCTGTGACAGCTTCTAGTCTTAGAACCAGCAGATATCTTTGTGTTTTTCTGTTTTGTCAGACACTGGCCATGGAAAACTTTGGTTCAAAGATAGAAGGGTGGGGTAGAGTGGGCTTGAATTTCACCCTTCCTCATAGTATGCCAAACCCAGATGGTCTTATGTTCTGATTCCAGGTCCTGGCCACTGCAGTCATCCCCCAGTGGCAGAAAGATGAACAACGAGAGACTTTGAAATCCCTGAAGAAGGTCATGGATGACCTAGACCGGGCCAGCAAAGCCGATGTGCAGAAGAGAGTGAGTCTTGGCAGTATTGGCAGCTGGAAGAGAGGTTTTCCTGGGCAGAGGCTGACAGGGTTGAGTTTCAGCCCTTTGCTAATAGGCCTCTCTCCTGGGCTTCTTACAGGTGTTAGAGAAGACAAAGCAGCTGATTGACAGCAATCCCAACCAGCCTCTGGTCATCTTGGAGATGGAGAGTGGTGCCTCGGCCAAGGCAAGCAGGGATGCCCTACTTCTGTGTGTGTGTCTTCCCTTCCAGCCTTGTCAGCTCTCTGTGGTCCTGAGGCCACTGCTTAGTACTAAAGTTAGGCTGAGCCATGGAGAGATCTGGTGGCCTGAGGAAGAATGAGCTCCCTGGGGGTAGTAGGCAGACCTTAGCCAGAGTATGAGCAATGTCCTGCCTTTGGTCTCCACATGGGCTCCTGGGACCAGCATCTGCTCCTGAAAGGAAATGGATGGTCTAATAAGGGCTGAGTTCCCCAGACTTCCTTGTAGAAATAGGGGTCCCTGTTCCAGTGCTATGACCTAACACAAGGTTCTGCCCACAGGCCCTGAACGAAGCCTTGAAGCTTTTCAAGACACATTCTCCTCAGACATCTGCCATGCTGTTCACAGTGGACAATGAGGCTGGCAAGATCACATGCTTGTGTCAGGTTCCCCAGGTCAGAACTTCCTTCAGCCTCACTCTAACTAAAAGACTGCAAGCCTCTGTGCTAGTGGGAAGCGCCGTCTGTAGCTTCTCAAAGAGGGGTTCTTCACAGTGTTTGCCAAGACTGTGTGCAGCCTTCATGAGAAACTGCTGATCTGTTCGCTTGTCACCTCCTTTAATGCCTTTTACCCCTCAAGCTTTCTTGTTGGTGGATGTATTAACTACTGGCTGATGCCTGCTTTGCTTTTTGTCCTCACCTTGACAGTGGCCATAGCTGCTCTCCTGTACCAGCGGGTAGAGTTAGTCTTGGCCTCTGGTAGCATCACCCTGGACACAAGTGGGTGCTGGTGGCTCCCCTCCTTGTGGTAGGTACCCCACCTCAGTCCCATCTTGTATTCTGACTACCACTTCCCCTTCCTGTCTCCTAGAATGCAGCCAACCGGGGCCTAAAAGCCAGTGAGTGGGTACAGCAAGTTTCAGGCCTGATGGATGGTAAAGGTGGAGGCAAGGATGTGTCTGCCCAGGCCACTGGCAAGAATGTGGGCTGCCTTCAGGAAGCACTGCAGCTGGCTACTTCCTTTGCACAGCTCCGCCTGGGAGATGTGAAGAACTGACGGGGTGGAAGCCTGTGCTGGGAAGCATTTCTCCAGAGTGCAGGAGTCTGGCCAGAAGCTCCTCTGCCACGAAGACATTGAGTCTTGGGACCTTTCAGCCCTATCCGTCCTGATCCAGCAGTAACTGGAACATACCTGGAACTGTCCCATGATTCTCATTGCTCCTTTCCATTAATGCTCTGAGCCATAGATGTCATCACCATCTGTCTAGAATCACTACCCAGGAATGCTATTTAACATCACAACCATGTCTAGATAAGGCCACTCTGCCAATCTGAGGCTTCTAGGCCTGCAGGTAGGAAGCCTTTCTGCTGCAGAAAATAAAAGGACCACGTGCAATACCTGATCCATTCCATGCACGCACTCTCCTTCTCCTGAGTGGGCCCTGGCTCCCTCAGATCCACACAGTACAGGCCGCAGTCCCAGCTGGTTCAGCCCCAGACCATAGTGGAGCGTGGGATAGCAGAGGCTGAATGGATGGGCCGAAACAGGCATTCAATATAGGGGGTTGGGGGGATTTCTACCGAATTGCTTCTAGTAGTTAGTCTCTTGGGACAACCTCCTAATGTCTTATGCTGTGCATGTCCCTTCTCTGCCTGCCTTTGAAGCTGCTGCCGAAGTCAGGCAGCTAATATAGGGGGTATGGGCATGCAGGTGTCTCTTGAGTAACCACCCCATCCCTGCTTCTTTGACTTAAAGTAGATTCAAGACCCTGGCCTAGCCTAAAATGCAGTTTGTCAAAGAGTCTATAAATAGCAGGGTCTGGAGGCAGTAGTATGGGGGAGGAAGAGATACTACCTGCTTATGCCAATTTCTGGGACTTAGAAATATATATATATATATATATACACATACATACATTTTATCTCCAGTGTCAGAAGAGATTCCATCCATTTATCAAACAAGTGTTGAAGCCAGCTGGGGGGCCTGAGTACAGGAGTGAAGAAAGAATTTCCTGAGTAAGCTTATGTAAAAGAGTATGAATGCAAAATTTAAGGAATACAACAGCGAGGAAATCCTGCTGTCCCTTGCCGTACTTCCTCCACGCCGCTGAGTGGCGGTGGGGACGGCTACCACCTCCCGATAGGCTTCGCGCGGGCGCGCATCTCAAGCGGGCGGAAGAGCCGGTGCGCGAGGCAGCCTAGCCGGCGGAAGCGGCTCGTGCGCCGGCGGACGCCATGCCGGGAGACCACCGCCGCATCCGCGGGCCGGAGGAGTCCCAGCCCCCGCAGCTGTACGCGGCCGACGAGGACGAGACGCCCGCTGCCCGCGACCCCACGCGGCTACGACCGGTGTACGCGCGCGCGGGGCTGCTGAGCCAGGCCAAGGGCTCGGCCTACCTGGAGGCGGGAGGTACCAAGGTGCTGTGCGCCGTGTCGGGCCCGCGCCAGGCCGAGGGCGGCGAGCGCGGCGGCGGCCCTGCGGGGGCGGGCGGCGAAGCCCCGGCCGCCCTCCGTGGCCGCCTACTCTGTGACTTCCGCCGCGCGCCCTTCTCCGGTCGCCGGCGTCGCGCGCCCCAGGGCAGCGGCGAGGACCGCGAGCTGGGTCTGGCGCTGCAGGAGGCTCTGGAGCCCGCCGTGCGCCTAGGGCGCTACCCTCGTGCTCAGCTCGAGGTGTCCGCGCTGCTGCTGGAGGACGGTGGCTCGGCGCTGGCCGCGGCGCTCACGGCTGCCGCGCTCGCCTTGGCCGACGCGGGAGTGGAGATGTACGATTTGGTAGTGGGCTGCGGCCTGAGCCTCGCACCGGGGCCCGCCCCTACCTGGCTGCTGGACCCCACGCGGCTCGAGGAGGAGCACTCTGCGGCCGGCCTCACGGTGGCGCTCATGCCGGTTCTCAATCAGGTGGCCGGGTTACTGGGCAGCGGAGAAGGCGGCCAGACTGAGAGTTGGACCGAGGCGGTGCGCCTGGGCCTGGAAGGCTGCCAGCGCCTCTACCCGGTTCTCCAGCAGTGCTTGGTGCGGGCTGCCCGCCGGAGGGGTGCCGCCGCCCCGCCCTGAAACCCTGAGCAACGTGCTGAGGACTGCCATCATCCTTCTCTCCCAAAAGGACCATCGCTGATGGTCGCCTGACCTCGCTAAGCTGAGAGCCAAGAAACGAGAGTCGGGGAGGGGCGCGCACAGAATCAGAGCACTGGACAGCTGTGTTGGAACGGTAAAAGGGCCTTTACAGACACGATCCGGTTGGAGAAAGTTGAAAGCAGCCTTACTCCCAAGTTGAAAAGGACTTACCAGGATTTACCTGGTAAATGAGACCTGGGGCTATGGTCCTGTAAGGGATGGACCCTGTGCAGGCCAGCCAGCCATCAGCTCCAGTATACGATAAACCGATTCTTCTGAGAGGATGGACAAGGGGACTTTGCCTTCTCACTACCCGGAGTAAAACATAAAAACCTTTTTTATATCTGGAAATACATCTGTTGTGGTTTTTCTTGGTGCTAGAGTTAGAAACGGTGTTCTGATCATGGGTGTGTCAAGTCTGTGTTTTCAAAGGCTCGAGTCAGTACTGCCTTAAATGTTCCTGTTAGCTCACTGTAAGTGAGAAGAGTTAGTGTGCTTCGGACGAGAACCTGCCCCAGGTACTGTGTGTAGGGCAGCTGCTGACAGCATAAGACTGAAGAGATAAGGACAGCCGGGACTACAGAGAGAAACCCCGTCTCGAAAAAAAAAGACTGGGGAGAGTTAAATGGCTTCAGAAGCCTGGTGCTCCCCTTTCCTCCCCTTAATTTTATAAAGGACAGGTCCATGTCTAGGAGTTGGGTAACTGGAAAGGATTATGCTCTGGAAGGACGGCCGGTCCCATCCTTCTTTGGCCAGTAGAGTAGCGTAACCAGAAGTTTCCATGGCTTTTCAGAAGTGCCCTGCCAGTTGTTGGGAGAGGCAGGTGAATCTCTTGAGTTCCAGGGCAGCCAGAGCTACTTAGAGAAACCCTGTTGCAAAGGGGGGAAGAAAAGTGGAGGCCTATGCTGACCTCATGACCTGGTGTCACCTGTCCAGTCTTTGCTCCAGGGAACAAGGTTCAGGGCAGCAGTGGACTCAAGAGTAAAAGCATCTAAGTACCATGACACCATTTACAGCCTGGCTGTTCCTTAAGGCGGCCCTGGCTTGACTGACCGGGAGTGTAGGGGCTTGTCCTGATCTTCACGTAGGGCTGAATTGGAGGAAGCTGTATGAGATTATTAAATTTAGGTATCCCAGGGGTCTGCTCAGCTTATGAGGACCAGGTAAAGAAGACCCTGACCGGGAGGAAGAAATGCATTTTTTTCCTTTTTACATGACTTTGTAGAGCAGATCTGAAATTCGTATTAATGATAGTGAGACTCAAGATAAAAACAAGACACAAGTTATTTTGCTCTGAAGAATGGTTTATGGCTTTGCAGGGTACATGGTGGGTTTAGCTGAAAGGGGGCATACAGTGACACCTTACCACATGGTAAGGAACATAACATAACACTGTAGGAACATAAGTGTGTTTCCACCATTTTCTCTGCAGAAAAGTCTCCACACCACAAGGTTTAGTGGTGTGTGGGGAAGGAGGAAAATAAAGCAGTCTGTATTGGGCTCGGCACTCTTGGGTGCCTCTTGCAAGACCATCTCAGTTCAGTGGGGATGATGTGATTCTGCTGGTCTGTGTGCCTTCCCTACCCTGCCCACATCAGTACTCATGGAAGAGAGCTCAGAAGTTACACTTAACAGCTACCAGGAGGTTTCCTGGGTGGGCTAGCTGGACCGTGCTTCAGCACTTGCAATGCCCAGGCTCCAGAAAGTTTACTTTAGGTTGCATGGGTGTGACCAGGAGCCTTACAAAAATACAAGACAAGGAAACAAGCCACCCAAGAAGTAACAGCTGAATCTGGAAGGCTTCCCATCCTCTACTGGCTATACTGGTCCAATGCTTGATTCTTCACCTGTAGAAAATAACAGGAGAGGCTGGCTTAGGGTGGGAGGCCCAGCCTAGGAGAGAAGGCCACCTGCTAAAATCTGGTTCCCAAAATTCCCCTCCTCCCCGTCTTGGACCTTTGGCAAGTCTGAGGCTATTCTGGATTCTTCGGGGGATAAGAAGGGAGCTGGAGATTGTCCGTGCTGAGCATACCCACTACACTGAAGCCTGGAAACCCAGAACCAGCAGGCAAGAGCAAACATTCTTTCCTGTAGACCATTCTTTTTCCATGGTAGTTGTGACTCAGGCCGTAGGGGCCATCGAGGATCCTCCTGAGCCCATCAGCCGGGGTTAGACAAGGAGTCATGAGGGGATTCATCACTACCAACCCTGACAGATTTGGGAAGCAGTGTGAGGCATTGGTAATGGAGGAAGATAGAGGAGAGCAGAGAAGACTTAGGCTCTTTACTACTATCCAAAGGGCCATTATCAGTCCAGATTTGGATTGTCTCAATTTAGGAACATTAGTATTCTGTAGCTTCCCTGGGGAGCAAGGAACAATGCATACTCAAGATCCTGAGGCAACCAACGGGATGAGGCCAGAAAAAGGAATTTTTTTTTTTTTCTTTTTTTCCTTTTTGTTTTGAGACAGGATTTCACTTTGTATCCCTGGCTGTCCTGGAACTCACTGTAGACCAGGCTGGCCTCAAACTCTGCCTCATACTGTGATTAAACACATTTACCACCACCACCTGGCTCAGAAAGTCAAATTTTAACAAGCCTGGGGTGTGCCTGGCATATGGAACATATTCTACAAAGTTAGAGTTTCTTTGTCTCCTTTCCAGAAGATAGTATTTCAACCCAGGACATCTGGCAGAAGCCCTTGGTATATATAGCTGAGTCAACGGAGCCCGGGTTGTCAGGATGTTTTTGTACACTGTGTAAAGACTGTATTATTCAAAGGCTGATTTCTGTGCCTTGCAGATTTGATTTGGGCAGACTTCGGCATTGTCATTTTTGTGAATGTGTCAGTGTTTTGTAAACATTGTTCTCCATCACCTTCTGATTGGTCAAATATAGAGCTGAACAGCCTATAGCTGAGCAGGAGAGTTAAGGTGGGACTTCCAGGTCCAGGGAGAACAAGGGGGTCCCAGGTGGGGACCAGAGAGAGGAGTCACCATTGGAGCATGGATGAAGAAGCAGGTGCCAGAGCAAGACTAAGATGGCAGGTGTTCGAATAGCTGCATATCTGCCCAGCTATGGTGCCTGAAGTGTTTAAGAAATGTAAAAGTCTGTCTCCCTGTCATTCAGAGCAAGAATGGGCATAAATAAAAACTTTGAATTTTACAGACTCAAGGGAATAAGAAGCAGAGGAGGGAGAGAAATGACTGTCCTAGCACTGCTCTTGGGCACAGATGGTAAGCCTGTCTGTACCCTTCTGTAAGTTCCTATGTAACCAAAGCGCCCTGTCTTCACTCACAGAGAGGCCACCAGAACCCAAACACATAGAGGGTGAAGAACATTCACTGATTGTCCCTTGTCTGTGTGTTGCACTGAGCTCTCTGCCTCTCAGTAGGCCCTCTGGCCCCTGGACACTCTTTGGGGCTCTGTATTTCTGCATGAGGAGCCCTCACTTCCAGGACACCTGTTCTCTTCCCTAGAGAATCAACAGTCAAAGTTTGGCGGTCCTGACTCAAGTCAGGAGCCTAGCAGTCATCTAGAACTCCAGAGAAGAAGAGGGAGAATGAGACAGCTGCTTCAGCTCCAGATGTCTGGAGGGTACTGGGACAACCCAGGGGTCACAGAGGCCCTCTGGCCTTGGGAACAGCCAGGAGAAATGAAGGAGAAGTACCATGCTGGTAAAAGAGGTCTACAGTCAAGAGAAATCCAAAGACAGAAGGATCCCAGTGCACTGGCATCTTCAGGATCTGAAGAAAACGGACCCATGGAGGGAGTGGCCTGGTCACCTCTTGAGTACCTGAGCTGTGTGCTGATCCCTCTGCTGCTCCATGGACTCCAGACTCTCCAGCAGGCTGTCCACCTGGGCTTTGATGCTGCTCAGCTCCCTCCTGATGGAATCAAGCTCCTCAGTCTGTACTGCTGAGAGGGGCAGGGTTGATGAGCACATGGCCACAGAGACTGAAAGCGGTACTGCAGGGGCTTTCTAGCCTTCCCTCCTGTCAGATAAGACGACCCAACGCCTCCCTAGCACTGAAGCTGAGGGCTGTACCCCTTACTCACCTTTCACCCGGCCCAGGGGCAGAGGACTGTTCCTGCAGGCCTTGTAAGGGCTGTAGGTGTTCTTGACCCCTGCACCTAGCCGAGTCCTTCCAGTCCTATGGCTCTCGGCTGGCACTTTGTTGGTGAGTAGCAGGATCCTCTTGCTTACCTCTACCCTAAAGAGACAGGACAGGAGGGAGAAGTCAATACACCCGGCTCCACCTCACCCTACCCCAGGACACTGCTGGCAAGACCCACCCATCAACTAGTAGGGTATGCCTTCGTATTCAACTCGCCACGTAGTTCAAGTCACAGTTGAACTATACGTACAACTGAGGAGGGGGAACCCCAGTCTGCCTGGCCCTCCGCTGAGCTTGAGAGAGCGAACCACAAACAACCTCCCCGAATCACCAACACCAGCCCCTCCACCTCTTGGCGGCTCTAGCATTTATATACCCTCTGGAAAGGTCCCAGAATTCCAAACGACACACAATCCCTCAAACTATTTTCAACTGGCCAAACCATGCCTCTGCTAGAGCATGAGGCAACTCGGAGCTGACGGTCCGAAGCAGCCCCACGTCCCCACACCTGGGATTAAAACAAAAACAAATTCTTATACTATTTCTGTGTTTTTAAAGAAACCAAAGTTCCATAATTGTCACTACACTTCCTTTCTTTCTTCCTTTCTTCGGTTGGCCTCAAACTCCACGCAGCTGACTGAGGCTGTGGACTCCGGTCCATCCAACCTTTTCCTGCAGCCCTTCCTTTGAATGTCAGGGAGAACACAGCAAACCAGCTTCTCCCTGATTGGACTCTTAATCCCCGCCCCCGCCCCACCCCAGGTTCCAAGCGGCAGGAGGGGGAAAACCGGCTGTACCCGGCTGTCTAGCCAGAGCCTGGCCCTCCAAAGGCCCTTCTGTCTGAGCCAGGGACTGCTGATCTTCGGGATCTTGGTCCGGCAAAGGATGAAAGGGGAAGAGTTAAGCCAGAGCCCAAGGTCGCAGTGTGGGTGTAGAGACTTTAATCCCGGCGTGGGAACTGCCAGAAAGCAGAGGTCAGAGAGCCAGAAGGAAGGGATAAGGCTGCCGCCAGGCCACCTGCCGCCGGCTGCAGGCCGTGGAAGACGGCGAGCTCCTAAGAGATACCAGGCTCATAGGGCGGCCTCCCCTCTCTTCACAGGGAGGGCTGAAGCGTCTCTGCAGACTAGTGGGTGTCGAACGTGCGAATACACAAAGCGTTGGGTCCTGTCTGGGTGAGCACATGGAGTTGGGAGTTCGGTCTAAACTTAAGAAACAACTTCCTGCTGCTGTCGCCCTACGTGCCCAGCTCAAAAGCAGGCTCCGAGGGCCGAGTGAAGGGTAGGTTGCCCATCTGCCCCTCGAGCCTGCACGGTCCCCACCGCTGTGATGGGATTTCCGGCCATCTCTGCTTCCTGGCTTCAGAGGTCGAGGTGGGCGGTCCAGGACGGCTCCGGATTCCGGCGGGTGGGAGGGAGAAAGAGAATGAGCAGGCGCAGTTCACACTGAGCGCTTTAGACATGGAAGAGACTAAACATCCCAACCAGCAAGATCCCCTCCCAGCCAGTGAGCATTGGTGGTTCAGTGGTAGAATTCTCGCCTGCCACGCGGGAGGCCCGGGTTCGATTCCCGGCCAATGCACGGCCTAAATATTTTTTTAAGCAGTTAGAAAAGAGAAACAGGGTTACTTCTATAGCCTTGCCTGTGGCAAACAGGCAGGAGCCTCCCAGCATACAGTTAGTTCCTTTCGCTGCGCTGAGCGCAATGACACCCTTCTTCCCTCCCACCCGTCTTTGGCTTTTCCTTTTTCTTCCAAGAGGAGCAATCTGGTTTCACTGGGGCTAATGACTGCAGTCTGTCTAAAAACTTGAGGTTTCCCACACAGAGAAAGAAGAAAGGAAAGGAAGAAGAAAAAAAAAAAAAAGAAAATTAAGAGAGAGGGGGAAATTAAGAAACCTAAAATATAACGTTTTGTAGATGTCTCTATAGGCAAAAACTAGACTACCTCCCAGAGCTCTGCTTTGGAAAAGGAAGGCACCCGTGTGGACCATGCCTTTCCCCACGTCATTCCCTCCGTGTGGACCACATCCACGAGAGGCAGTTCAGCTTCTCAGTGCTCAGAAAAGCGCATGCCCGGGAATCTGGTCCTTTTCTGAGGGCAATCGAAACCAAGAGGGTCAGACTGACTACGCTGTTGCCATTAACTGGGGAAAAACTTGGTGGCCCTCATAAGACTCCACCAGTCCCAACGGAAGTCACTTCTGCCTGCCTCAGCGCAAGTCTTGAAGGCCCAGAAGCCCTTCTGGACAGAGCCTGAGTCCCTGCCGGACAGGCTCACTACCTCTTACACCGCCACAGGCAACTACTTTTCCCTTAAAGTGCCCCAACAGAGGCTAACAGGATTGCAGCCAAGCCTCCCAGGCCAGGAAAATACGGATTAACAACAGCAGTGTCAAGAACTGAACAGGTCCCACTAGCCTCAAAATGGCTACGTTAAAACAACAACAAAACAACGAGCATGATTGTTGGCTTGTGAACCTTTCAGCAAAGTAGCTTAGTGTCCTTGGTCCTAGGAGCTGAACTCAAAGTGTCAGTCTTGGTGGCAAGAACCATTACCTACTGAACCATCTCACCAACTCTGTTCTTTTTGTTATTTATTCGTTTAGTTGGTTTGGTTTTTCAAAACGGGGTTTCTCTGTAACCCTGGCTGTCTTGGAACTCACTCTGTAGGCTGCACTGGCCTCTAATTCAGAGATCTGCCTGCCTCTACCTCCCAAGTGCTAGGAGTAAAGGCAGGCACCACTATACCCAGCCTGTTATTATTTTAATATCTGATATGTCCCCTATCCAAGGATTATATAGTGAATAGATTTTTGGTTTAGGGAGATAGTCCTTGCTGTACTCATTGTCTCCAGGAAGGGTTTACCCAAAGCTTCAATCCCAACACTTGAGAGACAGAGGCGGGAAGATCTCTGTGAGTTTGAGGCCAGCCAGAGCTACGTAGATCCTGTTTTAACATTAAATGAATGAATGAATGAATGAATGAATGAATGAATGAGAGGAAGGAAGAGATATGGGATGGGGGCATTAGGAGAAGATGAAGGGAGTTAGTGGTGACTAGAAATGATCATTATACATTGTATACATGTATGAAACTCTTAAAGAATTAAAAAAATACTGTCTTTAAAATAAATAAAATAGCCTTTAATCCTAGCACTCAGGAAGCAGAGGCAGCCCGATCTCTGTGAATTCATGGACAGCCTGGTCTACAAAGAGAGTTCTAGGACAGCCAGAGCTACACAGAGAAACCCTGTCTCAATAAAAATCAAAAAATAAATAAGTAAAATAAAAGACATATAAACACACATACAAAACAAGAGGATGGTGAGGTGATTCAGGGGGTACAGGTACATGTCACCAACACTGACAGCCTGAGTTTGACCCCCAGGACCCACACAGGTGAAGGAGAAAACCAAGTCTTGCAAGTTGTCCTCTGATTTCCACACAGAAGCCAGAATCATGTACATGTACACTTGTATGCATGGACACACACACACATACATATATACACATGCATGAACGCACATGCAAATTAATAAGTGTAATTTTTTAAAATTCTAAAGCACAACAAAAAGAGAAGTTTTTCTAAAAATTGTTTCAGGTGTGCCAAGCTAAGGACAAGATGCCATCAAGAAAGGTTACCAAACATCTATATTTAGGAAAAAAAAAAAAGTTTCTGATTTCCCAGAGGAGAGGTTCTCCTTGGAGGACTCCCTGAGACAGGAGGATGTCAGGTTGTGTCATCCTGATAGTGTGGCATGCACTTTGTCATTTCCCTTAGTCAGGGACAAAGCCTGAGGCTCAGGAATAAGTCGCAGGACTGAGCATCCTGAGGTGCTGGGTGGGCAGCACACTTAGGGAACCTTCTAGATTCCTTTTCCCATCTCAGGGGAATTCATACAAGTGAGCAACCAGCCTCCCTTGCTGACAGGATAAACTCACCAGAAGATGGTCCTGTCCTGTGGCCTCTTCTGGCCTCGACGGCCAGGCTGGGGCTCTGCAGCCATGTTGGATCTGACGGTGAGAGAAGAGAGGAGCAGAGGTGAGGGGATGAAAAAGAGCCACAGGAGGGTGGGTCATGTGCACTCATCAGCGGTCAACTTGGCCTTGGACAAACCCTAGCGGCCCCTGTCTAGGTCTGTGCTGGGGCTCCAGGGAATCATCCTGGAATCCTGGGCTGGCAAAGTGGCACTGTTTCCTTGACCCAAACCCATAGCCCAGGCCCTGGAGTTTAGGGAGGTACCGTCAAAAGGCAGAAGGAAGAATGGTCCTTGTGTCCTCTGAGAAAACACCCCGCCCTGGGCTGGGTTAACTTTCTTTGTCCTCCTGCTACCAGCCAGGGAGGGAGAGCGCCTGTGCAGGCCACCCCGGCACTAGCCACCATCACCAGGCCCACACTCAGCACCTGTTTCTGGGCTAAGCCCCAGAGAGCCGGGTTACTGGGAGCCAGAAACCAAAGGAACTTTTTGAAATTATTTTTTTTTATTATTGGGGTGGAGCACACACCACAGAGTGTATACGAAGGTGGACCAACGTGCTGGGGTCACAAGGATAAAACTCAGCTAGTCAAGCCAGACAAGCACTGAGCCATCTCGCTGGCCTGAAAAGGGGACTTTTTTTTTCCAGACAGTTGTGGGGGTTTTTTTGTTTTTTGTTTTGTTTTGTTTTTTTTTTAACACAAAGGAGGTGAACACCCGTGCACTCTGAAGGCTGGACAAGGAGAATGGAGAGTTTAAGGTCAGCCTAGACTACAGATACGTTTAATTTACTTTATTATATTTCATAAGCATCGCTGGCATTTCTAATCACCCCCTGCCCATAGTTCAATTTCTAGAGAATGCTGGCTGTGCTGCCTCCCGTTCTGGGCCCTCTACTTTCTGCTCTGCTTTCTTCTTCCGTTTTGTATAAGACAGAGTCTTACTTAGGAGACCAGGCTGGTTTCTAAGTCACAACTGTCTTACCCTAGTTAGCCACCACAAAGCCACAGGCATTGACCACCACACCAAGAAAAAACATCTTAAATTCTAAACAACCTCTTGGCTCACATTGAGTGTGGCAAGAGAGAGAGAGAGAGAGAGAGAGAGAGAGAGAGAGAGGTGTGTCTGGGTGTTTCTCGCTGAAACTGGAGCTAGACTGGCAGCCAAAAAGTTCCAGCAATTTTCCTGTTCCCAACCCCCAAGTGTTGGGTCTAAAGGAGGCGCCTGGCCACAACTTTCTTTTTCTTTTTTCATGTAGATTTATGTCACATGTACTTAAACACTCAGGAGTGTCTTCTCAATGGATGAACTAAAATAGTTGTGTCCCAACCAGAAAGCTGGGACACAACTTGCAGGATTCTGTTTCTTATCATGTGGACCCAAGCTGAGACAGAGCCTACATTCCTGAAAGAAGCTGTAAATACTTCTCTCTAACTTCCTTTCCCAGCCTTCCTTAAAGTTAGGGCCTGGGCACATTAGGACTTCCAATCAGACCCATAGACCCAGCTTTCAAAGATGGTTGCATCTCTGTTCCACTTTTGTGGTGTCAGGTGTAGCTACTGAGCCTAGCAGAGGCAATGGGATCTTCACGAAGCCAGCTGTACCATGCAGTCCCTTACAGATCTGATCTTCTTACTCTCCCATAGTCCTGGAGCTAACAAATGTCTTCCACAGACTCATTTCTGCTTAGAGTTGTCAGAATTAGTTTCTATAGCTTACAACCAAGATTCATACAAATACAGGACCAAGAATATGTGGAGTAGTTAGAAGCCCTGTAGAAGCTAGTTGGCAATTTAACGCTGGTAAGTAGCCAGGGGACAGTGAAAATCCAGCTAGTATTAAGGGAAAGGGCTTCAGCAGTCCACGGCATGTGTGGTAAGGCAGTTAATCCTGTGGTCCCTTAGAACAAAGAACCCATTAACTGCAGAGCTTTGCAGGACCTAATGGCTCCTGCCATAAAGGTACAAAGATCATACTGAAGTCAACTCTCTGCCTGTACAGAAACCAGTATTTGAATAATGCGAAGACAACCTCTACACAGAGCATGACAAGATTATCCCAACAGGTGTTGTTTCTCTCGTTACCCTGGAGAGGCAGAATGCGACCTCTCGGACTCCCTTACTATGTAGTTCAGGTTGGCCCAGAATACAGAATCTTTTTGCCTTAGATCCCTGAACACTGAGATCACAGATCTATGACACTAAACCGGGGTTACAAGCAGAAACTTTCGAAAGCACCGGATCCAGTTCCCATTGCTTCTTATCAGTTCCCCCAATACAGAAAGGATGTGTGGCTATTTGTATTTATTTAATGTGCCTGTGCATGCGGCAGGCAGAGGACAGCTTACCGGAGTCAGCTAGCGCCTCCCACCAGTGAGTCCCAGGGATTGAACTTCATCTGCTGAGTTATCTTGCTGGCCCTATTTATTAATTAACTTGTTTATTTCTTTATTTGTGGGTTTTTCGAGACAGGGTTTCTCTAGACCAGGCTGGCCTCAAACTCAGAGATCTGCCTGCCTCTGCCTCCCGGAGTGCTGGGACAGGCGTAAACCACTGCATTCATCTATTTATTCAGCTATTTTTAACACAGAGTCTTGAGGCAGGCCGATCTCTGTGAGTTCCAGGCCAGCCTGGTCTACAGAATGAGCTTTAGGACAGCCACGGCTACAGAGAGAAACCCTGTCTGGCGGGTGGGGGGAGTCTTACGCTATGGCCCACGCTGGCCTTGAACTTACGATGTTGCCCAGGTTGGCTGAGATAATTGAATTCCTCCAGCCTCAGCCTTCTGAGTGCTGGAATTACAGGATTGAACCACCACACCTGGCAGCGTACAGAATTTATGTAGTCTTGGATAAACAAACACCCTGACCTAGATAAGTTTGCCACATCATGAAAATAAAATAAAATAAAATAAAACAAAGTCCCCAGATGAAATTCCACAGAGACAGGCATATGGTAAGTCGGGCCCCGTAAGCTTTCCAGAACTTACTATGAAAATCCACTATGAAGCACAAAATCTTTCTGATGCATTAGCCAGTGCATGCCAACTGAATAACCTGTATTTTTCCTAGGACTGGCCTAGGTGGGATATCCGTCTCTACACCTGCTGCGATCCTAGCAGTGACTAAGCCTCCGCTAGGCCTCCGCCAACTCTGGCAGCCCAGTACACTGAGCCCGGAAATTGGGGTGGGAGGTTCTGGCGTCCGATGTTCCCCTTCCGTCCAATTTCAGCCCGGGAGGCTGCCGTCTCCAACACACCCGCCCACGGAGGACCCTCTCCCCACCGATCCCCTGTGGAAAAGCTTGGACCAGGTGACAAACTCCAGGAGCAGTGGGAGGGATAGGGGCGGGTAAAGGGCGGGGCCTCGGGCCCAGCAGCCGAGGTTGTCTTTGTACCTGAATCCCAAACAGTTTAAGATTGCTTCACGTTCTCTTCTCTCCAATACGACTCTAACTACAGGCATGGGCCAAGTCAAGAAAGAAGGGCCTCTCTACCTCCGGGCAAGGCATCTGAAATGGTAGGTAATGCTTGATGAAGCCTGCTTCTGGCAGACATGGCCAAACGATGAACTTTTATAGACTGGGGAAAACAGACACCTTGGAATAGAACAGTTTGCCACATCAAAGAAAAATAAAGTCCCCAGAGATCGGCGTATGGCTACTCCCTCAAGTGTCCAAACTATGAGTGAGCAAACAGCGGTCCTTCCTGTGTGCCTCCCCGCTGTTATTAAACAGGGTAAATCGGTGAAAGAAAACAGGATTAAATGGTAGCCAAATTGACTAGGTTTCTTTCTCAGCTGTGTTACTCAGCCTCTCAGCTGGCATTTCTTTGACTGTAAGATGATATTTGATGTTAAGGTCCTGTGAAATAGCACTCCATAGGTGGAGACAACTCGCTCGTGAACACGCACATGTGCACGCCATGTCCAAGATTCTCAGGGTAGTTTCTACTAATATGCCCACTGCTTGAGGCCTATTAGGCTGGGAGCTGCTAGACAAAAAAGAAAAGAAAAGGAAAGGAAAGAAGAGGAAAGGAAAGGAAAGGAAAGGAAAGGAAAGGAAAGGAAAGGAAAGGAAAGGAAAGGAAAGGGGAGAAGAAGGAGAAGGAAATAATTGAAGCAAACAGTTTACCAGGGAACCTGAAACTGCCCACAGTGTGGCTTAGGTCATGAGCCTGAGCTGAAAGGGACAAAGACTAACAGGTGACCGTGAAGCATCAGCCCCTCTGCTCTTCCTGGGACCATCCTCCACCATCTGAACTCCCCTCCCAAGCCAGCCATTGGCTAGGCATGATGGTGCATGCCTGAAATCCCAGTACTCAGGAATCTAAGGAAGGAGGCTTGCTATGAGTTGAAGGCCGGTCTGGGTTACATAGTGAGATCGAGGCCAGTTTGAAATTAGTCAGCACAACAAAACAATAACTGCAAGAACAATACAAAAACAAAACAAAATACACACACAGAAAAGAAGAAAAATCGATCATTTGCAAAGCCAGCTGATTCATAACATCATTTAATCTTTTGTGAAGCCTCCAGTTTGGAAAACTCCAGCTGCCCAAGGACATTTGAGCTGAATGGAACAAAACAGCTTCTTCCGGCCACTGGCTCTGGATTTTGCTTCAGGGGCCCATGGAAGCCCAACTTTTCAATCAAAAGCAGGCTGAGGATCCCTGGTTCTTCTTTTCCCATGCTAGGCCCCTGCAGGAGCCCCTGTTCATTTCCCATGGGCTTCATGACTATGCTACCCAACGTCCAGCAAGATCTGAGATGTCTTTGGATGTTGGACGTACAGTCCCACCCAGACCCAGGCCCTTGTTTCACACAGGTGAGCAGTCAGACAAACTGACTTGTGCACGCAGGGGCCAACAGGAGAACCGCCTGGCCAGGCTCAGGGCCCTGGCTCCCACCGGGAAATGTGCTTCTGAGCTGGAAAGGAAGCATAATAGCGTGAGAGTCCTGTGGTGGAGACTCTGCTGAGCTCATGTAGTAGTAGCCATGACTGTGTTCTCTTTGGGAACTCCAAATTCTAATAGGTGGATGCTGGGAACTGAAGTTGGTCCAGGTTTCACTTCTGTCCCCTCTCCCATAGCTTACTGGGCTGTGGGTAATTAGGGCACAGTAAGAGATCTGACAGATCCCCAGGCCTTGGCTTTCACGAGAGAAGACGTGGTATTCAGTGTTGTGCCATCATCATCCCCTTGTTCGGCCTCAGACAGTTGTGAATATAAGACCCTGAGCAGGAAACCTTCTCTGACTCTGTGCTCTCGGACACACCCTATACCTATGATTTGGATAGCCTAGCAACAGGGTGTCGGCCATTAGCCCATCAGGAGACAGGTAACAGAGGAGGGGAGCTGAGAGCAGGGTCTCACCAAACTGGCAGATATAACGGTTTCGAGTTTTACAACGCTGGTCGTTCCAGTTGAAGGCAGCAGACGCCTGCATTTCCACACAGTTCCCAAACCTGCGGGGCCGGGATACAGAACGCTGGCGTGGAGGGATGAAATGAGGAGCCTAGTAGAGTCTTAAATCCTCCACCCCATTAGGCCACCTGCGTCTGCGAGGCCCAGGTGCACCACACGCAGACGAGGTTGCTGGGAGCCAGCGCTCATTCTGCTCCCCCATACACTGCAGCCTTCACCCCACGCAGCCCAGTCCAGCGCCTAGCCACAGCAGGAAGGCACAGGCCCACATCCTTCCGCCACCAGGAGAACAGATGCCGGAAGCCCAGTCAGGCCTGGATGCAGTGAGGGTGTACTAGGAGAGAAAATTGGAGTCCTCGGTGACCCTAAAGATTTACCACCTCCACCCCTGTTATGGCACCCCTGGGCTTTGAAGACCAGGGCAACGCCACGGAACCAGAATGTTCTCTGTACAGCTGATGCCCGCTTTCCCTGGCACCTAAAACCGGGTAAGGTCCAGACCTTTATAGGCAGGGTGGAGGTTCTTCAGTGGCATCTGAAGTTCAACCAGGCAGGCCCAAGTGGAAAGTGCGCTCAGGGGAGATTAGACACTCCAGACTCACCCCTGGTTGTCAGGCTGCCCAAAGGCAAAACTGGTGAAGGACAGGTGTTCTCCAGTAGTCCAGCGGAAGGAGTCCTTAGCTGCCTTGTAGGTGAGCCCTGGACCAGGGTAGCCAAGGTTGCCCAGTGTCTCAGAGTCCAGAAACTGCCTCCCTAATGCCTCTCAAGCCCCCAGCTGTTAAACCTCTCTCTCCAGAACCCTCCCCCCACAGTGGTTCATCCCACTCTGTAGCCCTCAGCAGTCAGGAGATTGTCCTGACTGCTGATCCAGTCCGTGTTCCAAACCCTTTCCATACCCTTGCTATCTGTTGGTGTGAGTGTTTGGGGGGGGGGTACCTCAGTCCATGTTTACTGGAGCCTTGTAAGGCTTCATGTCCTCCCGATTGCCACACTCCAACTGCCAAGCACTCACCAATCCAGAAGTTTCTGGTCTCAAAGTCACTGTCTGTCACCTCGTTGGTGGTCTCCAGGCGGCCCAGGTAGAAGGCAAGGATGTCTTGCACTTTCTGGCTCTCGATCTGGGCTAGCACCCCACCTTTTCCCTGTAACCCCACTCTGGGTCAAATGGGACAGACTGTGGAGTTCAGTCCCAGAACTTTCTACCCATCCCGTTGCCCCGCCATGGCCAGGATTCCAAACATGTATGCTGGCTGGGCTGTCTTACTTCCACCCCCAACAACGTCCCGCCTCTGAGAATGGAGGTCGTCTTCCTCTCCCCGCCAGACTTCCCTCTGTGTGTACACAAGGCTCCATTGGCATCTCATAGGCCAAGCATGGTCCTGCCCCCTCCGAAGAATTTTGTTTCAATTTCGAGGTGTATTAAGTATATTTGGACCAACTGTCAATATTAGCAGGTCAAGAAATATCAAGGAAAATCTGGGTTTCTGAGGCTGGAGAGATGGACCAGAGGTTAAAAGCACTGGCTGCTTTTCACGGTGTTCTGAGTTCAATTCTTGGCAACCACATGGTGGCTCACAGCCATCTATACTGTGACCTGATGCCTTCCTCTGACATGCAGGTGTACATGCAGATAGAGCACTCATGTGCATAAAATAAATAAATAAACCTTTAGAAAATTTTGGCCTGTGTTCTGGCCAAACTGAGCTGACATCCAGCGTATCAGCTGTCAGCTGTCAGCTGGAGCTGAGTAAAGACAGCTCCTCAGATGGAGGTGGGGGCCTGAGGCCTGGGGCCTAGGGCCGGGGGCCTGGGGCCTGGGTGTTAAGTAGGCTTCTGCCTTGTATGAGCCTTAAATCTATGATTCCTACTTTATACTAATGAAAAGAGTGAGGCCAGGGGAAGTTGAAGGAACTATATCTTCTTCCAAAGCCACCCTGTTATGACCCTGTTTGAGACCTTGGGAAGGCGAGGGTTAGCCCTCACCTGACATTTTTTCTTGGCTCCATAGTAGGTATCTGCCTCAGAAGACACCATGAAGCAGTCTCCATCGATCCTCAGGTCACAGGTGTGAAAGGGAAAGTGCACCTTGGCTGGCAGGAGTGCAGGAAAGCAAGGATTTGTGTGCCGACCTCAGAATCCTTGCCCTCTCCCACCGGGCTGGGCTATGTTCAAGGTACCCCAACCTCTGGTTAACTCCTCCATACTGGAAGCGGGCAGAAGTCAGTAGTGTGCTGGTAAATTTGCAAGCATGAGAGCTCTCAAGAGAGAGAAAGAAGGGACTGGGGAATCCAGGGCTGGCATGATGGCTCAGTAGAAAAAGCGCTTGCTGCCCAGCCTGATGTTCTGAGTTCAATCCCCAGGTCCCTCCCACACAGTGAAAGGAGAGCATCAACTGCCACAAATTGTCTTCTGACATCCACACAGAGTGTGTTCTATGGCACATTCACATGAATAAAATGTCATTTAAAAAAAGATCCATAGCTTGTCCCGTTTGGTATAAATACCCCACTGTGGCCAATTTCAGATATTAGTGTGGTTTTCCTGAGCCAGCTGACACATGCAGTACCCCCACTGAAGACGGTTCTGAGAACAACCTCAAGCCGGGACTCACCGGCACACTGGGCTCCCCCGTAGCCGACATCACAGATGCAGGAGCATTCTTCTTCCCGGAACCGACCGTGCACGCACTGCACACTGCACCGCACTGCCAGGACAGAGCAGAAGGGCGGCGTGCGCAGCCTCTAACCTCCTGAGCCCCATGACGCCCTAACAAGCCAACCCCAGCAAGAATACCCTCCCAGAGACAGAGCCCATGGGGGCTTCCGGCTACTGCCATGCTTGGCTGCTTCGGCTACAATGATTCATTGTAGAGAGAAGCAAACTGAAGTTTAGAGGTCATGGAAAGTCGGCAGTGGGACAAGAGGGACCCTCTGTCTTCTAATTCTATGTCTGTTTCAATAGATAGTCTAAAGGGCCAAATAGGATTCTTTTTTTTAATCAGTGTTCCTGTAGCCCTAGCTGACCTAGAGTTCACTGCATAGCCCAGGTTGGCCTGGAGCTCATGACAATGCTCAGTTTCCTAAACATTTAAAATCATCTGAATAGCTTAGGGTGTGGCGCACAGTTAGGGCTCAGTGGGTTTTTTATTGAGCGAGCGCACGAAGTGTGAAAACCCAGTGGTTAATAATGTTAATGCAGCCGAGACTTCCTGTGTTCGGACACTTTGAATCTCTGGCCACCACAGCCCTCCAGCTCTCCCACTGTACCAGCTTCAGTAGCTGCCTCCGGACAGATGTATGTCCACTGAGGGGCATCTCCTCTCAGGGTACCCCTCAGGAATGGGCACTAGGTCCTCACCTTGGCAGTATCTCCCTGTGTAGCCAGCGGCGCAGTGGCAGTGGCAAGTGCTAATGTTGAGATGCCCGTGATTTCGGCAGCTCATGCGACATGGGTTTCTGGGGACCTCTGGCAAGAAGAGTAGGTAATTCTGAGAAGGGTCCTCTTTGGGGTAAGCAGGTCAGGCAGGTCCTTTCCTAGGCGCTGAGGCCAGGGCTTCTGGCACGGTCCCTCAGAATGCTAGCTCCCACCCTGTGCGGAGCAGGACTGGTCACCCATTCTCAGCCCGGCTGCGCCTGCTGTTCCAGGTGGAAGAAACAGGGTGGCATACTCACCACAGAGCCCGCCTTCGTGGTCCCAAGCCTTGAAGCAGCCCGAGACGCTGGCTGTGCAGAGTGAGCACCAGCTGCCTTTCTTATAAGGGGCGATTATCTTCCCATTCACATCCCAGTTGCCTCTGTGAGAGCAAGCATCAGAGGGTCTGGAGACCCCGGCCTTGGGCAGGGCAGGAGCAGGAGCTTTGGACAGAGTTGAGGAGGAGCCTTGGGCAGGGCAGGAATGGGTCCTGGCTGCCTTCCCTATGGACCCCTTTAGCAGCTCTAGCCCAGTTAGGGATTCAGGGAGCTGGCTGTGGCAGGGAAATCAGCTAGGAAACAAAAGATGACTTTTGTATCAATTCTGGACATATTCCCCCAGAGCAGGGTCACGCATCCAGGAAGGAGCATTTGTGGACAAGCTCCGCCCCGCACGGTCAGAATCTATTATACCTTCTTCCTTTTCTCCTCTTCTTTCCTATGCGTAGCAAGGGTAAGGACATCTGGGGTGGCTGGGTACGTATCTTATCCTGAGTGAAAGTCATCCAGCCAACCCTCCCACCCTCAGCCTCAGCCTCCCCATCCTCACTCCCCCTCCAGCCATCACCCAGCTCACCCAGCTCACCCAGGGGAGCTTACCCAGGGGAGTAGGCACAGACAAAGGCTTCCATGGCTTCCTGGTCCACAAAGCATAGATGCCGACCACAGCCCAGCTGGCTGGAGGTGGCCCACACAAGCTGCAGAGAACACAGCGGCTCAGAAACCCTTTCAGGCTGCCTTCACTTCCGTCTCGGGGTGCTGCAGCACAGGCAACGCCCACCCGGGGAGACTACGGCCTCCACCAGGCAGACAGACAGGCATCTCCCTTACCTTCCTGGGGCCCCAGGAACAGCAGCTATGCTGAGCACAGCCATCAGAATGGAGGAAAGCTTTTGGAATGGAGGGGCGCAGTGAGAGTTTGAGGGTTACTACGTGTTGAAAGGCAAGAAGATTATGGACAGGTGGAAGGGGTGACAAAAGAAAGAGTCTGGTATCAAGGGCCTTGTGTAAGATTATAAAAATGGCCACAAGCCTTCACTTCTCCCTACAGGTTGATCTTTCATACATATATATAATCATAGATGTATCTATGATATATATGATGACAAGTTCTCACTATGCAGCGTTGGCTAGGAAATCACTATGTTAAAACTGGCTGGCTTCAAACTCATAGAGTTCCACCTGTCTCTGGCTCCCAGATGTTGGGATTGAAGGCTAGTTCTACCATGCTTAGTTTATAGATCGTTCTTTTATGCGAGAGATTTAATCCAGAGCTGGACACAGACTGGGCAAGCGCTGTACTGTTGAGCTATGTTCCATCAGTCCACTAGCCCAAACTTTTTTTTTTGAGACAGGGTTCCTCTGTGTAGCCTTGGCTGTCCTGGACTCACTTTGTAAACCAGGCTGGCCTTGAACTCACAGAGATCCGACTGCCTCTGCCTCCCAAGTCCTGGGATTGCCACTGTGCCCGGCCATCCTTTTATTAGTTTTGGTTTGTTTATTTATTTATTTATTTTGGAAAAGATATCTTGGGCTGGAGAGATGGCTCAGCTGTTAAGAGCACTGGCTGTTCTTCAAGAGGACCAAGGTTCAATTTTCAGCACCCACATGACAGCTCAAAACTGTCTGTAATTCCTGTTCCAGAGCATCCAACACACTCACACAGACATACGTGCAGTCAAAACACCAATGTACATAAAGTAAAAATAAACAATTTGAAAAAAGAAAGAAAGATATCTTATTGTTTAGGCTGGCCTCAAACTCTCCATGTCCCCAAGGATGACTTTGAACTCTTGATCCTCCAGCCTCTACCTCCTGAGTACTGGGATTACAGGCATGCACTGTGTCTTGCTTTGTTTGTTTGTTTTTTGAGACAGGGTTTCTCTGTGTAACCCTGTAGCTCTGGCTGTCCTGAACTCACTCTGTAGACCAGGCTAGACTTGAATTCAGAGATCCACCTGCCTCTGCCTCCCAAGTGTGGGATTAAAGGTGTGCACCGCCACCCGGCTCAGCATCTTGCTTTAATGCAGAATGCTTTTTAAGTTTATGATTTTAGAGTTAGAGTTAGAGTTCAGTGGTAGAGTATTTTCCTCTCATGTTCAAGGGTCTAGTTTGGATCACTAGTCACACACACACACACACACACACACACACACACACGATTAAAGAACGAAAGAAAGAAAAGAAAGGATTAAAAAACACAATTTAAGGAAATAAATTAAGAAAAAGCAATTACATTCTTCAAGGCAAACAATCCGGAACTACCACTGAAAATGAAACAATAAAACAAACAAACAACCCACCCTTAAGAACAATAAAAACACTAACAAAAAAAAGTTGTGGAATGAAGCTGAGCATGGCGGCCAAACCGTTTGAGAGCTGGAGACAGGAGGTTTACAAGTACAAGGTCATCCTGGGCTAAACAGTAAGCTTGAGGCCAACCCGGGCTACAGGAGACCCTGCCTTAAAAGAAACAGCAGCAACAACAAAAACCTCTCAGAAATACAAAACAAAACACAGTGCAAAATTCTGCTCCCGAGAGCTGAGACAGGAGGATTGACTGGCTATTTTGGAAGACCCTATCTAAAACTGAAAAGTGGGGAGGGAAGGAAGGAAATTTCAGAAACCTGAAATTCATATAACAGATGTTTTCAAGGACTTAATGTGGGGCTGGAGCCATAGTTCAGTCGGAAGAGCGCCCGCTCAGCTTGCGTGAAGGCTGGGCGTGGTGGCCTTGTGTGTCACCCCAGCCCCTGGGAAATGGAAACAACAAGGTCACCCTCGAGTAACTCTTAACAATAAGGGCTGAGGCCAGCCTGGAATGCATGGGACCCTGTCTCAAAAACAAACAAAACAAAACAAAATCAGAAACAAAAAGCCCGGCGGTGACGGCGCACACCATTAACTAGGGAAGCAGAGGCAGGTGGATCTTTGTGAGTTCAAGACCAGCCTGGTCTACAGAATAAGCTCCAGGACAGCCACAGTTATACAGACAAACAATGTCTTGGAATAAAAAGAAAGAGACTTTATATCAATGAGATAAAAATCCACATTAATCCCAGCTCTTGGGAGTCAGAAGCAGGTGGATCTCTGTGAGTTCAAGGCCAACCTGGTCTGCAGAGCTAGTTGTAGGACAGCCAAGGCTGTAAAAGAAACCCTGGCTCAGAAAAAATAAAATAAAATAAAATAAAATAAAATAAAATAAAATAAAATAAAATAAATAAAATAAATAAAATAAAATAAATAAATAAAATAAAATATAAAATAAAATAATAAAATTAAAAAAAAAAAGACAAAGAAGGTGATGCGGGGCCAGGACTGGCAGCTCACCCTGGTAATTCAGCACTTGGAGGGGGAAGGAAGTGAATCACTACAAGTTCAAGGCCAGCTTGGTCTGCCTAAGAATAAATAGCAAGGCATGGCATCAAAAACATGAAACAAAGGTCTGGGGAGATGTGTCAGCTTATAAAGGCACCTGCTGCCGAATCTGAGGACCCCGGTTCAGCACTGAGAGAGGGACAGACAACCTCTACAAGTTGTCCTTTGAGCCCCACAAGTACTCTGTGCTATGCGTGCTCAGGGCTGCTGTACAGATAAACCCTGTCTCAAAACAAACAAACAAAACAAGAAGGGAAGGAAGGAAGGAAGGAAGGAAGGAAGGAAGGAAGGAAGGAAGGAAGGAAGGAAGGAAGGAAGGAAACAACACAATCATAAAATGGAACAGGGCCTGATAGTTTAAGGGAAAGATTTTAACAAATGTCATATAAATTATTCCAGAAAACAGTAAATGAGACAGAGTCTACTTCACTCCATGGGTCACCTTCAATATTATTATATGTATACTAAAGGTGTTAGAACATTTTGAGAGGGGCTGGAGGATGGCTCCGGGGTTAAGAGCTCTGTCTGTTCTTCCAGAGGTCCTGAGTTCAGTTCCCAGCAACCACGTGGTGGCTCACAGACATCAATACCCTCTACTGCCCCCTTCTGGCATGCAGGTGTACATGCAGGTAGAGCCTTCAAAGGAAATAAATAAAACCTTAAAACATGTTGAGAATTTTGCCTGTGTTAGTCAGTGTTGTACTTAGCCACTAAACACTGACAGGTATATAAAAAAAACAATAAATACCCATAGCTGTTGAATGGAGGAGAAAAAAGAAGGAAACTTTCTTGAGAATGATGGAGCTGAAATTGAGAAAGTTTCATCTGGGGAGGGCTCTCTGGTGCGGTAACATCTTCTAAGTCTAGATAGTATCCCTTTAAGGATAAAGTGTAGCCTTCTCTAAGATGGCTGGGAAAGCCATGCCCTAGTCTCATCTGCAACACACTCACCTGTGTGTAGTGGGTGCAGGTGGCATTGTGGGCACACTCAGCGTCCCCATATCTATACTGCAAACCTTCAGCAAACCAGAGGTTGATCGCTTCGACAAATGATGCTGAGCCCATGGGCAATAGCTGCACATTCCAGCCCACTTGTGGGGTGTGCTGTGGGGTCGATGCTGGGTTTGGGGTGGCCGACGCGCTGCAGAGGGCCGCCCTGGTTTGAGCTAGTTGAGCCAGGTTCTCACTCCAGTCCTGGGGGCGGCACAAAGGCATCCTCAGGTGGTGGATTTGATTTCCTTCCAGTTGCTGGGTGACAAAAGCAACTTAGGGGTGAAAAGTCTTATTCAGCTCACAAGTCCAGCCCAGCATGGCAGAGGACTCAAGGTGGAAGGAGCTTGAAACGGCTAGTCACATACCCAGCCGAGAGCAGAGAGAGAGAGTGAAGGCATGCGTGCTTGCACTTAGATTGCTGTGTCCTTCCCTCTGGTCCTACAGTCCAGGACTCAAACTCAGGGAAGAGTACCACCCATTTTTTTTTTCTTTTCTTTGAGACAGGGTCTCTCTGTGTAGCCCTGGCTGTCTTGTAACTTAATATGCAGACCTGGCTGGTCTAAAACTCACAGAGAACTGTCTGCCTTTGCCTCCCAAGCGTTGGAAGTAAAGGTGCCTGCCAGTATGCGCAGGCGTGACACTCGTTTTTAAAGTGGGTCTTCCTACATCAATTAACATAATCAAGACTAGTCCAACACAGAAATACCCACTGTCCAGCCTAATCCAGACAGCTGTTTGGTGAAATTCTTTTTCCAGGTCATTCTGGTCAGGTTGGCACAATCAAACCTAACCATTACAACTGATCTTTGGATAACAAGGAAGCTAATGGGCAATGAGTCATCTCCCCACTGCCTCTGAATATCTGGGGGGTGCCAGGTCACACCGAGCAAAGAGCCATGCTCGCCTGTCTAATGATTAGAGCTGTTTTCCTCACTGCACAGAGTCACAGAAGGTTCAGGCAAGACCTCTGGAGCTGCCCAAGATACAGCACGAAAGCAAACTGCGCCTCCATCTTCCTGAGTCTTGCATAAACACCTTTGGCCCTGCCTAGGGAACAGCACTATGCCAGGTAAGGGAATGGACTTTTGATGTCATGTTCTGCAATCTAATAATCTGAGCCTGGACAGTGCCCAGACTTGCAGGTTGGTTGGCTGTGTGTGTGTGTATGTGTGTGTATGTGTGTGTATGTGTGTGTATGTGTGTGTATGTGTGTGTATGTGTGTGTATGTGTGTTTTAAGAACTACCCCTGGCCACGTCAGAAGTACTCTGCTGCTCCCATCTGGCCAAAAGTGATTTTTGTTTTCAGGCCTTTAAGCAAAGGGCCCCAAGAAAGGTGCAAACTACCAACCAGCTAATCTTACCCCCAGCCTGCAGGGTCCTGGGGTAGAAGGACTCACTGCCAGGTACTCCGACTTAGAAAATCCTGGCTGCCCAGCATGTGGACACGTGGGCACGGGAGACAGAGCCACTGAGAGCAGGCCAGGGGAGAGAAGCTAACCACTCCCCCCTGGCCCTCCCCCACCTCCTGGGAAACTGACCCCTGAGTTCTCAAGGTCGCCACCCACTGTGACTATCTGCCTCTGAGGACTTGATGGGAGGCAACCATGGGGAACCTTGCCCTCCCTTACCCATTCCACCCTTGCTCTCAGGCCTGTTCACATGGGCTGGGGCTATTGGGCTACCAGACTACAAAAGCAATGTGTCTGAGTCCCCAAGATGATCAGCCCTGACCCTTCTGCAGCCTCAGTCATGAAGGTTCTAAATGGCAAATAAGGGAATGAGTGAGGAACTTGAGAAAGACAATACTTCCTAGATAAATCCTGGTCACTAGCCAGTCCCCCCAACAGCCCCATGGGATACTTCTCCCTCCCTGATCTTTACTTCTGCCTTTCTGCTGGATTCTTTTGTGTAGCCACATACCCCAGTCCCCCTGCCACAGGAGGGAACCCTGGCTCTTTCCATATCTGTTGATCTCCATGGCAACAGGATGCCAGGAAAGGCAGGTTTGTCTTTAATGCAAGTAGGGCCCTGACTTAAGAGCTTTCCCTGATGGAAGAAGCTACATAGCTCCCCATCAACCAAGACCATGGTGCCCCTGGAGAAAGGGGGACCTGACACTGGCAAGACCTCCTGAACTCACCCCCGAGCTCCCGTCCCTCTGGCAGTCCTCTTGATACAGAACGGTTGGGCATACTCACCAATCTCTGCATGTTGGCTGCAGGAGGCTGGACTTGGCTGCGCAGGCGGTTGTGAACAGAGAGGATTAAGAAGCTCTCCTTCCTGCTCAGGGCTGGGGGCCAGGAGAGAAGGTTAGGCCAATGACCAGCAGCACCTGGGACATCGCCATTGCCAGCTGACGGTGTGACCCCACCCCAACAACACAGATCTGAGATGAGGAGAGACAGTAGTGGTAGGTGTGTGTAGGGAAAAACTCCCAGTACAGAGATGGAGGGAGGCGAGGAGAGAGACAGGAGGATAGGTGAGGACAGACCGCGTATAGAGCAATGCTGTAAGTGACTGGCTGGCTAGGTTGTGGGGAGATAATGGGTAAATAAGAGACTCGGCCCTGGACTAGAAGCAGGCCCTTGCTGTGACGTCTTTCTACCACTGTTTCTTCTGAGGTCTTAGCTGCTGGCTCTAAGTTCTATCTTTCCTTCACCTTAACCCTGGACCGATAGCTTCATCCTTCTTCCTCCCCAGGATCCTTCCATCATGTCCCCCTGAATTGTTCTAATGGGTCCCCATCTTATCGCATCAGCACAACATAGGATTCAGTCCCGGCAAGCGGCTTCTAGAAATCGTTTGGTGCCCCTTCAGGATCGCAACAACCCCTCTACTCTACTCCTGTCTTTCCCCAGATATCCCTTACCTTGGAGAGTAGGAGCTTGCTCCAGCAGCGGGGGTGCCTGCACCTCTGTCCAGGTGATGTCAAGGAGAGATAGGAGCACAAGCAAGAGACGCAGCCATCGGCTCTGGCTCCCCGGGCCAGGGGAGGGCTCCAGTTGAACCATTAGCCTGCCTGGTGCTGCAGACTTCTCTCAGCGGTCCAGCTAGCCTCCTAGGCTTTCGTGAAGCTGTTCACAGTCTGAAGGAGTCAGGCTAAACTGCCAGACGAAAGGAGGAGGCTAGTGAGTCATCATTGTGTGCAAATGGCCTCCCCTCAGCGGTGCACTGGCTTGGACAGAGACAGGAGAGCCCTTCTTCTAAAGGCCTCCTTACTCCAGCTTCAGTGTCTGAGCAGCCTGCTCCACCGCAGAAAGCAGGGCAGTGTGCACTGACCCTGTGGCCCCTGCTAATCATTGTAGGATTATTAGCACCCTCAGGGAGCCCCCAAAGACCCTGCTGATTGGCCTACAGACATTCCAGGGCTGTGGATTAGTGGCTGGTGGCTGTTCCCCTCCAAGCCCATGGACAGCTTCTACTCCCCTGCCCCAGTGGTGGAGAGGAGGCTGGGACTTTGGCAGTGGGCCCTTAAAGCAGGCAGGAACTGGGCAAAACCCCAGGGGAGTTCTTTCCTTTCTTGGGACACTCATCCCAAACCCCTAGCCATGAATTAAACATAAAGCAGGAAGCAACTCTTCACCAGACAGATGCCACTGGAGGGATCATGGAGGGGTGAGCTGAGGCTGCACCTTCAGGAAGAAAGGTGTGCCTTACAGAAATATGCCAGGGCAGTGTGAGAGGATGAGGCTAGCACCAGGGTCCACCATGCTTACCTGTGTGACTTTGGGCCACGACAGGGGCAAGGCAGACAGAGAAGAAAGCATGTGATGGATGCCCTTGGCTGACTTGAGTCCTGCTGGGAACAAGCCTGCCTCTAGACAAACAGGTCACAGTGGAGCAGGAAGGCCGCAGATTGCCGTAGCATGTAGGGCCTAGCCAAAGCCTCCATAATCCCACCGGAATCACTGAATTTCTAGCACAGACAAATCAAAGGCTGACATGTGGACCAGAGTCAAATGCCCACGAAGTTTTATTCAGCCATTTTAAAGCACAGCCTTGCAAGCTATTCTTTGTCCTTCTGAAGCTGGTGTAGTTCCTGACCCTGGAGTCAGCACTCTCTCTCGGATGTCACCTCTTTGGAGATTCTGCTGGGGCACAGGTGGGCCTGCATGGGCTTCTGGAGAAACACCGGTGGACTGTGAATGTCACCGTGGATGTCAGGCCATGGGGACAAGTCCGGGCCTCACAGTGTGCAGCTCTGTACAGGGCCTCAGGAGCTTTTCCGCAGACAGATGGCCCGACAACTTCCAGCAAGAGCAGCTCCTACCCGTGGTTAATAACGCTGCACTTTTATTTGTTAAAAAAAAATGATCACTACTGTATATGTAGATGAGTATATGAGTATGAGTGTCTGGGTGCTACAACATGTGTGCAGAAGTCAGAGGACAGAGTTTTGAGAGGGAGAGTTGCTCCTACTTTAAAAAAATTATTTACTTATTGTGTGTACAGTGTTCCGCCTGCACATACATCTGCACACCAGAAGAGGGCACCAGACGGTTGTGAGCCACCATGTGGTTGTGAGCCGTCACGTGGTTGCTGGGAATTGAACTCAGGACCTCTGGAAGAACAGCTAGTGTTCTTACCCTCTGAGCCATCTCTCCAGCCTCATCCTTCTCTGTCTGTCTGTCTATCTATCTATCTATCTATCTATCTATCTATCTATCTATCTATCTATCTATCTTGATAGGGTTTCTCTGTGCAATCCTGGCTGTCCCAGAAATGCTCTGTACACCAGGTTGGCCTCGAACTCACAGAGATCTGCCAGCCTCTGCATTCCTAGTGCTGGGGTTAAAGTCAGAGTCACCACAGCTGGCCTATTTTTATTAGTTTAAATTTTTAAAAATTTGATTTATGTGTATGGCTGTTTTGTCTGCGTGTGTGTTTGTGCACCCCATGTGTGCCTAGTGCCGAAAGAGGCCAGAAGCAGGCATCAGATGCCCTGGAACTAGAGTTACAGAAGGTTGTGAGCCACCATGGGAGTGTTAGGAACAGAACTTCAGTTCCCTGGAGAACAGCCCTTGCCCTTAATCACTGAGCCACCTCTCTGGCCTTGTGTATGGTGCTCTGTGTAGCCCTGGCTGTTCTGGAACTCACTCTGTAGACCAGGCTGGCCTAGAACCCAGAGATCCACCTCCCTCTGCCTCCTGAGTGCTGGAACCAAAGGTGTGCACCACTGCTCAGCTCCATCCTTTATTTTATTTTTGTGTGTATTCCTGTGTGTGAATGTAGGCATTCGAATGCTGTGGCATGTGTATGGAGGTCAGAAGACAACCTCTGCTGTCACTCTTTGTTTTCCAGGTTATTTGAGACAGGGGCTCTCATTTTTAGTTGCTGTACATGGCAAGCTAGCTGGCGAAGGGGTTTCTGAGGCATTGCTAGACTCTGCCTCCCATCTGTACCGATACTGAGATTATAGAGATAGTTCCATGTGTAGCTGTATGTAGGCTCTGAGAATTGTTTGTTTGTTTGTTTCATTTTTTTTTGTGTGTGTGTGTGTGTGTGTGTTTCAAGATAAGGTTTCTCTGTGTAGTCCTGATGTCCTGGCCTCAAACTCACAGAGATCTACCTGCCTCTGCCTCTCTTGGTGCGTCACCACGCCCTGCTCAGAGTTGGGGTTTTTGTTTGTTTGTTTTACTATGAATTGAACCTAAGGCCTCATGCTTGTTAGGGAAACTGCCTACCACTGAGCTATATCCCCAATCTTCCCATCCACTTTTTCTTGTTGGGTTGTATATATTATACTATAATATATAATATATTATATTGTTTTATATACTATATGATGTTATGTAACATATACTATATATTTTATAAATTATATATAAATATATTTATAATGACATATAAATAGATATATTAATAAATCTATAGTAAACATTAATATGTTGTTGTATTATATATATTTTAATGTACATAACGTCTATGTTTGGTTTTAGGTCTTTGTTGCTGTTGTTTTCCACTCTTTACTTTTGAGGCAGTCTCACTGAATTTCCCAGACTGGCCTTGCAATCCGTGAGCTTAGGATGTGTCTCAGTTGTGAACAGTGTTTCTCAGGTATGTATGAATGCCTGGGTTCAGCCCCCACAGAAGGGGGATGTGGTGGCGCATGCCTGTGACCCCAGTACCTTGAAGGTGGATTGCGGAGGATGAAGGGTTCAAGACCATCCTCAACCATAAAGATTGTAAAGCAAAGTAGAAGCCAGTCTGGGCTACAAGAGATCGCGTCTTTATTCCATCCCTCTCAACAACAACAAGGACAAAGAAACAAACGTAAAACAACAGCGACAGAACAAATCGCAGTCCTGCAGCCCCTGAGCTGCTGGGGTTACTTGATCCATCAGTCTTGCTACATCCCTTTTTCGAGGCTCCCTCAGTTCTGTTCCTCACTTACCAAAGAGTCACTCTGGGTTATTAGCCTTCATGGGGAGATTTTATTAGTCTGATTTGGGTTTCTAATTAACCAGTTCACTCAATGAATAAGGGATGCAGGAGGCCAGGTCACTTCAATCCAGGGGTGCCACCGCCACGCCACCTAGTGGTCAGTGGGAGCACGTAGGCAGAACTGGGTCCCCTCTGGTCTGAGAGACAATTGGTTAATCCTCATTTTAAGACTGACAAAAGACATTTTAAGAAACTTTAAAGCTCCCTCACCCGAGATGCCAGCTACTCCTGCCTATACCATTTTGTCAGCTGTATGCAATTCTGACGTGCTGCAAGAGGTCTCATGGTCTTAGAAGGTTACCCCGAGTTACCGAGGGCGCAATTAACTGAAGGGGATGCCATATGTGCAGCTGTGACGGAAGTCATCTGTGCTGGGCTGAGACTTTTTGGAGTCACCCATGTTCCTGTAAGTAACTCTCAACTATGCTCCGTAAGAAAAACAAAACAAAACAAAAACTTTATTCTGTTGCCAAATTGGACTTTAGTGGCATCATTAATTTGGTCTGTCATCTGTGCCCGTTCTGGGGTAATTAGATGTTCCTGACTCCTCAGGAAAAGTTCATGCAACAGGAAGACACACAAATACAGGGGTATCAGAAGGAGGACAGCCGGGGTGATGGTGCACATTCCTTTAACCCCAGCACTTGGGAGGCAGAGGCAGGTGAATCTCTTTGATATCAAGGTCTACACAGGGAGTTTAGGTCAGCGAGGGCTATCTAGTGAGATCCTGTCTCAAAAAGCATGGCGGAGAGTGGAGAGAGCTGGAGCTACGGCTCAGCAGTTAAGAGCATCTGCTGTTCTTGCAGGGGATCCGAGCTTGGTTCTCAGCACTCACATGGTAGCCTGCAACCATGCACAATCCTGGTTCTGGAGGATCCAATACCCTTTCTGGATTCTATAGGAATTAGGCACATACATACATGCAGAAGCATGCACACAAACATACATGCACACACTCAATCTAAAAAGCTTAAAAAGGTTTATTTTTATGCGCATTGGTGTTTTGAGTCCATGTATGTCTGTGTCAAATTATCAGATTCCCTGGAGCTGGAGTTACAGACAGTTGTGAGCTGCCATGTGGGTGCTGGGATCTGTGCCCAGGTCCTCTGGAAGAACAGTCAATTCTCTTAACCATGGAGCCATCTTTCCAGCCCCCTAAAAGCTTTTTAAGAAGAAAGGAAGGAAGTCAGTGAAGACACAAAGGGCGCCCAGTTGCCTGGAAAGGAAATGCCCCATCAAAGGAGGTGGAATGTGTATGGGCTGAATATTGAATATTTAAGAGAAGAGATGGCTTTTCTAGAAAAATTGGAGAGGCAATTGGAGTATTACGATTCTAAATTCAGCCAGTTGTGGTGGTGCCTGCCTTTGATCCCAACACTCAGGAGGCAGATGCAGGCAGAACTCTGAGAGTTTGAGGCCAGCCTGGTCCTACATAGTGAGTTCCAGGACAGCCAGGGCTACAGAGTAAAACCTTGTATTGAAAAAAAAAAAAAAAGAGGGAAAAAATGATTCTAAGTTCAGAACTTTCCACAGCCCAGAAGGAAAGGGGTCAAGAGGACATTTCTCCAGGTAGCTCCAAGGCAGAGAACCAGATTAGATCCAAACCCAGGCCCTAGAATCATGGTCCTAGATTACATAGAGTGCCAGTATTTGGAGAAGTGGGTTTGTTTTGTTTTGTTTGTATTGTGAGTCAAGGTTTGTTTTAGGTCTGGCTGTCCTGGAACTCATTCTGTAGACCAGGCTAGCCTTGGACTCAGAGACCCATCTGTCTCAGCTTTCTGAGTGCTGGAATTAAACGCTTGTGCCACCACTACCTGGCTGGAGAAGTGGTCTTTAAAATGGTATTTGAGGTTAAATAAGGTCCTTAGGTATGCCCTAATCCAATGTGATTGATATCCTTATAAAAAATTTCTAGGAGGATTGGGCATGGTGGCTCCTGCCTGTGATCCCAGCACTCAAAAGGTAGATCAAGGGTTCAAGGTCATCTTTGACTACATAGTGAGTTCGAATCCAGCCTGGGCTACATGAGACCCTGGAGAGAGGTGTGAGTGGGGACTCCATGAAGCCAGAGATGAAGAGATGATGGCTGTCTGTAGGTCATCAGTCTGACACTGTAGGCAACAGGTGCACGGCACCAGCAGGTGCAGCCACGATGCCCTATGGTTTATTCACGGAAGCTACAGGTGGTGAAAGTGTACCAGCTGTTTCTGACTAGTTTCTTTTGCGTCTGGCAAAGAGTGTGCATATCTTTCATTCAGCTTCAACATGCACAAGGGCTGGCATATATGTGAGGCTGGGTCCCATTCAAAGGGGTAGCCTGGAGTAAAGCATATTGATAGCAACACTAGCTGCAGGGGGAGGAATGGAAGATTCTCTCTCCACAGCCAGTTCACTGCATTGAGAGTCACAAGTATGTACTTTTTTTTTTTTAATTTATTTAATTTTTATTTTATGTACATTAGTGTGAAGGTGTCAGATCCCTTGGAATTTGTGTTACAGACAGTTGTGAGCTGCCATGTGGGTGCTGGGAATTAAACCCAGGTCCTTTGGAAGAGCAGACACTGAGCCATCTCTCCAGCCCAAGTATGTACCTTTTTTACTTTGGTTTTCAAAACCTTACACTTTAGTATCAAGATGCAAATGGTTTTACAGACAGGGCATCCTTTGAGATGGCAGATAACACACTACAAATGGAGGACATTTTAAATTAAGCACAATGAAAGTTATGAAAATGTTCGTTTATTCATTTATACATCTAGAACAGGAAAGAATGTTAAATGAAACCCAGGGGGTGGAAGTAATACACAATGTTAATACACATTCAGAGAGGGCAGAAATGCTTAGTCACCCATGTGCCCAGTCAGCTAGCCTCTTTTTTTGCATGTTGTTTTCAAGATAGAATCTATGTAGCTCTGGCTGTCCTTTTTCCATAATGTAGGCCAGGCTGACCTTGAACTTGCAGAGATTCGTTTGCCTTTTCCTCCTGTAGTACTGGGATCAAAAGCATGAGCCACTATATTCAGCTTAGTCAGCCATCTTCTTAATTCCATCTTCTTCAACATATAGAATATTCTCAATACTACATGCTAACTCTATACAGGAACAGAAGTGAGCTGAGGGAAAATACCACTCATAAGCACAAATAAGTTATAGGGGTGTCTGATAAAGTCCAAGATTTGACCAAAGAGTTAAGTGTAAACTAGGAAACCCTTTTGTGAAATGAGCTGCATAACTTTCCACTCCTGTGTTCTGAGGAAGGAAAGACTGTGTGGGCTGATGGGAGCCTACAGTCCAAAATAAACTTTCCCTCTTTCTCATTCTTACTATCTACAGCTACCCAACATTCTGGAATGCAAGGCACTGGAACCAACCTATAGAAATGTGCTCTGACTCCAGTTCTTGTATCCAGAGAACATCCTGGCATGGATCTTTAGAAACAAGTGCTAAAAATATCTTCCCATTCTTGCAAACTCTGTATCTGACAAAGAGATAAACAAGGATGCCAAATATGTTTTCAAAGAACAAAATGTTAAGTGCATTCAAGTCTTCCAAGAAAAAGGTCTGGAGAGATTGCTTAGCCATTAAGAGCCCTGGCTGCTTTTTTAGAGGACCTGGGTTCAACTCCCAGCACCCACATGGCAGCTTACAACTGTAACTCCAGTTCGAGAGGATCTCGCACCCAATGTAAGCAAAACATCAATGAACACAAAAATTAAAATAAAAACCCCACAGACGTATAATTAACATACACATTAAACACACACTGAAGTAATGCACATATATACAGCAAAAAAAAAAATCATACAATAAAACACATGGGTTTCTAAATAATGTAGTTTAAAGATAGAAGGTTGTACAGGGTACACTCCTGAAGGAATAAAACTCAGTAAATAAGATAGATTAACTAGGCCTGGAGAGATACCTCAGAGTTTAAGAGCACTGGCTGTTCTTCCAAAGGTCCTGAGTTCAATTCCTGGCCAACCGCATGGTGGCTCCCAACCGTCTACAGTGAGATCTGGTGCCCTCTTCCGGTGTGCTAGCACACATGCAGACAGATGCTCTACAAATGATAATTATTTATTATTTATGATAGGTAGATTGACTAAAATAAAAACTTCTTCCAAGAAACATTTTTCATGCAAAATATTTGATTCTCTAAGGGATTTTCAGCATAGAGAAGTCAGGAGCCAATCAGAGAACACCTCTGATGATTTATGGAAAAAGAGAAGGCCAAACTGTAAAAATAGGGTTGGGGCTGTCATTCCGTGATCATGAGCTTGAGTAGCATGTGTGAGGACTAGGATCAATCTCTTGTACCAGCAAAAACATAAAACAAAAACCGCTCCAGCCTACTTGAATGCACCCAATACTGTAAGAAATTACAAAGAACAAATCTTACCATCGACAATGCCAAGAGCTTTTAGATTTAGCTTTTTTTATTTTTTTATTTTTTGAGACAGTGTTTCTTCCTGTAGCTCTGCAGACCAGGCTGGCCTGGAACTCACAGCGATCCACCTGCCTCTACGTCGTAAGTGCTGGGATCAAAGGTGTGCGCCGCCACTGCCTCAGTAGATTTAGAAATTTATAGTAGAGTCAGTAACAGTTACGTTACTGTGGGGAAGCACTTCACTGCATGGAACACAACATATCACACGCTGCCTTATTTCATTCATTCTTTCCTGCAGATAAGCAGCTTTCTTCACAGTTTTTATACCTGGAAATGGTAAGAGGCAGATGGATTGAAAAAAAAAATCTTTGTGTCCCTTCCAAATTGCATTAAAAAACTATCCCCAAATGACAGGTGTTTTTTTCACTTTTTGGCTAGGTATCATTAAATATCTAACCAAAATGTGAAGGAATTCATCTAGCAGAGCATTCCAAATGCCTTGAACTTTTATGTATCAGGAGACTAGGCGGACAGGAGAATAAGTGTAACAGTAAAGCAAGGCACTTGGGAAGTGGAGGCAGGCGAACTAGGAGCTCTAAGTCATCCCGTGCTGCACAGTGTGAATCCACCCTAGGCCACATGAGACACACACGCACACACAAATACAAAGAAGCTTAAATAAAACAAACTTAAAGGGGGGAGGGTGTCAGAGTGGAGCTGTCACTGTCCTTCGAGTTGGTTACAAACCATGCAAGCTGGGGAATGGGTGGCTTGCAGCTGCTGCCGCTAGGGGCAGAAGCCCTCCTCGTAGCCAGCGCACTCAACACAGCACCAGGTCTGCAAGAGCTGGCAAAAATGTTCAAGACTGACTGGTATGACAAGATAGGTTCGGCTCAGAGAATGGAAACTAGAAATCATGGTCCAAGATGCGCCATTTCTATTGTTATCGGTGGGAAGGATGTATCTGACCGTGTGCCAGGTGCAGGTAGAAGGTGCTGAGTGAGAAGCCGCACCTGAGTAAGGTCTGGTCCTCTAGAAATCGGAGCAGCGCGTCTACAGCGGTGTAAGGGCACGCAGCGAACACATGTATCTGAGCTAGTGATGAGTTCTGAGGAGGAAAGAAACTGGTAGTTGTGACTGAGAGCTGGAGGGGACGGAAGGCGTTTCTGAGGCCTGTGGGCAGAGACGAGCTGGAAAGGCGCAGGGAGTAAGGCGGGGAGTCAGGTCGGCCGACCGGGCCTCCGAGGTCCGGCCAGGCCCGCAGAACAAGCTCTGCGATGGGCTCTGCCAAGGCCTAGCCCAGGAAGGCCTCAGGCGACGCGCAGCGCCAGAGAACGGGGCGACCACCGGCCCGAGATGTGGCTCTGGGCCGCGGACCCGACGCAGCAGGACCCGGGCTCGGGCCCGGCGCAGACGAGGCTGTGGCCCGGCTCCGATGTCCGGGCTCTAGGCGGAAACGGAGCGCGGCGGAGGCCTGGGATCGAAGCCCGAGGCGGGCAGCTTCCCGCACGATGCCACCATCTTGGCGGAGGCGGAGGCGGAGGCGGAGGCGTCGCGGGAGGGGCGTGGTCTAGCGAGGCCCAAACAAGCCCACGTGCGGGCCGGACCGTCGGGGTGACGTCACGGCGCCGGCGCGCGCGCCCGCCTTACCCTTGCCGCGGGCCGTAAAGCGCGGAAGGTCGCGGGCCCCTGCGGTCCCGGAACTTCTCGCTCTGCGTCCCGCCTCCCTCCCGTGCCCCGTCCCCCTTTCCGGCCCGCGCAGACCCTCTTCGGCCGCTGCGCTGCGCTTCCCTTCGGCCGGGCGTGTGTGAGCGCGCTGTCCGCCAGCCGCGGGCCCCCGAGGTAGGAAGGCGGCCACGACCTGCCGGTCCGGGCGGCCTTTCCGTCCCGTGAACGTCTGCGCCCCCAACGCCCCTGTCCTCGGAGCTTTGGCCTCCGGCTCCCGGCTGCTGCTCCTGGTCTCCGAGGCGGTGCGGTGCGGTGCGGTTGGGTTGAGGCAGCCGAGCTGTGCGGGACGCGGGGACCCGCGCCGGCTGCCCCGGGCCTGCGCGCCGGCTCTCCCGAGGGCGGCCGGGCCTCGGGGCTGGCTCCGCTCTGGCGGCCACGCACCTGCTGTCGCGGCCAGCTGTGCTCCCGCGTCTCCGAGTTGTTTTCCCACCTGGCATCGTGCGGTTCGGCTGTGCCTTATCACCTCCTGTCAGAGACTACCTCAGGGCGGTGGGTTCCAGTGGGTGACTTGAGGGGACTGTTGTGTATGGTCCTGAGGTTCGAGTCCGCGGTCTCCAAGTCCACTCTGAGCATTTGTGCAGTCTTGATGTATAGGGATGGTGCTGTGGTCGAGGGTCCAGTGGTAAAGACATCCTTTAAGGGTCCGCTTTTTGGCGGCAGGGACTTGGATCATCTTCTTGAACTCTGTTGAGCATGCCGAACCTGCAGGATCGGAATGACTGTTCAGAGTCAGAGTCTGTTGCTTTTACTCTTGTCCCGGTGATCCCCGAGTTCCCTGTAGGGATGCGTCCGCCTCCATTCTGCAGTCGCTCTTTGTGACCTGTGGCTCACAAAGAGGAAGAATTACCGGAGGAAGAATTCAGGGGTTGTTAGAACTGGCACTGTTTTTGTCTTCTAAAGACAGGGTCTCGCGCTGTAGCCCAGGCACACCTGGAACGTGGAACATGCCTCCTGATTCCGCATCCGGTGTGGTGGGAGTTACAGGTGCGAGCACTACTCCCGGATAGAGCTGTCTTCACCTTGTTGTTGGGGTGAGATCTGAGCAGGATCAGTCTGGGTCTTAAGACTATTTAGACGTTACTCTTACTGCTGGAGATACACAGCTATTTTCACGAATTTCAAGAAAATACATACACAAAAAAAATTTAACCTTGCTGACGTTTCAATTTGAACGAGTTTGAGGTCTTCAGTGTCTATTTTCCTGGCTTTACCTCCTTTCCACCGCGGAACTTTGGTTTTGTTGCCAGACCTTCTGGAGTAGACTCATTCCTGGTGTACTTTTTTCTTCTTTTAAGCTACTTAAATACATACTTAACTACATGTATTTTCTGAGTGTTTTGCCTAGAAATATGTTTGTGCGCCACGTAAGTGCTTGACGTCCACGAACGTCAGAAGAGGGCATCGAATTAACTGGAAATGCAGTTAGAGACGAGTGTGCACCCCATGTGGTGCTGGGAATTGATTCCAGCAAGAGCCAGAGGTCCAGGGGATTTGGAGAGTAGATGTGTCTGTGTGAGATTTAGGATGTAACTGGATGGGAACGTCCTGAGAAGTGACTGGAGAAGAGAGGAGAAAGGGAGAAAGCCGGGTGACACTCTGGATTCTAGCGTGTGGAGCCACTGGGAACAGACACGGTGCGGGAAGCCTGGAGGGTGAAGGAGGTTTGTTTGCGTTTGGGTGTGCTGGGTTTTCCCTGTGGGATCAAGTGGGCATGGCCATTGTTTACTTGAGAAACAGATCTGAAGCTCAGGGTGCAGGCTTCTTGGGTCAGGCCATGGGTTGTGCTGATACTAAAAGAAAGGGGAAAAGATGGGAAGGCTCCGGGTAGAAGAAGACAGGCTCCCGCAAAGAGGTGTGAGCCAGGAGCTAAAGAAGTGAAACCAGGAACCTGTGTGCAAGTAGGAAGGCATGGTCTGTGGTCTTAAGGGTGTGGTGTGAGAGAGATCCTCTAAAACCAGTGAATTCAGTGTTTTTGGTGAGGGCAGTGTCCGTGCCACTGTGCGGTAGGGCCAGAGCCTATTTTTGTTGCAAAAGGATATTTTCTACTTATTAATTTATTGTCAAGCGATTGATAGGTTTTTGAAAGTTTCATTTATTTATTTGAGACAGGGTCTCACTACATAATTCTGGCTGTCCTGAACCTTGCTATGTAGACTAGGCTGCGCTGTGTGTGTGGGTTAAATGTGTGGTGCCACCATGTCCAGCAAGAATGTGTCATTTTATTTTTTATTTTTATATTAATCACAGGTGGTTTACTTTGTATCCCAGCCGTAGCCCCCTCCCTCATTTCTTCCCAATCCCACCCTCCCTCCCTTATCTCCTCCCTGCCCCTTTCCAAGTCCACTGCTAGAGGAGGAGGTCTTCCTCCCCTTCCATCTGACCCTAGTTTATCAGGTATCTCCAGGCCTGGCTGCCATGTCCTCCTCTATGGCCTAGCAAGACTGTTCCTCCCTCGGGGGTGGGGGGAAATAAAGGAGCCAGTCTTTGAGTTCATGTCAGAAATAATTCCTGTTCCCCTTACTAGGGAAACGTACTTGGTTACTGAGCTACCATGGGCTACATCCGAGCAGGGGTTTATTTTATTTTTTTTAAAAGATTTTATTTATTATGTATACAATGTTCTATCTGCATGTATACCTGCACGCCAGAAGAAGACACCAGATCTTATTATAGATGGTTGTGAGCCACCATGTGGGTGCTAGGAATTGAACTCAGAAACTCTGGAAGAACAGCCAGTGCTCTTAACTTCTGAGCTCTCTCTCCAACCCCGAATGTTTTATTTTTAATGTAGTGTTGGTATGAAACCCAGGGTCTCAAGTTTTGGGCAGTGGTTTGTTCTGGCTCTCAACAGAATTTATTCACCTTAGAATTTTTATTTTTTATTTATTTATTTTTGAGACAGGGTCTCTACATAGCCCTTACTGTCCTGGAATGTATGTAGACCAGGCTGGTCTCTAACAAAAGAGATTCAGAGATCTGCCTGCCTCTGCCTCTTGAGATTAAGGTGTGTGTTACCACTCTCATCCTCAAGAATAACTTTTTGTTTAAAAAAATTCAGTCAGGAGCGGGCATGGCAGTGTACTCCTGTAATCCCAGCGCTCTGGGAGGCAGAGGCAGGGGGAAGCTCTGTGAGTTCAAGGCTGGCCTGGTCTACAAAGTAAGTCCAGGATAGCCAGGGCTACACTGAGAAACCTTGTTTTGAAAAACAAAAAATCAGTTGGGGATTGGAGAGATGGATCTGGTAAAGAGCACTGGCTATTCTTCCAAAGGGCCTGAGTTCAATTCCCAGCTCCCACATGGCACCAACAACAGTCTGTAACAATCCAAGGGAATCTGGTGACCTTTTTTGGCTTCCTTGGGCATTGCATGCAATTGGTGCCCAGACAAATACGGAAGCAAAACACCCATATACACAAAAACAAACAAACAAACAAAAAAACCAAGCAAACAAAAACTCTTTGTGATAGAACTAGGGTGGTGGTGTATACCTGTAATCTTGCCACTTTGGGATGTGGACGAAGGAAAATCAGGAGTTCAAGGTTATACTTGGTTACATAGTCTAGAATATGTGCGATTTTGGCTCAAAAAGAGCAGGGACAAAAAACCTCAATGGCCATTGTATATTCATAAGATATGAGGAAACTGGAGCTTAGGGCTTGGATGGTAGAAGACATAAAAGTCTAGGAAATTACCGTGCATACTGGTATTGATGATTGTGATACTAGTTCCTTTCTGTATTTGAATTTTTGCAAACACTTAATTTTCCACAATATAAAAATGCTATGATAGAGAGCTTTTCTTTCTTTTATTAGATTTCCTAGGAGGGGCTTGAGCATATTACCATGCTGAGGAGAAGGGCAAATGGTAGGCAGTCATTGATTGCAGGGTGTGGAAGAGGCTAGTGGATTGGGCTGGGATGCAGAGAAGGCAGTATGCTTATGGTTTTCCATGTTGTGTCCTCGAGCTGGTACAGGATGCTAACCTGAATCACAAAGGAGCAGGGGTGTCTTAAGGTCTCTATTGCTGTGATGAAACACCATGACCAAAAGCAACCTGTGGAGGAAAAGGTTCATTTCATTTACAAATCTCCAGGTCCATGGTCCAGGGAAGTCAGGCAGGAACACATGGCAGGAACTGATGTGGAGGCCTTGGAGGAGTGCTACATATTGGTGTACTCCCGTGGCTTACTCAGCTTGCTCTTTGTTTTTTGATACAGTCTTTCTCTGTAGCTCTGGCTGTCTGCCAACTTGCTATGTAGACCAGGGTGGTCTTGAACTCAGAGTCCCACCCGCTTCTGCCTTCCAAGTGCTGGAGTTAAAGGTGTGAGACACTGTGCCCAGGGGTGGCACTATCCACAGTGGACCCTTCCATATCAACCATTAATCAAGAAAATATATCACAGGCTTGCCTGCAGATTAATCTGATAGGGGATTTTCTCAGTTGAGGTTTCTCCTTCCCAAATGACTTTGGTTTGTCAAGCTGACGTAAAACCAGCCAATCCAAGGGTCTTTCCAAGCACGACCAAGTAGTAATGGTTCATAATGGAGTAGGAAGGGCAGGCAGTAGAACAGGACTAGGATCTCCAGGGAGAGCTATGTTTCCTTTGGGACTGGAGGTGGAGAGAATGTTAGTAAGAGGGTGGGTATTCAACTTGAAACTGACCTAGAGGGCCCAGTGGAGAATTTTAGGGAGTCTGAGTTTATAGATAGAAATTTAAGGTATATGAAGATGAGACCTCAGAACTATCTACTCATGTAGAGAAGTTTCTATCTTTGTTGTTGTTTTGGATTGTTTTGAGATGTGGTTATATGTAGCCCAGACTGGTCTACAATTCAAAATCCTTGTGCTTTAGCCTCTCAAGGTACTGCGTTATAGTTGTGCATCACTATACCAGACTGAGACTAATGGGAAGCAGAAATGATAATTGGTCTTCACTTGCATGAGCTTTCTCTCTACATCCTATTTGCCAAGGTTACTTTCATTGGCTGCTCTTATAGAGGGCCCTCAGCACCCACATGGCAGCTCACAACCATTCATAACTCCAGTTCTAACGGATCTCACACCCTATTCTGACATTCTCAGGAACCATGCATGCGTGTGGTATACACATATACATCAGACAAAACAGTTTCTCTCTCCATACATATGTGTGTGTGGGTATATATATATATATATATATATACCCACACACACATATGTATACATGTATCTCTATGTTTATATATGTATATCTATATATATCTATTATTAAAATGTCTTAGATTCTCTATATATACATGTCTATATGTGTACATATATATGTGTGTATATATATTTGTAAGTTATATATATATATATATAACTTATTCCTAAATGGATTACAGGTGTTGAACTCAGGTTATAAAGCCCTTTGGCAGTGTCTTCACCCACTAAGCCATCTTACTGGCTGGTATTCTTTCTGTTCTGTCTCTGTCAGTTAGCTATTTTTAGAAAAGATCTCTAACCCTGGCTGGCCTGGAAAGTTTAGTGTAGCTGAGGATGACCTTGAACTTCTGGGATCCTCCTGTCTCCACCTCATCAAGCCCTAGGATTATAGGCCTGTGCTACTAGGCCTAGTTTAGACTTCTTTTTTGTTTGTTTGTTTTCAAAACAGGGTTTCTTTGTGTAACAGCCCTGGCTGTCTCTGAACTTACTTTGTAGACCAGGCTGGCCTCAAACTCATAGAGATCAGCCTATCTCTGCCTCTCAAGCACTGGGAATAAAGGTGTGTGCCATTATGCCCTGCCCTTGGTTTGGTTTCTTTATACTAGTTTTCTGTTTGCCTCTGTGTGTGCATGTATGTGTTGTTTCGTTTTTTGAGATAGGGTTTCTCAGTGTGTTTTGGCTGTCCTGGAACTTGATATGTAGACCAGGCTGACCTTGAACTCACAGAGATCCACCTGTCTCTACCTCTCAAATGATGTGAGAAAAGCCATGTGCCACCATGCCTGCTTTTTGTTTTTTGTTTTTTTAAGCAGAATCTGAAATTTAGGTCCTCAAATATATAAGGACTTAAAGTTTATTTATTACTTTTTAGTGCATTGTTATTTTGCATGCACACATATATGTGTGAAGATGCCAGTCCCCTGGAGCTGGAGTTACAGACAGTTGTGAGCTGCCATGTGGGTGCTGGGAATTGAACCCAGGTCTTCTGAAAGAACAGTCAGTGCTATTAACTGCTGAGCCATCTCTCCACCCCGGTGTTGTTCTTTGTTTAATCTTTTTCTCATTTAGTCTTAAGAACTGACTTAAATGGAATGAAATATGTTTGTTTGTTTGCTTTTTCTTTCTAGTTTGTATTCTTTGGGCCTTCTTAGCTGAGTGAAATCATATCTTTCAGGTGGTGATGCTTTTCCGGTTGCTATCGATAGTCCAAAGACAAAGAACTAGCCCAGGATGGCAGACCTGGTCATCAGCAAGAAGCAGCACGTCCACTGCCGAGGCACATTCTATTGCTCTGCCTGCCCAGGCCCAGGTGGTCATCTGTGGGGGTGGAATCATGGGTACATCTGTGGCTTATCACCTCTCCAAAATGGGGTGGCAGGATATTGTCCTTTTGGAACAGGGCAGGTAAGGATCAAATTGACTTGACTTGGGTTTTGGCTGCAGTGACAGTATAGGGCTTCTTCATTCCCCATCTTTTCCATAATGTCAGAGACCCAAGGTGAAATCCGCTCTGTGTTTAGCTATGCTCTAGCATTCATGTTTTCGGTATTTAAGAGAGGTAGCAAATTTCAACAGTGTTAAAAGGGCGTGTATTCACAACCCAGCTCATCTTACTCTCTGTTGTCATTCTCTTCAGAGCTGTGTCCTGTGCTTATGAGCTGAAAAAAGTGCCTACATTCTGCTCATTTTCTCTTATTAATTTTCATTTGATTCAGTACAGTTTTAGAGTTACAGGGCTTGAGAGACAGCCCAGCAGTTAAGAGCACTGGCTACTCTCCCAGAGGACCCAGGTTTGGTTCCCAGCACCCACATGGCAGATCATAGCCACCTATAACTGCAGATCCAGGGGATCTGATACCCTCTTCTGGCCTCTGAGCATGAAGCACACACATGTGGAATACAGATGTATATCTAGACAAAAAATTTTTTTTTTTCTTTTTACAAAAAAATTTAAAAACTTATTATATATGGGGTATGTATATATGTGGATAGTTCTTTCCTTCACCCTTGTTTTTGGGGGTGGAAAAAGATTTTTTTTTTTTAAGTGCGAGTGTACGTGCAGATGCCAGAGGCATCAAATAAGCTGGAGTTAACAGGTGGTTGTAAGGGCTGGAGAGATGGCTCGATGGTTAAGAACACTGCTCTTCCAGAGGATCCAGGTTCAATTCCCAGTACCCACATGGCAGCTCACAACTATTTGTAACTCCTGTTTCAAGGGATCTCACATCTTCATAGACAAACATGCAGTCAAAACACCAATATACATAGAATAAAAATAAATAAAGTATAAAAAACAAAAACAACAAAAACAGGTAGTTGTAAGCTACCAAATGAGTGCTAGGAACTAAATTCAGGTTCTTTGGAAGAACAGCAAGGTTACTTAACCACTGAGTTATCTCCCCAGTCCTTTGTGTTATCTATCTATCTATCTATCTATCTATCTATCTATCTATCTATCTATCTATTTTTTATGTGTATGGCTATTTTGTCTACATATATGTCTCTATATAGCACATACATGACTGGTGCCTGTGGAGGCCAGAAGAGGGTGTGTTGGAAAAACCTGGACCTGGAGTTACAGATGGCTCTGAGCCACTGTGTAGGTGTTGGGAATAAAATTCAGGTCCTCTGCAAGAGGAACACATACTCCTAACTGCTGAGACAGTGTCACTATGTTGTTTTGGCTGCCCTGGTGCTCAGAGAGATTTGCTTGCCTCTGCTTCTAGAGTGCTGGGATTAAGGGCATGTGGCACCATGCCTAGCTGGAGTTACAGACACTTGTCAGCCACAATAGTGAGCCACTGTGTGGGTGATGGGAATCAAACCTGTGTCTTTTATAGGAACAACCATTGCTCTTAATCTGCGGAGGCTTCTGTAGCCCTGGAACCTGGACATATATCCATAGGTACAACTGAGTCTTTCTAACAGTATCTTGCATCTATGCTGCAGGCTGGCTGCTGGCTCAACAAGGTTCTGCGCTGGCATCCTCAGCACTGCTAGGCATTCCAGCATTGAACAAAAGATGGCCGACTATTCAAACAAACTCTACCATCAGTTAGAGCAAGAAACGGGCATCCAAACAGGTAAGAAGGTAATCTGCTGTTTATTGGTCTTCCTGTCTCCAAACCCTTACTCAGTAGTTACTACATCTGGTAATTAAGACTTGTGTTTGGGGTTGGAGAGATGGCTCAGAGGTTAAGAGCACTGCCTGCTTTTTCAGAGGTCCTGAGTTCAATTTCCAGTAGCCACATGGCAGCTCACAACCATCTATATAATGTGATCTGGTGCTGTCTTTTGGCCTGCAGATATGGTGGTGCATGCCTTCAATCCCAGCACTCGGGAGGCAGAGGCAGGCAGATCTCTGAGTTCAAGGCCAGCCTGGTCTACAAAGCGAGTCCAGGACAGCCAAGGCTACGTAGAGAAACCCTGTCTCAAAAAAAAAAAAAAAAAAAAAAAAAAAAAAAAAAAAAAAAAAAAAAAGACTCGTGTTTGATATTTTTTGGGCAAGTCATGTAGCTTGTCTTCACCTTCTTTACCTATAGAATGAAGAGATTGCAATCACTAATCTCAGGGCATTTTCAGATTCTATAACTGTAATTTTTTTTTTGGTATGAGTGTATTAAACCCAAAGCCTACAGATCCTATCATTATTACATTATTATCATGATATGAAAGTTTTTCTAGGCCATTTTAAAAATACATTTCACTCATTTAAATACAGTTAATGACTTGCTTTCTAAGTATAATTAATGGCAGCACTTAGCTCCTAAACAAAGAGAAGGAGAAAGAACACATGTTCAGGTGCTTAGCAGTTAAATCATAGTTCAATTCATAAACTTTACCAATTAATATTATGAAGTGTAGAAATATATTATCTGGGGCACTGGAGAGATGGTTCAGTGGATTAGTGCACTGGCTGTTCTTCCAGGGGACTCAGTTCAATTCCCAGCACCCACATGGCAGCTCACAACTGTCTGTAACTCCAGGCTCAGGGGATCTGACCCCCTCACACAGACATGCATGCAAGCAAAACATCAATGCACATATAAATAATAAATAAATTGAAAAAATACATTGTCTGTATAGTCAGGGGAAAGAAGATGTAGAACTGTAAATTAAGTAGTACTAAAATAGTACTGGGTACTAGTGCGGATGCTAGCCAGGAGAATGTAAGGAGAATGTCTGAACTGTTTGAAGGACAGTTCAGTCCTAATAAACAGTGTGACAAAATGGGAAAAGGGCTGTTAGTTGGTACAAAATTGATAGATTATCCAGAGACTGAGTATATTTCAGTTTTCTGGGTAAATGAAATGAAATACTGTTGTTTTGTTGCTTCTTCTAGTCCCTGCCTGGGGTACATCACCACACTCCCCATAAGGTAACTGAACTTGGCCACCAAGGACTCTAAAACAAACTTAGTAAAAGTAGTTCCACAGTGTTGGCCTTTACTTTTGTTCTAATTGAATCAATCTTTCCTTCCTTCCTTCCTTCCTTCCTTCCTTCCTTCCTTCCTTCCTTC